AAAGACATAGAAAATAAATGAAAATTTGACTTCTGCAAAAATGGTGTAACAATGCAAAACTTCTAAAGAACTTAAACGATGCAACAATAGACTAAAGAAGTTCTTTACATACATTTCATACTTGTATAGGGGGGAAACAAAGCCAATGTAAGTCTATATGGTATTCAATATAGGTACACAACACCAAGAATAACCAAAGGGTAAATTTTTGCTCAATGATTACATTTATAGAAGAAAAACATTATTCACCCATGCAGACATTCATAGCCACCCGTGAAAGTGAAAGCAAGATATAGTTTAGTACATACTTTCAACAACTGCTCAAGGTTGGTTTTTATAACAAGTAATATATATACTTTGACACAATTCAAGCTCCACGATTTTCATGGTATGTGAAAACCGAAAAAGGTATTTCATCTTAATTCATCATAATTCAAGGTATTTTGTTGGTAGAACCCAAGTTTTTCACCTCTTTATTTGAATAATGTTCTATTAGGATTATTTATATTAGGTGGTTTTCATATAAGGGGAACAATCTTAATTGATTGCCGACTCTGAATTGTGATGCTTCTGAATTTACCAGACTGCAGAGTATGGTATGGTAAGTGCACACCTAAGATATAATTTCAAAAATTTCCCTGCTAAGCTGGTAAAGGGTGTTAAACTTTGAGATCTGGGTGTGAACAAAACTTAGAAGGTGCAAGAGGAAATTTTATGATGTGCAAGTGTGCCTTTGATATAGGAAAACACTTCAATTCTCCACATTTAGTGCCAAAATCTATGCTACAGAGAGTATATAAGTCATGATGACTGAAAGTAGAGTAAACATAGTTAATATATATAATAACAAAAGGTTATTTCTTTTAATAATAATTATACTTTTTCAAAAATGTAACTTTTAGCTCATCAAATGTACCAGAGGTTCTTAGTTAGTGGTGTTCTGCTAGACCTATTGGTTTTAATATTGTGTATTTATAAATATGGAGGGTATTTTATCATTAACATATACAAAATTATGCATGGTTTTGCTGAAGTTTTCGCTATTGTAACATTGATACTTGAGAGTGAAATGACATTATCAGACTCTATGCTGGATCCTCACCTTGAGCTTTGAGCAGAGCAGATTTACCACGACCAACTGCAGATCCCCGTTCTTTACCCTGGATTCTTTTAAACATTGGCGCATTTTTCAGCATATCTGGTAAAATAATAAACCGAATTTTACTTCCTCTTATGAAGATTTGTTCTAGATTTGATACTCGGCCGTCTCTAGCAGTCATTGTGATTTGAATTAGTTGGCAGTTCATGTTATCCTCGGCTTCTACCAATTTGCCGCGGTAAACTTCGCCATTCATTGTTTCCAACGTAATAGTGTGACCTTCTGCTTCATGCAGAACCTTTATCGGTACCCCAATCGACATGGCAATTTAAGTTGGTATTCACAAGCTGATGTTTGAGATTTTAAGTGATTGTGGAAAACGCTGCACCAACGTTAGAAAACAGCGAATTAACAACTTAGGCCCTAAGAATGTGACCTCGTTCAAGGCCCTTGGACCTCCTTTGGACGGTACTCATGAGGGTTTCACAAAAATACAAATTAAACAGATAAGACTATAATAAATGGGACAAAAATATAACATATATGCAAATCTAGCTTAATATAACAAATGGAATTGCTCTTGGAAATACAAAAGATTTCAAATTAAATTTGATAAATACGATTGATAAAGGAAGGATTGTGTAAAGAGAATTTCTAAAAGCTAAGCTAAACGGGGAGAGAGCACACCCTGTTTGAAATTTAATACTGAAAATTTCAAATAATTTCAAAGTCTATATGACTTTGCAGAAATGTTGACATTTCTATGGTTGGTAATTTTGTTTAAAGAAAGAGCTTTGAGTTTTCGACAAAAACTTTATGCAGATGATGAACTTCTTATTGCTACAGAAATGTTGTTCCAGCACTTTGCTCCATGGTAGCGTACTGATCTATGACCATATTGCAAGGTGTTTTTATGACATGCCGTTATTGGTGACAAGACGTGTACCATATAAGTGAACAGACTCAAATAAGGGAACGAAAGAATGAAACAAGCAGGAGAGATTTTATTGACAGAGTAATGCGAAACTAAGCAATTTAAGCTGAAAGGTATCAGGCAAGCTTAAAAACGTCGAAACAAAAAAGATAAGTGAAGAGGGTGTTGAAAAGTAGTCAAATGAAATTGATCGTAAAACCCTTTTCTTTAACAGAAAAAGAGGATTTAAATAAGTATCATAGGTAAGTCCCAAAACAAAAATACCATACTGAAGGAGAGGTGAAAAAGAGAATTATAGAAATTTTTTTTTAAAATTAATGGGTAAAAAGTGTAGCTATATTGACTCTTTTTGACTTTGCTTTTGTAACCTGTGACACTTTTGAATTATCTGTTGCAAAGAAGCATGTCTTGGTAAAAATGCGTCCAAACACAATCAACAATGTTGCTCTTTCGATAACGAATAATGAAAGAGATACAACTTTTACTTTGGGAGGCCATCCCTGATCCATAGAAAATATTCTTCTACTCAATTGTTTTTCATAGTTGTTCACCACTCAGGTGCTCATAAAATGCAAATTTGCGATTGGAAGCACAATAATTTTCTTACACAGTGCTGCAAAGTGAATCTCCGAGGTTCTTAGCAGAGCAATCCAGTATGGATGATCCGAGTCATAAAGAAATAAGGTTTTTAGAACGATTTAACAAATTTGGCGACAATCTAAATCACATGGAGTTTCAAAAATTTTCAAAAATAATCAAGAACAGCTACCCTGGGTACCAGACTCACTATATGAGGGTAAAGAACAGCCAGCCTGAACTTCAAATTACTGGTTTATATAAAAAAATTAGTGTAAACAGAATGAGATCACTGGAGATGCAAGGGGATTGGAACACTAGCTACTACGCTTAGATCAATTTACATGTTTGGCTTTTAACAAACTCTCACAAAAAACCGGACTTTTGAAACCACATTTCAAATATCTTAGCAAAATTGTGACCTTCTGATAAAAGTTGTTTGATTCCATGAGCATTGAACTGTTTCCGTGCACATTTTGCATATCTTCAATTCTTGCAGATTGTTATTCGTTCAAAACGATATTTTATATATTTTTTTGAGGTCCACCGTGCAAAAAAGGGATCTGCTGCAGGGCCCACGCCACGAATTGCAAGGTGGAGCTGCCAAGGTCTGAAACTCGAACTTGAATTAAGTGCTTCAAAATAGAAAAGTTTATAGATATGATAGAAAATAATAGAAAATATAGAAAATAGAAGATAGAAAATAAATAATAGAAAAGTTTTATACATCTAGCAAGAAGCTAGGCAGCTCGGAAGGAATCAAAATGCTCGGAGGAAATTAATTTATTACATTAAAAAATATCAAAACTATATCATAAGCACGGCCGTCGAGAGGGAGACGAGGGACAAATTGCCCCAGTTGTCCCATAAATTAATGAATTCCATTTTAGGAATAAAGTTAATCAAACGCATTATAAGTATGTCTTAGGATCAATGATTACAAGAAATGACTGCAAGAAATATTTTAAAACGAATTTTAAGCTAATCTTAAGGAGGTGGTCGCAAACGTTCTCTTTTCCCTCCACTCGCTGGGGGCCTCGACTTTCGGCTTTGCACTAAGAACTCCCAAACCTCTCCACGGCCACGGGCTTGGTCATAAATATGGCAAAAAATTTCTGATAGAATCTAAAATTTCATTTTTTGTTCATGTGAATCCTTTTGTTCATGTGACACATGTGTCTTCAACAACATAATATTATTGCATTATTGAGGTTTTTTAGCCATCATTTCCAAACTATTTTCACTGGAAATTTTCTTGCGAAAGTTTACCGTGACTAGAAGTATTTGAAAATAACATTTTGTGCTAAACCAGCATTAAAGATAAATACCTGTTTGCCCAATTCATTGAGGAAATGTGACAATATTCATTTTTTTAAAAATAAATGTAAAAATTATTTGATGGACAAATCTAAGTCGGACTCTTTTAATAAGTATGGATGGATTTAAAAAAAGCATTTTTAACTAACATTATAGGTTTATAACTCATCATTTAAACTTTATATTAGGTTTTTTCTAATTTTTATTTCCTTACTGGTTAAATTTAGATTATTTGTTCTATTAATTTGGGAACCAAACTGAAAACAAGTTTTCAAACTTAGTTTGTTATTCACATTAAATATTATTATACATTATACATTCAAAGATACTTGGCGGCAAGGGTATGGTGCTACCCCCCTGAACCTGAAGCCTGAGGTGACAAGGAGCAACCAATGCCCTAACCTTTGCCCTCGATCATTTTAAGGCGCATGCGTACCTAATATTATCCCGAGAAAATGGCTGCACGGGCAAAGTGGATAAATAGTATGAGCTATAGCCTTCGTAGTTCAGTTGTTAAACACCACACGCAAAAATTGCTGGATCAGTCTTGTCAACTACATATTACTCGTGGAGAAAACGGTTTTGCAAAACGTCACTTCTTTAAATCAGTTAGGGCAGCAGGTGAGGATGAGTTTTTTAACTAATGCCATTGCACATCCATATCTAAATAAATCCAGAAACTCGTATGGTCAAGAAAGGCAGAGAGTTCCAGCTATAAGCTTGCCCTTGAATAGAACCTCTAGACACTTGTTAGTCCTTTGCTACACCAACCACTTGCTTGTTCAAGCAATATGACCAATCTTTTAGGCCTAGCACTAGCAGCACTATAATAACTGAGATGTTTGTGATGTGATGGAAGGGGGAGGCAGGCTTGCATGACAGGCCTACCAACACTCCTAGTCTTTCCAGAGGACTCCTTATTTCTGCCTATTTCTCCCCGTATCTTTTCTTTTTCTCCTGGTTTCCAAGCATCCTTTCCATTTTTCCTTCTTTCTTCCTGATTTTAAGACTTTTTGAAAATTACTTAATTCTTTGAGAAGGCAAAACCTTTTTTACAAGAAAATTTATAAGCTATTTGGTTTGTGTTTTGGAGGGATATAACAGCCTATGTTAGAACAAAAAGAAAATGGAGATACCTGGATCAGAATCAAAGTGATTTAAGATGCTAACTTATCACTTTCACTTAGGGGGGTGCCAGTCACAAATTTGCCGACAAAATAGGGCGCAATTGATTTTGTTTATCAAAGAGTTTGTTCTCGTTAGTCAATCATCGCTTCAATTTTCGAGCGACTGTGGGTATTTAGTTTGCATGCATAGATCTTACTATTAGGACCGCCAAGAGGTTTCGAAGGCCTTGAAGGAAACCCGAAAGACAAGGCCCCTGCGAGCGGAACGAGCAGAAATTTTTCGCGGCCACGCCCTTTAGATTTTCTTAAAATGCATTTCAGAATATTTCTTGCAGTCATTTCTTGCAATCGTTTAAAACTTTTAACTATTTTTAGGCATACTTCTTCTACGTTTCATTGATTTCATTCTTAAAATGGAGTTCATTACTACTAGAGGCCCCATTAACCTCAAGGCCCTGAGGCATTTTGCCCCCTTGCTCCCCTCGGCAGCCCTTCTTACAGTGGCTTCCAGTACCTCCAGGATCAATGTTCGGAGTTTCCTAGTTAGATTCTAGACTCCGGCTGCCGACAAGAAGTCATTTAAAACTTTTGGTGGACATTTGCCCCTCCGTGACACCCATAGCGCCATTGCTGAGGGTTTTTGGGTGATACTTTTTCGGTCTTATCCTCATCTTATCCAAACTTTTTGCTAAAACTATGGCATTGAGAACTTCAAAAGTAAAACCCGATAGAACTCTACTTTTAAAAAATTTGCAGACAAGAATTTTCTAGGGGGGGGTGCCGCGCCCCCTGCACCCCCTGCTAGCGACAGCCCTGTCTTTCTAGATTGAAAGATAGATTAAAAACTAGCAACTTAAATTGCAGTTCTGTTACTACGACATAGCTATGAAATCAAATCACCCTGATCTAAGAATTCCTTGCCACAAATGGGTACCTGAAGAGGATATTGTCAAAGCAGCAAAAACTATAGCCTGTGCTCCAGACCCTTAACCTTCCTTCAGGTTAAGGGTCTGGAGCACAGGCTACAAAAACTACAACTGCTAGACATCAGGGCAAATGACTGATAATTTTTTGACAAGCTACAGTAACATGTATACCATGTTTTATTGTTGTTTTGTTATTGTTTGGGGTACAACAATGAAAAAAACATATTCTCCTGATTTTTATACATTTTCTCCTATTTTTTCTTAAAAATCTCAATATCTCCCTACTTTATCTCACAGTCTCTGACACAAATTGGAAAGTGGGGGGACAAAGGGAAAATTTAATACCCATAACACAAGATTTTGTGAAAAGTTCAATTGTTTTGTAAACAACTGGGGGTCATGGCCCCTTCCTGCCCCCTTTCCTTCGTAGGAGGCCCTCCTTCCGATTGGAAGATCTGGCATGATGATAATTTGGCATGGCCACTATCAATAAACATGTATTATGTTGTCTATGATAAAGAATTAGTAAGGAGGGATGCAATCCTAAAGTAAACATCAGGCATTAAAAAAGGGTCTTGAACCCCTTGAGTCTCCTAAGTACATAGTTTTAATCTTTTTGTAACCATTCAATCATTTTCTTTAGTATCATACTACTATGATGTGATCATACAAACTGGGAATCGCTTTGGAGCTGGTACAGATGCAAATGTCTTCTTGGAAATTTATGGTGAAAGAGGTTCTAGTGGAGAAATTAATTTACCTTCAAAGAAAGGAGACCTGGAGAGGGGAATGTATGTTCTGAGTTTTGGAATTGAATTCAGGATGTGTCTTCAGCTAGCTATTATCCACTCTTGTTAGAAGGCTTTCAATAATTTTGATCATTATGATGAATATTGGCATCATAAAACTCCATTTTGCGAATTTTTATCACATACCTGAAACGGCATCATGAAGTGTTTATAATTGTGTGAAATTAGCTCTTTTACAGATCCTCTATATGAACCAGACCAAAAAAGTCATATGTTAGGGATACTCTTGGGTCTTGACTAAGAAGTTCAAGGTTTTTGGAAGCAGTTGCTTAATTTGTATAGAAAAAGTGGGAGGTTGAAGTAAGCAAAGCATATATTGTGATACACTGAATGCTGCATCTATGAAATTATTAAAAATGAAAACTTATGATCTCATTCATAACCTTGCTATGCTGGTCAAGTATAGGGCAAGCTGAACCATAACCTGGTAAAGAAAGATGTGGTTGGCATCTCTATATTGAATATATTTTTTCCTTTGTGTGAATCCTTGGTTTTGCAGCAAATTATCAAAACTGTTTTAATGCAAAATTTTGTGCAAGTGTTTGCCATCTTCCCAAAATGATGTTTGATGTTCATCAATAAAAATTATGAATCCTGTAGAATTAGAATGGTATAATACAGAACATTTTTCGCCATTAGCCTTGTTTGTTTCTGTCATTTTCATATTATAGAACTATAACTTTGACTCTTGATCCCTTAATGTTAATATGATTTTTGTTTTTGTCTTTATCATACCATATGTGATACCAAGTTGTTATTTTCTCTCTACTTATTAGGGTGAACAGATACAAAGTAGCTGCTAAGGATCTTGGTGCATTAAAAAATATAGATATCAGACATGATAATACTGGTTTGGCACCTGGATGGTATCTGGAGAAGGTAACTTGAATCTGTTCCAGTACTGTTCTCAAATAAATAACCTCAAGGTATTACAAATAACTGATAATTGATTGCCACACACAGTGCATTATGTGTAAATCAAATAGAGGAAGTGTTCAGTTAAAAAAGCTATAATATCACCTTTAATGATATCAGTATCAAAGATTAATAATAAATTCCAAGACAATATTGGAATTAACACACTGTTTCAATTGGGAAGATCATTTAACCACCTTGTCACAGAGTACTCTATGGTTGTTGTAAAACAGAACAACATTTCATTTGGATCATTAGTCACAATATTACTGATGCAAAATATTAAATGTTATTTTGTTACTGTAGCCAAACAAAAAGGATTTGCACAAGAAGTGGGGATCAACTGTAGATTGCTTTGATGTAAATACTTGCTATCTCTTCTCATCCTGTTTTCAATTTTATCATTCTGCATCTTTGGCTGATAACATATTTTAGGTTTTCTCAGATTTAAACGAAAAATTATGTTCCTTTTAGGTTAACCTTTGAGAAAAACACCAAAATTTAAAATAGCCCCCCTCCCATATCGAATATGCCCCCTTGGTTAGGCCCCACACCATTTTTGCAAATAAGCCTATGGGGGCTTATTTAAAAATTTCCAGTATTCGTCCTGTTAAAGAGCCATATGAATACTTGTTTGTATTTTACTTAAAACAGGTAACAATTAAAGATCACAGTGGCAGTAGGTATGTATTCAGTTGTGAAGACTGGCTAGTTAAACAGGCTGGTGAAAACAAGTTGAAAGCCCATTTGTCATTGTCTGAACAGAACTTAGATCAACTCCCATCATATAGGGGTAAACAGCTGGAATATTTGAAGTTAGATGACAAAGAGCATTTGGATGCTGTTGAAGAGACAGTACACAAAAACCTTTCAAATGTACTTGAAGGAATCTTACAGTCAAGTTTGGAGCCAGATGCAGATAGTGATTCAGAGTTTCCAAATTCAGGTAGTCTTTCCTCTTTCTGTATAGTCAAAAGACATCTCTCTTTTTCTAAAAAATACTTGAATGAACAAGTTTTGTCTATTTGTTCTCTGTTTCTGTTTCCTGGCCTGCTTTCTCATAAAGACGTTCACCAATACATATAAACAGGCTCAAGACTTTTTGGTTTTCTACTTCTGATTTGTCATGCCCATCTATAAAAGAAGAATAGTATAAGAAACTGACAGGAGAGTTGATTTATTGCCTGTTATTATTAGTAATTGATCAACCTGTAAAGTTAAAATGTAATTTGTACCATGTATTTATTTATGGTATAGCAATAGTAAAGAAGATATCTCAGTGTCAATATGTTATTTTATTTAATGTTAATATGTACAACAATATTTCTGTCTGATACAATGTAATCACAGATCAGCACCCTGGCTGGAAGGTTAATGCAAAAATATCCACAGATGAAGTATTTTCTTTTGATATAACAGGCCTGGCCATGTGAGGAGAGCCAAAGCTCTTGCTCCCCTCTAGGCTCTCCTCAAACGCTGGAGGGAAGCTAGAGATTGCTCTCTTAAATTGTTCTATAAAAACAAATTTGCTCTCCTTGAAATCAATTTTTCCTTTGTTTCTATTCTTATAGCTCACCTGAATACTACTAGGAGAGCTGTTTACTGTGCCCCTGTTAAATGTCTTACGGACAGGCTTGATATAAATATATATTATGTTCAATTTCTTTTAGAAACTCCAGATAATAGCAATGGTTTGCAGCACAACACTCTGCCTCTTTTGCCTTCTGCTCGCCTGCTCATTGAAGCCTTTGGCTTGATAAAGGGCCAGATACCTGCCTCTGGGCCTAAAGGTCATTTGCTGAAAGGTGATGTCTTAAAGTATATTGAGCTGAATAAGTTGACAAGACTGCCATTGGAAAAATCGCACACAGAGCAGAAGAAAGCTTCAAATGTCCAGCAAAAAGCCAAAAAAGCAGCAGCTACTACCACTAAAGGTATATTGTATTCACATTTGAAGCTCATAAAGAGTTTACATTTTAATAAAAGTGAAAATAATTTGGGAGTGTGATTATGAATTCAACTTTTCCACAGGTTTTTCAAAAGTTTCAATAAGTATCTAGACCTATTACAATTTTTTTGATAATCTTTCTCCACTAGATAAATTTTCTTCTGATCTCCCAAAAAAGTGTGTTTCTTTATGCTTATTTTTTACCTTCTAGTGAAGGATAAAGTGCTCAAATCAAGTGTTGGGTCTGCGTTTGAAGATTATCCTGTCACAGATGATACGAAAGTAAAACTGCAGTGGTATTTGGAATCAAAACAGACACAGCCACATTTTTATTCCTCTATTGTCTGCAATCTCAATAGCATAATGAGTATTCGCAAGGAACTTTCTCAGCAAGGTATGTTTGGGTCCTGACTAATTGGTTTTCCATTTTATTGCTACTCTACAAAGCACTAGTTCTGACGATAAAAACCTCATTTCAACTGAATTCAGTATCTTATAAAGAGTTGAAAAAAGAATCAAAACTAGCCCTTTTCAAAAATGGTTATTACAAAGGATGATTGTGTGGGGTAGTATACCCTATAAAACTTTTCTTTTGTCTTTTAAAGTAGTTGAATTTTTTGCTAATATAAGGTAATCAGCAGTTTTTCTCAAGTCTTGTGCAAGTTTGAAGATAAGATAGTCATATTTCGTTTTTAATGGCTTGCTTAGATTGTACATCTTGCAAGATTAAGTTGTTTTGAGGCTATACAGTACACAACTGAAAATTGCCAAAAATGATAGAATGGCTTCAATGTTTTTCCATTTTTTCTGGTTGTTACACTGTTAGATTGTTTTGAGTTGTGTCATGTCAAATCATTTTTTTATAAATAGTAATTGTAATCTGTCTTGGACCTAGGATTATCAATTTCGACGACATCCTTTGTCTTGAAGGCAGTTTCATCTGCTCTCAAACAAATCCCAGAAATGAACGCTAAATACGTCAACGAGACCATAAAGGTTGTAGAAAATGTCGATGTAGCTGTTACTCTTAATAGCCTACAAGGCAGTTGTCGTGGACTTATAAAAGGTTTACATCAACGAACACTGGAGGATATCCAAAAGTCTTTGGAGGTAAACTGCTTTACATTTGATTTGCTTAAAGAAATTGAAGAGTGCAAGTTTTCCAAAATATTTACAGGTGTTGCATCCGGTGCCACCGAATATGTCAATGGGTCTTCATTTCACATCTGGAGTTTACATACGTTTTAAAAGCAACAATAACTTCATTAAATTTGAAAAGGGACAAACTATGAGAGATATGGTGCGTTTTCTCAAATTTGGAATAAAAATTTGATCATCGTAATTCAGACTTAGTAAAGAATTTATTGATTTTCTTATTTTTCCAATCGGTGACGGCATGAGTCTTTGCGGATCTTAGAGTAGTCCATGTCCCAAAATATCCCAAAAAGCTTTCGAAATTGGGACTTCCTTTTTCTCCGTTTAATTATATTGTTATTGTTATTTCGGGTTAGATTATATTAAAAAAATTTCGGAAAAAATATTGTCCAAAACTTTAATTATCCGAATTAAGGTTTTGTTCGAAAATTGTTTCGTCGGAAAGTTTTTAATACTTATAGAATAGCACAAAAAATGTATCGCTCTTCTTATAATTGTAAAAGTAATAATATAAACATATTATGCTGATAAAATAAAACAACACGAATAAAAAATAAAATATATAGATAAAGTAAATATAATAGAAAAGAAAATTTTAATTTTCTTATTCGGGAATGAAATACCAATGCAATATAAGAGGCATAAAGCTCCCTCAGAAAAACTGCCATAGACATCAGAAGGTCAGTGATGTGGCTACGTTACCACATCATTGAGAGCGAGTTGGGCCGTTGGTGCATCGGCGCAAATCGCTTAATCTACCATACAGGGGTTACTAAGGGAAGTTACACAATAGCCACAAAAAATGATTGATAATTGGAAGGGAATGGACGCTAAAAGCCTCTTTGCCCCATTAATACCCGATGCACCAGTCCTACCTAATAGCATCAAAAAACAGCATAAAAGATGCCTAAAGGTATGAGAGGTTTTAAAGACGCCGTAAAAGAAACTCTAAACGTAAAACTATACTGAAAAAGCATTTCACATAAAGAAACAAAATGAGGGAGGGAGGGCTGGGAAAGTAAACAGAATGCTTGTACTGAGGCTTTACCAAGCAAGGTGAGGCCCACGCTATGCCAAAACATTAAATACTCTTAGATTAACCAAGGGAATGAAAACGCCACGAAACACACACCTTACCCAAAAATCAAATCCTCAGGAGGCCGAAAGACTCCTTCGCATTACCCATAAACTAATAGCGCGAGTACAAGATAAACGTAAGGAAGCGTAGCACAGGAGACCATAACGAATAGGAAATAATAACTATCTCAAGGGAATTAGTTAAAGTTCAGAATCTCCTCGTGAAATTAACTCTAATTAAATTCCATTTAATCATCATTAAAATGAAATAAAATAGAATAAAATGAAATAAAAAATAACATATATATTATAAAATAAAATAAAATAAGATAAAAGAAAATAAAATAAGATAAAAGAAAATAAAATAAGATAAAATAAAAGGAAAAAAAATAGAATAAGAAAAAATGAAATTAAAAAAAATAAAATGAAATGAGATAAAATAAAATAACATAAGGGAATATTGCCATAAGCAACACCATAATTGTTAGTAGTAATTTCTTTGTGTCGATAGAGGTATGAGACGCAAGGATTAAGAGGCAGTTTCTACGTTGAATGTTTCACTTGCTATATGTCTCATATTTTGCAAAAATATTGGAAAATCTGCTTTAAACTTTCTGATGCTCAGAATTTTTCCTTAGTTTTTTTCAATCTTTAGATAAAATTTTCTATTGCACTTTATAGTTAGTTAAGTTGCCGATTATTATCATATCTGTTGGTATCATTCAAAAACTGTTTGTCCGAAAGTTTTTTGTCTGAATTTTTCGAAAATTCGTCTGCAGGGCTCGTTTAGAATGTTTTTTACTTAGATTTTCTAAAATTAGCTGCATTTTTAAAGAAAGATTACTTAAAAATGGCTTTGAAAAAAGCAAACATTTGAGTAAACTAAAGTTTTTCGTCTGACACTCTTCAGAGTATAAAACGTCAGAACATAGATCGAAAACTCTACGCTAGGAAATATATTTACCCAGTTGTGGATTATGTCAGAATAATTACTGATAAAATTATTTTTGTCATCTAATTAACAGGTAATTAAGGCATCTAATTAACAGGTAATCAAGGCATCTAATTAACAGGTAATTAAGGTATTGGCTTTTTCCACATCAGAGCAAGAGAAACATCGAATTTTAAGCTTGTCATTCTTATAAACCAATTAGACCATCTTGCTCTTCTCTCAGAGATGCTTCGTTGAAGTTGATTATGTTCTTCCTACGCCAACGAAATGGTTATTTTTCTTAACGTTTGTTTGAAATATGACCATAGCAAGTGCGAACCTCACGTTGAGTAGGTCACCGATGGGCTCAGGCCAGTTTCAATTGAAAAGGAGCCTCTTATCTTCAACTGCAGTCTAATTTATTAATGAGACTGTGACGTACTTTGTGAGATTAACTGTTTTGTCTGTGTAACTTTGGAAGATTAATATAAATATTCAAAAAGCAATAATGTTTGGTTATTAGTTGGCTGTGCTGAACGAAACACAAAAAATTTACCCAAATTCATTAATCTTGAATTGCGTTTGAATTGCTATCGATACCATTCGCTTTTGATAAATTTGAACTTCATTGCAAGTCATTATGGAATTTGCTTTTTAGAGACTTTTTTCGTTTTATAACAGGTTGTCAAATGAAAAGTTCAAAAAATTTCGTTTTATGTGAACGGCCACCATCCCTTAAGAATAGGTTTTAAGATGCCACAATGGCTGCAAAAACACATCCATTCTCATATTTCAAGTGGACAGATCGCCCCAAACGATTTTGGGAAGGATGATAAGAGCCTGATACACGTTTACCATTCGTACCTTTATTTTGCAATTTGTATGCGCAACCCTACATTGAATACGAGGCTAAGGGGGGCTTTTATGGGGGGAATTGATAGGGTTGTTCCAACAATTTTGGCGGACATCGTAACTAAGATTACAATTATTTAAACACATTCCATGATAAACCTAGGGAAACTAATTTATTCGTAGACTCAAATTACTATTTAAAACGTGTTTGTTTCAACCTATGAAAAATCCCTAGTACCATTTTTGTTGCACTGCATATCACCTGATAAAGCTTTTCTTATGCTCACAAAGGATTTAAAAATCAACCAAATTTCCATTTATTCTAGGATCTGAAGCTTAATGATTCTGGACATTTCTATGATGATGCAGGATCCTTCGCAGTTACAGATCTAAGTGATGGAGGACTTTCGCAATCATCAGAGATAATTCGACCTGAACACGCTTGTGTGTTAACCATTGGAAGCCCTAAACTTTCGTTGTCAGAAAATGAAAGTTTATTGAATCTTAGCACAGTCACGGTTTCATGTGATGGGCGTGTTGTTAGTGAAGACACAATTTCTAAGTTCTTAAATGTATTTAAAAAATTAATTGAAAATCCTAGCGCCTACCTGTAATTTGTAATTAAACAGTTCTGCCTTTTGTTGATAATCGCGCTTCTCGTTTGAGTTATAATACATTTCTTGTAGCTTTTATCCTTGACACGGAAAAATACTTAGCAACTTAGTTTCGTTTTTGCATACTCTTTCATTGCAAAGAATCTATTGAGTTTTCGCTATTAGTATTAACATCATCCTGCTAAATACATTTGTGCATTGTGATGTCATGTAATGTTGAGTAATGTAAGCTGGCGTATCCTTTGGTTAGAGACCACTCTTTTATCAGCTGATCATATGAAATCTTGAAAGGTTAGTAAAATAAGGTAAGATTATATCATTTCTGTTAACGAATCCTGATTATTTCAGAAAGTCAATTATAAATTATAAATGCCTAATCAAAATATTTCAGATCGAACATTTCGTGAAATTTATCTTCAATTATGATAAGCATTCAATTATGATAATCATTCAATTGAATCTTATTTTAAGAAATTCAATTTTAAATTTTATGTTTTTTATAATTGTTGATAACGTAGTGATATCTTTCTGGAATCTTTAAACGTTTTTTTTAATATAAGATAATCAAGAACATGATTGTTGGCCACAATATCTTCTTTACAGCCAATCGCTTTTTGATATCACCGCGTGATGTTGATTTCATTTGATCTGACGTCACAAAGTAAGCCTCGTTTAATTCTGATTGCGAATATTAACAGTTGTACATTTTTGTTGGCTTGAGGTCTTCGGCTGTTTCCTTTAATATGTCGAGTGCAAAGTTCAGGCCACCAAGTATCCCAAAGTCAATTGAAGCATTTGCTGAGAGGCACATACCAACTAGTGAAGAGCTAGAATGCGAACGGAGAGGTTATAAGTTAACTCGAACAATTTTGGGTAAAGGTGCTTATGCTAAGGTCATGTTAGCATCTGCTACAGCATTGAAGTTGGAGAAAGACAAGTCTTTGATGGAGGAACTCAAGCGTAAAGGAGATAGTAAGGTATGTGTCATTTAAAACCATTCGCCATCACAATTATTTTTCTTACACTGCGTTGTACTTCATAACCAATTTTGTACTTTAGCGTTTTGAATGGGCTTCGTCGGCTTTTTTCTCTTGACCGGTTTGATCACTTTGCTCATATAAGATTTTCAGGTTTTTAGTGGTTAAAAGATTTTAGCTATTATGATAACGACTTTAAGAAGCTTCAAAATTCCAAGCAATGAAAGAAGCAGATTGCCTTCTATCGCTTTTAGGATCATAGTTTCGCAAATAATGCCACTTGCAATGATAAGTTTAAAGTGTGGTTTGCAAACGTAATCTTCGGCATATCGAGGCTTTTAATTTCTAATGTTGCAGATTTCGGTCAGTAATACGTTTCTCATTTCTACGCGAATCTTGTCTAATTTTTTACTTACACAATGCATTCTCAATGTCAATTAGTAAGACGAACACTTTCCTTCAAGTTTGCCACTATGAATTGTAACAAATGAATTGGACGTGAATGCGAAACAGTTTTAGCTCATGTTAAATTAGTATGCTAATGGAGAATACTTGCACCATAATATAGATTAAAATCATTGTTTTACCGATCCTTCAAATAGTGCTTGATGCCATTTTGACAGAGCTGTACCAACTTTCGTGTATATGTTGCAGTTTTTACAATCATTTCCTATTTCAATAAGAAAACTTTTCAATGAGAGGAAGTTGACTGGTAGTAGAACTTTCGGCGCAAAGGCGCAGAATAAAACAACACCAATTTTTGTACAGAATCGATCAATGTTAGTTGACCTTTCTGATAATCTTAATTCTGCTTGGCATGGCTGAAATGTTTTGCGCTGCTAAAGCCTAGATACAAAACATCAAAGCGTACCATAAACACTCTCAACCAACTTCGAAATGAAAAGAAAGCTGACTTTTTTTGAAAATGTGAAGGCCGGAGTGCAATATTGATTAAATTTTTGTTACAGTTTTGGTTAGAAATAATCTGTCACTTAAATTTGGGTCATTTTGTGTAATCTTTGTACACAAAATAAGCAATAATCATTCAAAAAAGAAACTTTCTTATTTAAAGAAAACATTTTAAGAATTAATTGAACTTTGAGAAATAATCGAACACCAAACTTTCGTTATTTTTCATCAATGTGGTTGGCTGACTGGAATAAAACTTGAGACGTCAACAATACAAATATATTTTCCCCGTAAAAGAAATATGCGAACCAAGGCATAATTCTTTGGCAGATATGTAACGGGCATTTGACAACTGATCTTCCTCTGAGGTGTGGTTGTTTTTGCTATATTTCTGTGTGGGGTGGGGGTAGGGGGAATTGAGATGTCCAACATATGTCCGTTCTGTTATGAAATTAGGACATTTATCAGCATTTTAAGCCAATATAGCTAGCAACTACATGAATGCTATCAAAATTAAGAAACTCGTAAGAATAACAGTGAACAAAAATTTACTGAGTCGTTGAGGAAATGGGGAGAATATCAACCCTCGTTTTTACAAGAGTAAGTGTACATGTCATCATAGGACAAAAGAACAAGAACTTGATTAGCATGTTAAAAGGTTGCAAGTGGAAGGTGAGTAAGTTTTGATGTATTCTAAAACAATGAAAAAGTTGTGATGACGTAGATTTTGTTTTTCAGCTGTTGAAAATGCAGCTAATCTCACCTTCTTCGGGCTTGATAAAGCTGTCCTAGAGAAAAACCACCTTACTACAGTGATCTTGTGTGCCATTTCCAAAATAAGATTTAGGGTCAGTTTTTGTTGTTCGACCAAGAGTTTAAATTAGCCAAATTGTGAATCAGCACTTGATGCAGGAAACTAAATTTGCTATTATTCAGAATACACTTTAAGTTTCAAAGATGCGTTAGTGTTACTAAAGTGTTTATTAACTCTTCAGAAAGGAAAAACCAATTTATACGAAAACCTGACAAAATATTTTTCAACTTGTCGCTCATCTTGTTTTGATAACGTTCTCACTAATCAATTTTTACTGCTTTTCTCAATATGTGTGTACCTTTAGATTTTACTTTTTGAAAACAAGCTCAGAGATATGCACGTTTTCCGCAAGAAATTCAGCATGTCTAAATCCAATAAGATAACAATTGAATAATAATTAATCTCTGAATATTATGGTATCTAAAGAAAACTTAATTTTCCACTTGGTAAAGATTTCAGGGCAACTCCACTCTCTCCAGCAAACTTTAAGTGGAAATAACATCCCTGTACATGTAAAAGCAAACAGATGCCTTCGTGTATAGAACAGGACAGCTTCGATTTAAGCCCTATCATCGAATAAGCCCCCCCCCCCGTCGAATAGGCTTACACCTAAGCAACTTTTTTGTGAAATGAGCCTTCACCCTCGAGTATGCTCCCATTGAAAGAGATACTGCCTAAACAGCAAAAGGTTTATCCCCTTCCCCGTTTGCTATATTTGCCGTTTAAAGCAAACTGAGCAACCTCAAATAGAGGAAAGAATGATATTAATGATACCTTGATAATATTTTTGACTGCTGCTAAATAAGCTTCCACCTTCGCATAAGCCTCCCCCCTCCCCAAATACTTATTGCTATATAAACCCCCGGGGGCTTATTCGAGGAGTTACAATACAGTTGCTTGATGATAGCACAGTATATTATTTGTTGATAGCATTAGACGTGAAACTGATATGCAACTTACAATTTGTCAGTCAATTGTGATTAGAAATATTTATCGTTATGGATAGTCATTGATAAGTATTTTTTTCTATTTCTAAAGGTCGCAATAAAGATCATCTCAAAAAAGACTGCACCAGTGGAATATTTGAACAAATTCATGCCAAGAGAAATCGATGCACTAAACTCAATCAGTGGCTGTCACAATGTGGTATGTAAAATGAAGACCAAACTCATGGTTTTCTCAAATTCTCATTTTATGAAGCAGCAAGGAGGAAAGAACTGCAAGCAACAGGCTGAAGAGTTTCTAAGAAAGTTTAGGATATATTTGCGAAATGTCTAAAAGGTTTGAACTTCAGAGTTCAAACAAGTCCAAAAGAACGAGGATACAAATCATAAGTGTACTATTAATGTGTACAGAAAAAAAAGTGTCGCAATTCACTTTGATTTAATAGCTTTTGCGCATAATTGAATGACCTATACTTCAAGAAAGGGTGAGGTGAAGGGTGCATAATAGAAATATTTTGGGGGGGGGGGGGGGGGGGTTGGGGAGAGATTAGGAAAAACTCTCATCAAGAATGGATCTGTTTTAACTCAATGATAGGAAGTAGAGAAAGTGCACCATTAGCAGAAATCAGGATAGAATGTTATAGAAAAGGACTTCTCTCTTTTACTAGAATATGAAATTTAGCAATATAAATTACATACTACTATACATTTCAATTACGTTACAAACACAACAGGTGGGCAACAGGTACGATAATATTGAGAGCGAATGACGATAATATGGCAAATAGATACGCAAACTGTATACGGTCACACAACGAACGTTCAATGAGTTTGCAATAGGCGTTATTTACATATCCTTACAAACTTTAAAACAATTTAACTTGCTTGTGTTTAATTTGCCTACAGCGATTATCTACTTTATTTTGTTCAGGTGAAGCTATATGAAGCATTTCGGTCTGAAAACAGAATTTATTTGGTGATGGAATACGCTAATAAGGGTGATTTATTGGAATTCATAAACTCTGGTCGTTCCAATTTGCCTGGTATAGGCGAGCCGAAAGCAAAGAGGTTCTTCAAACAGTTGGTAGAGGGGCTGGATTATTGCCACAGAAGGAACATTGTACATAGGTATATTCCTATTTAGTTCATTGTATCCACAGAACTTACCGTCATTATTTTACAATGTTTATTAAATCTTTGAATGAAATGAAATCTTTGATTTGTTTGATTTTTTCAACAAACAATCAACCCAAAATTCACTTTAAAATGTAAAAAAAGTTAAATTTTATAACTTGTTATAGCTTGGTGGCCCCTACTTTTAAAAAATTTGTTATGGCCCCCGAGATTTGCCACCCTGCTATTGCACCCCTGAATACAACCGAGGCAATATAAAAGTAGGGGCCACCGTCATTCATCGGTTATTCATTCATTCATTCATTCATTCAACAGTTATTCATCGTCATCGTTAACAAACCCAAAACTCTGGTATACCCCATCCCTAATGCCAAATAGATCCGGCCACACATATAGCGTGATTTAATTTCACTTGGTGAAGCTTAAGGCTAATGAAGTTTAAAATTTAGAATTTAGATTTCAGTGATATTTGTAACCATTTTAGCAACGAATCTGATAACAAATTCTGCATTTTTCAGAGACATGAAATGCGAAAATATTCTTATTCATGATAAAGACATTATCAAAATTTCAGGTATTTTGCAAAAATAATGTATTATAGTATCACTATCTACATTTTGATTACACTTTCACTTCACTTTTATTTGTAAATAGTTGCAAGTCAGTTTTCAAAAATCAAACATCAAACAAGAAATATTTTATGCTTATTTGATTTGGCATAAATTTCAGCTTTAATTAATTTATTTATTTATTTTAAATTTAATGAGCAACTATTACGATGGAATGAGAATTACTGCTGACCGATCTATTGCAAACTGTTTGATGCCGAAACAGACCTGCATACTCTTTCATTTTCTAGACCAGCTACCTGAGAATGGCATTTGGTGTGAGTCTAGTTGTTGCAACTAGTAACTCTACTGATCAATAAACTCAAGCTTTTACCATAGATATGATTAGATATGCTATTTTCATAATTTATGCAATATTTGTAACTTATGTGATTTATGTAATTTTTCATTCTACAGACTTTGGTTTTGCCACGCGATTCCCAACCACAAGACAACCACTGCTGGAAACCTTTTGTGGATCGTACGCATACGCTGCCCCTGAAATCCTCCAGGCTGAAAAGTATGATGGGAAAGCTGCTGATATCTGGAGTCTGTGAGTTGCTTTATAAGATATTCAGTCACGAAAAGTCTGATAATAGACTCATACTGGTTGCAGAATCGTCACAATGTTTTCTTTACTTCTTATTTTTTTTACTGCAAGCAGTTACGTTCTTGACAGTGCAATTGAAAACATAGACAGGTAATTTTTTTTAGAAATAAAGGTTTGATATAAGAAAATTGCAACTGAGTAATTTGCAGTAGTCGACCTCTTTTGTAAACCTTCTAGTGATTATGCCTCGATGTAGCAGCAGCCAGCAGCCTTAACGAAATATTCAATATTTTGGCAAAATATACATCAACTGACCAAAATTTATGAGAAACGACTGTTTTTATAAAAATATTAAAAGTATTTCACTTTGGTCATGCGTCTGTGGTCATCTCAAGCTCTCAGAACAGCTAAGCATTGCAGACTGAATGCTATATGTTTATGACTGCTATGAATTGGAGACAAAATTTTTCATTCCCAGTTTCCTTCTTTGTAAAAAAAATCCAGAATACTGCTGAAATTGTAAAAAATAATGCTTTCTTCACAACACCAAAATCTAGAAAAACTGCCATGCTGAGCTCGTTCAAATCAAGCTGGTGAATTTTTCAAATTATTCAAATTACATTTTTAGCTTCAATTTTTCGTACTACCAATTTATGTTAGCCTCAACAGAATAGTTAAATTATTTCATCTACAAATCTGACTGCTTTTATAATCAATAATTCTTTAATCATTGGCATCGCATCAAACTTTAAATGGGTCACGTTTTATACGAACTTCAATCAAAGGTACCTACCATTTTATTATCGAATTCCTTACAAGTTGTTGTGATTTCATCTATTTTTGTAGTGGAATAATTCTGTTTGCAATGTTGAACGGAAGGCTGCCGTTTAATGACCGAGACATCCCAACATTAGTGGAACAAACGAAAGGGAAGTTACGCTTTTCTACAAAAGTTCAGCTTAGTGCAGGTACGACATTTTAACATACAATTAGTTATAATTTTTCAATTTCTGCAGTCATTTATACATTCTCGTTATGAGTAACAATGTATCAAATCATTTATTTTAAGAAAGATTCACCCATTTCATTGTGCTGTCAAGCGACTAAAAATAATTTCTTTTGAATTGCCACAATGCCTGTCAGATTTTCTAGAAGCAACTTTGCTGTTCATTTCTTTGAAGAAAAATGCTCCTTCTGTTTCTTTTCCAGAACAACTTTGATAGTTAAGGTAATAATCATGCACATCCCATGAAAGCAGTACTTTTACGTCGTCTCACGTCATCTCATAGTAAACCAACATGCTCTAGGGTGACGAGGGGATGCTTGAATTCGACACTTGAACTTAATGTTAGTATTCAGGGAACATTGGTCTGGGGTTCGAGTCACTGACATGACCATATGAATCATGATATGTGGTCACATCGAGGTGAATGACTAGTAGGAAGTTGGGGCGCTGCTCTATAAGCACAGCTTCTCTGTTTCCGTTAAAATCCTTACAGAAGTTACATACTAATAGCTACAAATAAAAATATAGCATACGAATTCGACCCTGAAACTTGTTGTTATTTTCCCGAGAATCTTGGTAGTGAAAGTACCTAGATAAAAACAGTAACAGCAATTTTAATGAGTTATCTAACAAAGCAAAAGAATTTCATTATAAATTGAAAACAGAAAGGCCAACTTATATTTTTTCTTTATGCTGGACTTGAGAGAAATTGTTGCGAAATGAAACACGCAACATTAGCGTGATAAAGATACATAATACGGTTAGTTTTATGTAAACGAAATTCCTTCAGTCCGTATATTCACCTATTCGATCTCTATCTTGGCTTTCACTAATAAAATAATTCAATTCAAATTTACCAAAAATCTGTGAATCCATTTAAAGCAAGGCATGTTTTGGCATTCGGAAGGAGTTGATATATAAGAGTTTGTTTTTCAGATTGCAAAGATTTGGTGAAGAGAATTTTGACTCCAAATCACAGAAAAAGAATACCTCTCTCTGAGATTCTTCGCCATTCATGGCTACAAAGAGAAACCTCCGAAAGTGTAGGAAATTGTTTTGAAAATTTGTTTATTTCTGTCTTTGAATAAATTCAGAATTATTTTGAACTTGACAAGTGACTTTGATAATAGCTTTTATACATTTTCAATTTTCATAGCAAAGCGAATTTCTAGAAATTGCTTTGCATATTTTGATTCTTCGATTGTTTTATGTCCACTTTATTTGTTTCAAAATTCTTATATTCTCTTTCATTATTTGCTGAAATCTTTACATATATGTTGCCACAGTATACTTGAGATATTATTTATGCTAAATTATTTTCAAAATAGATGAACAGTAGTCTTTGTTGTGTTCTGCATATTGTAAGAACGATTAGAAGCACTTTAAACTTCTGTTTGTTCTCTTTGCTACAGTTTCCTTATCAGTGCGTATTTTATTGTGAAGAAGTTGCACCCTTAATTTGTTTTTTTATTAGAAACGTGGTGTTTGAGCAAGGGTAGTTTCTTTTATACAAGGACGACTTTAGTTATGCAGACATCGAAAAAAGATTACTTTCTTTTGTAGATCTATCAAGTTAAGCTTTAACACGTGTTCCTGAAATCTTTGATGTATCGCAGATGATATAGCATAAGCAATCTATGTTCATATTCTAACATTTCTATAGTTTAATTTATATTTTATTGTCGTATGTTGTTTTGAGCTTCTTTGTCTGGATTTCTAAATAGCCTATATGTCGTTAGTGTGCGTTATTTGCAAGTGCTATAACGTTTTGATAGCTTTAAACTTAAAGCGACAATTTCTGCAGCAAATTCATGCTAACTTCAAATAGGCTAAGAATAATTATTCATGACAGGACCTCTTGCTAACTACGGCAAGAGGAGTACCGGATGGAAAAAGCGAGAAATTCATTGCTTCGGATGAAAAGGCAGCAGAACCTAAGAATCTTTTGTCAATATACCATAGAGAAACGAAAGATTTGCTTACTGGGGCAAAGCTAGAAACAAGTACAAAGGGTATGTAAACTTTTCAGGCTCATTTCCACTAGGCGAATCCTTTCGCACGAATCGAATTTTTGCCAATGTTAGCATGCGTGGTGTCATGTTCTCAGATTTCGCAGCGAAAAAATTCGATTCGCAGAAAGTAGATCACGGTCCTACTCTATCGCTACGAATATTTATTCGATTCGCACGAAAGAATTCGCCTAGTGGAAATCGGCCTTTATGGATCATCATTAGTAGCAAATCATTAATGCCCATTATCACGGTAACGTGACATTTGATTTTTGTCATGCCTTCATGTATACGTAATAGCGAAAGTAGATGTCGAAACAAGGGATGTGTCGAATCTGTGTCGGAAAATTTAAGAGATTCTTGGGGGGGGGGTAGAGGGGTGGAGGTTGATTGGCAAAGTTGCCTTGAAAATTTGATATTCCTGCTTCTGGAAGTTGAAGAAAAAAGGCCACTCAATCGGATGACTCGGGATTATCACTATGATTGTCCATCTTTGATATTACGGCACTCTTCTGGTAATGATGCTTAGTTTTCAGTTCAACCTAGGGAATAGACATGCTATGAAACCACACACCTTACTCTAGTTTTATAAGCTAAAAAACCGCAGCAGGACAAAGGAATCCACAGCATTGTCCATTTTCTTGTAGAATTGGTACAAGTAAAAGCTGAAGAAACACATCACAAAAGACCCTAATGAATAGCAAAAAGAAAATATAAACTTAAGACAGGTCAGATAAAGGGCGAATGGCCTTTGTGAAATGAATTCTGATTCAATTTCATTTCATCGTCGTTGAAAATTTTCATTCAGTATTTAGACTGAATGACATTGCCCCCTAAAGCTCTGGTTACATTATATTATGTCGTTTAACCAGGGTTAAGCCTGGGTTGAACGAACCCGGTTTAAAATTTCAAATAATCTCTCTCGGTGCGGGCGGAACCAGGTAACAGCAGTAAAGACGTAACCTAGTAGTCAGTGCTTCCAGTGTGTCTTCGACGTGGTTCCATTTCCAGGTGAACAAGGACTTGGTGGAAAGTCAATTTTTATTTATTTGTCATTCTAGGAGCGATTTTGGACAAGTGGGCTGATAAAAACTCCAAATGCTCAGTGATGGCACTACTTTTGCGCGATCAGGCTTTGGAGAGCAGTCAACCTCATTCTTTGAAAGAAAAACGGCACAACTTTACCAAGAAGGGTGATATAAGATGCGATACCCAGTTGTGTGATATTTCAAACATGACTTGGTGTACAGTTTCACAGAAAACCCCTGTATCCCAACCGAATCAGAAGCAAAAAGCAGAACAATTGAAGGATGAAAAATCGAGTGTTGGAAAAACCCAGACTTTAGAATACAGATATCAAGCATTAGCCAAAGAGAAGAGTCGGGGAAATAATAATGCGAGGGGAAAAAACGCAATTGAAGATCAAAGCAAACGGGGAGAGGCTGCTAAGAAGGCACCAGTCACTACCACGTGGACAGAAGTCAAGATCCCTGTTAGTAACATGAAAACTGCTGGCCACAGGCAGATTTATTATCCAGGTAAGTTCGCTAAATTCTTTGTGTACGGTCTATTTGTTTTGAATAGCGATACAAGGGTAGTAGAACAGTCTTTCGGCGCTTGGAGATGACATAACTTCTCATTTACACTCGGCAAACTTTCGTATTCAAACCCAACAATCTGTTCTAAACGCTTGATTTTTCATAACATAATCAATGTAATTTCTTGGCTCTTTTCCACTATATGTACCAATATCTTGCCTACTGCTCGCAGTCTCAAGGCAGCTAGTAGTTATGATGCAAGATGTAATTCATCATGGGTATCGGCTTTTTCGACAAAAACGAGACTCTGTGAAATAGTTTTCAAAATGTGGCATCATTAGGCAATTATTCATCTTCTCTTCCAGTTTTTGACTTCTCAATTCTGTTTTTGAGAAAGCTATTCCCCCGTTTAAAGTGTTTATAGGACTCTGCGAAGCCGTGTTACAGCTTTCCAAGAAACGCAGACCAAACTCTTCTAACGTTAGCGAAATATCAGTATTTGTTTTAAAAAGCAGTGACGGGTGATGATTATATTTTGTTGTAGAATGCTTCCTTTTCTCTGTACGTCACTTATGTATCCATTTGACTTTACGCCACTCCATTAACGCAAGATCGTTGGGGAATCTAAGATTTCTAACATAAACACCCTTTTATTTAGAAACTGACTGGCTGAAACCTTTTTGCAAGTTTCTTTATATTGACGGAGATAGACTTGTTCATGTTTTTCTTTTAACTACTGCCAGTCGAGCCAGGGTGGGTGATCCTCCGGAGTAGCCAGCAATGCGAGCGCAGAGCGAGTAGAGCGATTCCACTATAAGGATGGGATGACTGTTTCCTCTCACCAGGGGCGTCGTGGCTCCTAGAAAAGGGCCGGCAGAAAATCATCATAAGGGGGCCCGCTCTTTGTATTGTATGACATCTCCAATCACAAACCGCCAAAAATGGTACGTACCTGGAAACCATGCATCGATGAAAAATTAGAAAGATACCATTTTTTATCATTTTTAAGGTTCATCTGCAACATTTGACAAGAGTGTATTCCCTTTTCTCTAACCATAGCCTCTTCTAGATTGGAACTTGATACAAACACAAATGGGACAGAGAACTTACGTGCCCTATGAATTAGTTCGAAATACATTTCATAATTTTTCTTGCAGTCATTTTCTTGTAATCATTTACAACGTTTTACGATTTCTTAGGTACACTTTGTTGCGTTTCGTTATAATTCAGTGCTTAAAATAGAATTCCTTACTTTAAGAGGCCTCCTAGACCTCGAGGACCTGGGGCAGTTTGCCCCTCCATGTCTTCCTCTCTGCAGCCCTGTTCAGATCCACGCATCCCTTTCACAGGACCCGGTTTGTATATGTTTATCTCCAAGTCTCTTATTCTAAACTATGAACTTGAGTTTACATGTAAGTGAGAGATTTTTTCGCCAAAAGTTTTTTTCGCATGAAATATTTTCCTGGGTTTTACAAACTCACTTGAACGCGGCCCACCTGGTTATCTCCCGGTGTCCCGCCTAGCCACAACCCCCTGCCTCTCACTGCCTCTTGCTTGGTGAATTTAAGAGTTAGCCCTGATCAACGGAACCGTATTACTAATTGCAACTTCGTATACTTAAAAGAACCTTGTAGTTAAAAAATGCGATGCAGATTTCATAAAATGTTATGAAGTTTACCTGTATGCGAAAATAGTTTTAATTTATGGGAATCTGGTATAAAATACTCTATGCATTATGAATTTACCCTAATTCAGGGTAGGCCAGTTTATCCACTTGACAGTCTTTCACTGTTTCAATTTCATGAGTAAATTGAATGTTTTTTTGTAGGCTTGAAATTGAAGGATAATGAGTCACCCGACCTAAATCTGCCTCCTGTTTATAACGAGCAGAGCAGAGCTTCGACATCTTTGTCAAAGAAACCAGCGACGTTAGAAGAATCAAAAAGAAAGAGGACAGTAGAGAAACAGCTGATAAAAGAGGGGCAACTAGAAGCCAAATGTGTGAACTTTACAAATGTGAGGGTTAATCTACGAGGAAACTGGCCTAAACACACCTCAAAACGTGTGCGTAATAGCAAAAAGAACGCACTTAGATATTATAATCTTAACGGGGAAGAGGTTGCTCAGAGAAAGTTCGATAATTCAGGGAAAACAAGTGTAACTTTAGACGTTAATGGTAAAAAGGCCTATTTGGGACAATGAATAACATACATGTTTTGGTCTTCAGTTAATTTGTTGGTTGTCTCTCTCTTCAATCTTTGTTCATACATTTATCACTTTTTAAATTTAGATGTTATATGCTATAATTTGTCTCCAAAGCAAGTAGCAAAATATTAGTTAAAATGACCTCAGACACAAGACACATAAGCAGAAAGACGCATGACTTTGTGGATAAACAACGATTTAAAAATTGCTTTGCTGATTGAACATAAAATATACCCATTGATCGGGTGACAAAAGAGCTTTCTAGATTGGTCAAACGAATGAATATACACAAAGTTGATTGTTTGAGTTGAATCAAGTGACTTTGCTGGTGATTTTTCTTATTTGGCGAAGAATATGAAGCAGAAAGGTCACGTTGCTGATTATTGTCAAAATCGTAATTAATTGAAATAAAAAATTTGTAGCTTCGTTTTCTTGACAATATTTTCTTAAGATACTTGAAACGATGATAGAGTCATAAATTTTTATATTGCTTCCCTGGATACATGAAATATCAAAGATTACGTCAATCCTTCCATTCCATGTGTTTCAAAAAATGTTTTAAAAACAGGGTTGCCACTGTAAGATATACAGGAACAAAGCAATACGACGACGAGAATCCAATGTCACGAAATAAATTTTCAAAATAAATTAAATTAAATTTATTTTGAAAATTTATTTCGTGACATTGGATTCTCGTCGTCGTATTGCTTTGTTCCTGTATATCTTTCATTTTAAAATCTCATTGCAAGATTCACAGAATCCGGCGGAAAGCCTATCCTGCGGTTCTTCCTTCTCACACTTAGCCACTGTAACCCTGTGTCCACTGTCAACACGAGGCAATTTTGGTTGTTGGCGAGTGTTCAAGACTTACATAACACGTGGGAACGTTTCTTTTGGTCTACAAGAAGGAAAAACTGAGAACTAAAGCCTCAGAGATGTCAGTGGCAAACGGAATTTCCTCTGGCATTGGTACGTAGGACGATAAAATCTGCAATTATAATTATTATGTCATATATTAGATTGATGTAAAGAGATCAATAATTTACGTTTATAATATGGATTGGTGTTTTTCCTTTAGGCCATTGTGGTCAACCTTCCTTGAAGCAACTAATTTTCTTAAAGCTTCCAATCTGGAAAATATCTCGAATTCTGAAGTTTGATTGTTTATCCTATTAGATCAAGAACGAAAAGCTTTTTCCTTCTTGGAGAATAAAACTACTGATATATTGACAAATTCAAATGAACAGGGTAGTTAGATGTGTCGAATGAAGAAAAGGCCACTGTAGCAGGCTGCTCGACGGGCTCCAAGGAGTTCTTGCGGCGAAAAGTCGATAAAAATGTAGCAAATATGAAACATCGCGATACAGAGGCGGATCTAGGGGGGTGCTATGGGTGCTTGAGCACCGGTCAAAATTTTCGGAGATATAACATTTAATGCATTTTCTCTAATCTCTGAAAAACGTCTTGAATCCTTTTAGATGATGTAAATGCATTTTCCAGTAAACTGATGACATACGGTCATGCGTTAGTTAGCATAACCTGTATCTGCTTTAAACTATAAATAGCTAGAAATTTCATGTTGAGCTGCCCTGGAACCAATTTTTTTACTTGTCCATCAAACCACACTCTCGGCCAATGAGCTACTTCAATTCTACGGTGCTTGAGCACCCCTATCAGTCAACCTCTAAGGTCAAAGTTGCAACTGAGCCAATCACATCACGCTCTGATATGTTTTTCCTCAATGTCGAGCACCCCTATCAATCAAAACAAGGCTTCAACCAATCCGTTTGCCAAATTTCGGCTCATCTGAGCACCCCTATCAATCATTCAATATACACTGGTGCATACCGTCACTGAAACAACTAAACCTGTTCGTGTAGCAGCAATGGCGGACATAAAATCGTTGCTGTTGCAGGTGTTCTCGGTAATTGGTTGCCAGTCGACTGAAGAACTTGAAACGGAAAACGAGCTTTTGAGTATTCAGTTAATCGTGAGAAAATTTTTTGATAAGAGTGAGGTGGATGGTGTCGTGACTTGTGGGAATACACAGATCGATGAGTTCGCTGAACTGCAAATGCCAAAGGTTCAAGTACTGTCCCATGGAAGTTCTGACCTTCGGCCTTTCTGGTTGGTAGTTTCTTTTACCAGACTTTAAATGCAAAACGTTTTAACAGAATATTTCTTGGATTAATTCGACAAAAATATTGAATTTTACAGAGAAAAATGCGCACCCCCAAAAAAATTGTGCCAAGGATTTTTGGTTGTTGGGGTGGTATGGTAATTACTACCAGAATGAATTCGATACCCATTTCTTGCCAAATGCAGATGACCCCAAAAACGTACTACTTCAACACAAGGGACTTAGTAAAACAATCAATTTTTATCAACAAATTCTTACAAGTATTGATTTAAAGACATTGAGTCATGGTAAATAGGCCTTCTCTATAGGGGGTCATTTGGATTCGGCATGATCGCTGCTGTTTCATGTGATACTTGCATCCGATGTTGACAACTTTCTATTGATGGAAATTGTTTTGTCAATCAGTACGAGGTGAGTTCATGTGACCAGTTCAAGGTCAACCAATAGCATGGCATTCATGAAAATCATGACTCAGCGGATTCTGGCACTTAGGGTATACCCAATCCATTTTACCGTGACCCAATTATATTTAACTCAATTTTCGTATAGGAATGGTCAGTTAACGTAGCAATGATTCTTTTTGCTTTTTTTTGTTTGAAACATTTTAGCTGCCTTTTTACAAAAATGAACCACCTAAAATTTCATTCATTGATTAATGTGATGTACAAACTGCAAAGGTAGCAGTGTTATTTTTAACTAGCATTGCTAGCATATAGGCTTCTAAAAAAAGATATAATTTTCTATATAGTTATGCTTTGATACCTGAATTTAAAAAAGATTAATTTATCAAGATGGGTGTTGCCTTCATTTAACCGTAAGTAAAAGTGGGGTGTGGCATTATTATGGCTATTAAGGCAACGCCCTTAAGCACCCCTCAGATTTTCCGCTGGATCCGCCTCTGCAATACGCCGAGAATAAACAACAATAAAAACACGTAAATCAGTAAAGGCTAATATTTCGCCCCGGCATACCAGGGTTTTATTGTTGTTCATTTATGCTACATAGAGATTATTTATTAGCATATTTGCTACATAGAGTTAGATGGCTAGGTCTCTTTAGGTGGCTCGTATGTATCCTGCCGGTAAAGGAAGATGAAGGGTCTTGAACCCCAGATAGTTAGCTAAGAATATGGCCCATTTAATTTCTCAAAATCCAGTGCAGCATTGCAGATTATTGACTGTGTAATGTGGACATGGTCCTGGTGAAATTTACCTGGGCAAGTCTACAAACCCACTTCACTTCAAGAGATCCCTGGTTCACTACTTTCAATGATTTTCTTTACTTTCAATGATTTTCTTTAGATTTCTCTCTCTTTTGACTTTTCCCTCTAGAGCTAATATATTTGAAGTAAATGTATTATTTATGTTACAGACCAAGTTAAAAATCTCTCTTTGAATGGAGTTACTACAGAAGAAACAAGAATTACTTCTTCAGCAAAAACAGGTTAGTGCTCAACTGTTTCAACTTCCACTGAAGGTTCACTTATTTGCAACTTAATTTTGATTTTCTTCATTATTGAAGTAAAAATAAGGAAAAGCTTGTCTTTTTGTTGATTCGGACATTGTAAGAGAGATTTTGCTTGCTTTGTTAAATTATTTTTTCTCCTCACTGCAAGAAGCTGGATATTTAGGTTGGGTCTCAAAATGTAGACATTTCGTTTGCTGTAGGGACTTTCAAAGTGAAGGCTGGGATGGCACAGATGGCCAAAGGTGGAATTGTGATGGATGTGGTGAATGCAGAACAAGCAAGAATTGCAGAGGAGGCTGGAGTAAGTCTTCTGAGGGCAACTGATTTGTTATGTCAGCTACTTTAACTTCTAAATTTTTATTTATTCAGTTGTATATGTAGGGAGAAGAAAGGGCATTGCTTCACATTTGTTTAAAATGTTTGTTAATACCAGTCTGTCTGCTCATTGAACCAGATTCTATCATGAATATCTCAGTACTTGATTTAAATTGTTGTATATTACACTCTACTTCACTCATTTAAGTTTTAATTCCCCTAAAGGCAACTTTTCAGAATAAATGCCGTATTTAAATTTGACAAACTTGCTAAACCTTTAATCCCTGAACTTAGATAACTCACAGACTCAATCATATTTTGTATGCATTTTGACAACAAGGGTTACATTCAGGGATAGATTTATACATCACTGATTGGAGGGTGCTGATAATGTTTGAATTTTGGTGCCACACCCTTCGGGTGACCGGAAAATGATGGAAACACCTTTTTAAAAAGTAAGCTTTTAGCCTCAAGATAATGAAGATAAGAAGATAAATTAAGTAAATATTTGCATTATTTTGTTACTAATGACCTTAAAAAAATGCTTTTTACTGAATCAAGGAAAAATTTACCCAAAGACACTAAAAAAATTGGGGGTGTGTTGCACCCCTACAACCTAGTAAATTCCTCCCTGGTTACTTTTAAGTTTTAATGACAACACAGCAAGTCATGATTATCTTATTTATGGCCAAGGGAAAGCATTGTTTTCGATAAACTTGTAGGAAATTATAAAGTGATCAACATGTAAAGTGAAACATGATTTTGATTTGCTAGGCATGTGCTGTAATGGCCTTGGAAAGAGTCCCAGCAGACATACGAAAAGATGGAGGAATTGCTAGAATGTCAGATCCCAAGGTATTTTTAGTTTAACTGCATTGATCATCTGAAACCAGATTGTAATAGTTTTATGTTGTTTAGAATAAACATTGTAGGTGCTTCTTAATAATATACATTTTTCTACACCAGAAAGCTTATTCTTGTACATTGAAATGCTGGTTGATCATTCATTTAAAGGAGAATCAAACATAACCCACTTTTCTCAGGAAGATCATCAAATGCTCATTGTTTATTTATAGCCGAACAAAGTACATATTGGCACTTACTGGCCAAGCCAGTAATTTCCTAGTTTGCTTCATCAAACTACCTGCAAGATTATCTTTAAACATCAACACTATAATATAGGAATGACATTCAAATATAGGAAAGTTCCATCAACAAGGTTGTCTTTGTCCCATCTGTGCATGCTTAAGTCTGGTTCATCTCAGCATTGTAAAAAATATTTTGGTTATTATTCAGCAGTTAAATGCTTTTGGTGACCTGTATGAGTACCTGATATTTTTCCTGGGTCAAAAAGCTCTTTTATGAGTTAAAACTGCCTTTGGCACCATTGCATTAGGGACATTACTTTTATTTTTTATGCTTCTCAAGTAGAGACTGAAATTGCTAAAAAAGACAGGAAAAATGTCTTTTAGCATCAAAGAAGGCAGGCGATTGCCCGGGCCCACCTCCATGCTTGCCTCCACGCTTGACTCGGGTTGGCGAGACGAGCTATTCATTGCCTCGCTAACCGACCTCGCCAACTGTTAAAGTATACAGGAGATCCCCCACTGATAGTTATCTTTTTAAGGACCGTACAAAGCTGTCATCTCTCAAAATCTTTTAATCTTAAAATTTCCAGTACTAGCTTAATAAAATATGTGTCTGTTCCTGTGACAACAAACAAAATGACAGTCTTGGAATAAATGCTAGTTTGTACTAATGTTATAACAAAATCACACTATGTGATTTAATTTTGGTTCTATTCTAATCTTGTTAGTGAGAATTTTTGTTGATTTGCGACTATAGGAAACTATCATTTTATTTCTGTTGGAGAATCACCATCTTGTTTTGTAAACTTAGCTGTTAAAGACTGTTGTTTATTCATATACTTTTATTGACGATTTTCAAGAGACTAAAAATCACCTGCCTGACTTACCGAGGAGAGAGATGTACCGCTTGCCTGCTAAAATGCTCAGGGCCAGGGCTGCAAAGCAGTCTGTATTAAACAGAAATAGGTGAACACTGGTGTAAATATGAGTAATATTGTTTGATGTATGTTAAAAGGCCTATCAGATCAAGCATATCTTTTGTCTTGATTGGACTAGCGTGGACCAGGTTTTGAACTGATAGAAGACAGATTTAAAGCACTCAAAACTTCTGATCTGTTAATAATGTAATGTGTTATTTTAGATGATCAAAGAAATTATGAGTACAGTAACAATTCCTGTCATGGCAAAGTGCAGAATAGGTCATTTTGCTGAAGCCCAGATATTAGAGGCATTAGAAGTAGATATGATTGATGAATCTGAAGGTAAGTTTAAGTCTTTAGTGGCATTCAGGAAAAATGCATCAATTTTGAATCTAGTCACATACTTTAGGAAAAAGTGGAGAAACTCTAGGAGCAGTTTGAATTAAAAGAACAACCAAAGTGCAAGGACAAAATGTGTTTATTAAGAAAAGTCACATTTACCAAAAAATGATGTTTCTCTCCTAACAGAGTTGCTTTAATAAACTTTAATGAATAAGAATAATTTTTAAAGGTTATCATGTCATTTCCAACATCAGTAACCCAGGTACGAATGATTATTAAACAAAGTAAATCATATCATTTCAGCCCATTTTTAGAATTTTGCTCTGCTTTTAAAACATTCCGGTTAACCTGTTCCTATTTCATGTCAAGTTTAAATCTTTTAATAAACAATTGATCATAATTTATTAGCTTCAGGCAAAGGCTTGAAAATAAGGTGGAAAAAACATTCAAAGTTTTTATTTTGCTCTTGTTTGCGTTATACTATATCCTCAATATAAATTGATTTGCAGTATTGTGCAAAAACTTGTTTGAATCAATAATTTTCAGGGTCTTTAACCATACTACTGGGATACATTGCAGCATATCAATTGATATGTTTTTTTATAGTACTAACACCTGCGGATGAGCACAATCATGTTGATAAACATGCTTTCAAGATCCCTTTTGTGTGTGGTGCTAGAGATCTTGGTGAAGCTTTAAGGAGAATTTCAGAAGGAGCTGCGATGATAAGAACGAAAGGAGAAGCAGGCACAGGTCTGTCACCTTTAGTTTTAACTACCTTCTTCTTTGGATGTTTGCTATATTAGATATTGCTAAGAGATATCAGATAGATAATATTGTTTTTCTTACCTTGCATTTCAAGATTACAATGCATGCAAACCATATTACTAGAGGTAGTTATTAACAAGCACTCCAGAGCTGGGGTGGGGGGGGGGGAGAGGGACGGAGGTAGTAGTATTCGGGGAAACAAATGAAAAATAGAAAAGCACAGCGCAAAGTGTTGGATGTTCCAAGTAATTTTGTCATTTGATTGTACCTTAAACATGTGATACTCCATGCACTTCCTTTGGTCAAGTACCTGATCAACTTTGATTTGAGTTCTCATATATTCATGCGATATAAAGCAGGCCACTAAGATTATAAAAGGTGCGTATTTGTAGGTATCGTGTATATTCATTTGAACATACTCCTCTGACTGGTCAATAAGGAGATTATTTTTAATCATCTTGTCACCTTTAGAGCTTGCCTTTAGTAAAGAAGATCGCTTCTTGATTGTAGCTTTACCATATAATAAGGTGACCGACGACATCAATCTTTCACTAGCTGTTTTCTTCAATATATAATTGTTAACCGATTTACAGTCGAGTGCGAGGATGGCTTGGCTCAGTGGTAGGGGTAGCACATCTCAGGTAATGTCCTTGGAGGGCATTTGTTTTCAGAATTTTGGACCGACTCTTTTCGACTATTTACTACTTATCAGTTGCAGTGGACTCTATATATTTGTATTCTATATAGTACTCTGGGTACCAGGGCCACATAATTTCGAGCGTGGAAATAAGCCTGCAAACGTCCTCGACCTTGAGACATTCTTTCTGCCTCTAACATAGTCAACCCGCAAACGTCTTTGATGTTGTCATACAGTCTTGTCTTTGGCTTTCCTTTAACTTCTTTTCCAGGCTTTTAGTCCTTAATACCTGCCCAAGAACAGCCAGCTCTTTAAAGCCAGTGCTATCTCAATTTATTTTTCTTAACTTCAACCCTGCTCATGGGTATTGTCGGCCCGTAGATACTGGGGGCGGGGGGGCAATGCCCCCCAATAATTTGCGAAAACTGTGTTTGAAGATCTTATAAGCGCTGACAGTATTTAGTTAGGCAGGTATAGAAAAAGCTATATTTCTGTTCATGCCCCAAATCCAGTTTAGCTACTACGGGCCTGCATTGTGCAACGGTAGCACCAGATTTCCAGGGTTGCAGGTGTTTCCTATCATACTTCCTAAAAACCCAGCACTCAGATTAGGGTATAGAATAATCCAATTTTTGCTTTTAGTTTTATGCTTCTATCTTTCAAGACAACTGATAGTGCTACTGGGGCATTGTTTGTGATTGCTATTCTTCTTATTGTCGCACGCGAAACATCGTAACTGTAAGTTTAAAATACTCCTAGAAATTTGAATTTTTGAATAAAAATTCTCCAATCGTAACGAGCTTGCCACCATCATCTCTCGCTCCATATCTTTGTATATTCATAACCTTCTTTTTCTCTCTTGCTTTGTCTACCAGTTGTTGAGGCACTACTATGTTGCCAGCCATCAAAATTACACCATCTGTGTATTGAGCCTGCTGACGCTCCCTACAAAGTCTTCCAAAGTCTTATAGCTTATACCCCTGCAACAATAGCTGGCAGTAACAACCAAGCCAGTGTATTTTTACAAATATATTGATAGAAATCTACGCACAAGCCCAAAATAAATTTGTGAAAGGGTTGTACTAGTCCTTACAGGGCCCGAGCCTCTGATCTTTAACTAGAGGGGCCAGCAACGTAAATAGAGTTTCCTCTTCCCCCTCACCCTTCAGCCACAAATGTGACAATAATTTGACACTGGTGTACTTGTGGACTTTGGTGCAATGTATTTGTTGTAATCTAAAGGTTTGTCTATATAAAACTTTAAGCTGATTTTAGTATTTTATTTAGTGAAAAAGAGGGGAGGCCATTGCCCCTTGCCCCCCTGGGGCACTGTTCCTGCCTTATTAGAAAATGTTGAGCCAGGTTTTCTTTCGTAGGTGATGTTTGTGAAGCAGTGCGCCACGCCCGGACAATCAGAAACGAAATACGACGTGCAAAATCCATGGACACCTCGGAGCTTTATTCTTATGCCAAAGAATTAAGAGTTCCAATCGATTTACTGAAAAAAACTGTTGAACTAGGGCGACTGCCTGTTGTTAATTTTGCAGCTGGTGGTATTGGTAAGTGCAATATAGATTTATGTTAATTATGCAGATATAAAATCTCTTTGCCAGTTTCAAACCATATTCTTTCGCTGTTCTCCAAAATTTCCTTTTAGCCGTACACGGTTGCCATTGGTGCTAGTACAAAAGATCACTGTAACGTTTAGATCAATATTTTGTTTAAGATCTCACGTCATTCAATTTTTGTTCTAGCAACCCCAGCTGATGTTTCACTCTTGATGCAACTTGGTGTTGATGGCGTATTCGTTGGTTCGGGTATTTTCAAAAGTGGCAATCCGTCCAAAAGAGCTCTTGCTATGGCTCAGGCTGTAACACATTATAATGACGCTAAGAAGCTGGCAGAGCTGAGTGAAGATCTCGGAGAGGCCATGTCAGGGCCTAATTACAAAACAGACATGTACAAGCACAAGTACAATTGAACCAGACAATTAGCAAAGTACCTCCCTTTTCCTACGAGTTGAAGGATATATATTTATTTTTAGGATTCTAGTGCTTTTCGAATGTAGTGAGTATTGTATTAATTTTGGAATGTGGGTATCTATAGACGGACTGTAGTCATAATTTTGTTCAAGCTAAGCTGGTACGAAGATCAATAGGTAATTAAGGGAATGGTAATGAAATTGATTTTTCGGTGCAGTTTGTAGAAAGCAGATTTCTTGTTGTTTATACTCCATTTTATATCATCTTATTTTATTCTTGGGCTGTCCCACTCTGGTTGGGTGTGCATCAAGGGGACAATCACGATACAAAGAAGATATTGCCATCAACAAAGGGGTGTAGTAAAAAGTTAAGTACGAAAGCTTTCTTACTTATACCGGTGCCATTGAAATTTTCATGGTGGAGTTGTGCTTTAAAAATAACGCAACACCTAAGTCTTCATCAACTCTCATTCCACCCAGCTACATGTCAGGGCCCGTGCCAAAGGGGAGCAAGTAGCCTCACTTGTTTGCAAAGTCAAAGATTTAAATTGGCCCAAATTTTCACATAGATAAACATGATGTCTATGATAATTACCTGTATTTTTATACCTCTATTTACGTTAATCCTGACTATCTAACGATATGTAAGTAAGAGAAAGAAAACACATGCAAAATTTCAAAGATTGGTTCTGGTTGTATCACAATATTTGCGTGGTGCTGTGCTGTTAGAGTAACCCAGCACAAGCCACAAAGAGGTGGATGGCAAGAGACCTTCTAAGTATTGGTAAAAATAAAAAGCAGCTTACAAAACCTGTTTATGACTATATTGGAACAAAATAAAGTATAGCCCTGCTGTCTTCCCCTCTTACTTTAACCAATGGTAAGAATACGTTTTTGCTAAAGGACAACAGCTGCACATTCACTCGATAGGATAAGGTACAAATCTTAAAGTACAATGTAATGAGATTACATAGGTGAAGGACTTGAATGATAAAAGGCGTCATGTACAGAGAGAATAGAGGAGAGACTTATATCATTTTGAAACCCAAATACGTACCGTAGATCCTCGAATTGCTCCCCCTTTCGAAAAAGCCCTCATCTAAAAATATAAAAAATAAATAAGCCCCCAGAGGGCCAATGCGATTATTTACGGTATTCACCAAACGATGCAAATTGAGCCAACCATTCAATTGCCTTCCTGCCCTGGATTGAATGGAAAAGTACGTAGAAAATTTGATATTGACCGGTACGTATGAAAGTGGTGCGATACGAGGCGAAAAGCAAATACTAATGAGAACAGTTTAATTTGCATTGCCGGACAACAAATGCCATCAAGTTTTCGTAAAAATGCAGCATTAAGAAGAGAAAAGCACTGTCTAACGCAGGCGATGCAAGCTCAACAATAGAACTAAAATTTGCCAAAAATGCTGAGACACTTGCAGACAAGGAATCCCACCTACAAATCACCCATCCCCCTTCCCCTCAAATCAATGTTGTGTTTAGATTGGTAACCGATGTATTAATCCCGACTTATCCCGTAACCATCTTAACCAACATGGGGGAAGGGGGTTTAGGTCACCAGCGCATATTATACGAAGATAAAGCACGCGAATTCCTTTTTTGTTCAAATCGCTATTTTTGGCCAGGATTGTGGGTGGAGATAGTAGGAGACTAGCTTCAAGACTGTTGAAAATAAACACACCGCAACGCGAAAATAATGACTTTAGTGTTTCTTAGGTGTGGAAATTTTTCTCTTATTCTGACTTCACGATACTTTTGTAATATGTTTTAAACTTGGGCAGGCACCCCGGGCTAAAACCGTCTAAAAAGAGGCTTTTCTGGTTGTTTGATACTTAATATTTGGCATTAAAACACAGGAGATACAGTGGGGGCATTATCAGATACAATTTGGATCGATTATTTCGTATAATGTTTCTTCTCAAAAATATGCAATTATACTAACAAATGATTGTTGTGATGGGTTGTGACAGGAGGAACTACGGATATGAGGCTAATGAATAGTAAAGGGGAGCGGAGAGGCCATTACTATGGCCGTTGTCTTCATATGGAACCATAACATAGACAATTCAGAAAATATGCCAGCTTTGTTAAAAAGTTTGCATAAAACACCCAATTCACTATGAATGATCAAGAAAGTAGGTAATTTTTTGAATTGTAGGGATTTCTTTGAGTTTGCAGCCAAACAGTTTTTTTATAATCTCGAACATGGATTAACACTTATTTCCCCAGGGCAGTTTGATCATGAGACAATAATTTTCGCACCTTGTAAACCAGTTGTAAAGAAGCAGAAGCTAATTAACTACACTCCCCTCCCTAAAGTACTCGCCATCAGATTGTTGTTTCTTCTTGTTTACTAGTCGTTTCTACTCATTTCCTCTTATAGTAACCACGGAGAACAAAACCTAATTACTTTAGATTCAACACTGTTAAAGCTTGACTATCCCAGCAATCTCATAGAGCATAGTATTAAGTAAGCAAAGAAAATCCTTTCAGAAGAACTTCAAAGCCCAAAGGAGAACAAAAACGAAAAGCAGCCATTGGCCTTTGACACTACTTTTAAACTACGCAACATTTACAAAGGCATACTTGAACCACAAAGGCACTTCCTCCAGACAAAAACATTCCAGAAAACAAACCTTCCTAACAAAACAATAGAAAGTGGGCGTGATTTGGGTGTGTCATAGGAGCTTATATTGTTCTTCGTGCACCTTCCTCCGGTCAGTGGCCGTGCGACCGTAATGTTTTCCTGACTCTGGTAAGTATATATGTTTCGAGTCGAGCCAGCCTAATTGAGTTAGATTGCGATCTACAATAGTTTCAATTGCTTCTCAATTCTAACACAGAATAGAAACGTTCTAATCTCACAGTTGAATTGACCCTCCGATGTTCAAGACCTTCCTACTCGATAGAAGGATGTTGCGGAATGAAAAAACTTTTCCTTCAATTTTCAACGCTCTTTTTAGTAAACATCAAAAAACAAAGTTTTCTAGCTATCTAAATGAATTTCATCAAATTTAAAGAGACAGTTTCAAACCCAAGTTGCTCAAGTAGACAGTATAATTTAAGTGCTCATATGCACGAGACTTTAGTATACAAGTTAGATTGTTCCGGTAGAGTTGACTCCTGGTGCCCGACTGTGTTCTGCAAAAATCATTTTACTTGTTTTATAGTACAACCCACCGTCGGCAGCTATCTATCGCCTAATTGCAATTAATCCAAGAAAGATTGCTCCTGCACCCAAGGTACCAAGTGTGGCTTTGGTTCCATCTTCCAACGGCGCATTGTCCACACCCAAGGCTTTCAGCACATTGATTGCATAATGTTGGCAATTATTGAATACCTTTTGATACTCCCCGTCTTGCACAAACTGCTCAAATACTTGTTTTGCTGCTCTGATTATACCTTGTCCAGTAATGGCCACATCCTTGTAGAATTCAAGTTTAAGCACATGTTCGGTACTAATAATTCTGGAAATAACTCTAGATTCTTTCTTTGGACCGTTGTCTTGAATAACAACCTCGATTGATACGTAGGTTTGCTTGTCGTAACTTATAACAGCCGACATGTGATCCGCAAATCCTTTTTTCAGCGTGTACACTTTATACTGAGCGAGCTGATCTAATGCAGGAAGAAAACCAAGGTTGGAAATGCGTTCCCACATTTCTTCAAGAGCAGCGTAATCCCGCACGCATTGCACGAAACACTCCAGGTCACACATTTTGCAACGCCCTTCAGCGCAACTCAGCCTGAAATAAAACGAGAGGGAACGTCACACAGCCTATTGACTGGCTAAAGGGAAATAACCCTTTATCTCTGTTGTTATTTCCAAGAACTCGGAAGTCTATCGACTGTCAACCTGCCTATACCTTGTTAACGATATTTTCTACAGGTGAGCAAGCAATATATTTCACGATCTTTTCAATACATTGAAAACTGTTGAACAAAATGTTAGCCCATCCTAGAACCCTCTATCTTCGTATTTATTTCCAAGAACTCGGAAGTGATTGCTAGTGTACATTGTTTCAATTTCGATGAACAATGCATTTTATAGGCATTCGGGCTTGCGTTTCTGATTGACCTTTCTCTACCTGCCCCCTTCTCCACTTTTTAACCTCTTCCTACGTCGATTATAAAGTGCATTTATCACATTTGAATTAATCGCTCATATGGTAATGATATAACATTGTTATAAAACCATTGAGGGGACAACCCCTCTTCCTACGGTCCTGCACAGAGGCGCAAATTAAAAAAAATTGAGAGAGGGGGAGGGGGTGTCAGGACAAGTTGGACCGCCTCTTACACGAAATGGGCCAACTCTTCAAGACCAAAATAAAAATGTATCAATTCAAGACTACGTCGGGGGAAATGGCAAGAGACCACCTCGCGCCCTGGTAAAATGGGTAATTCATTTTCTTGGCATTATGGTGTAACGGGAAACTGTTGTAGAAATTTAATACTTTGAGGGGAGCATAAGGACACTAGATGAAAAATATTAACCTTTGTGTGCTAAAATTGTTCCTTTTTGAAAACATGCACGTAGAAACACACTAATAGGGCACAGGGACATGAGCTGAAAATGCATTTTACTAGGGGGTCCGGGGATGCTTTCCCAGAAAATTTTGAATTTTAAGACGTTTCCTTTGGCTCTGCTGGCCTCCTAAAAACCTAATAACCAGACGATTCGGCTGTTTGATTGAATCTTCTTACTTTAGCCCTACTGCTATCTCAAGTCACTCCCACAGACGAAAGTGCATTAGGGAACAAGAAATAATGCTAAAACAAAGTGCATGCAAAGCTAAAACTAAATGAATCCAACTTTTATGGTGTTCTTCAAAACGGATAAATTAGATGGATGACTATAAAAGCTACTTCAATACAACTTAATGTTTCTAACGAGAAGATCACGCTGTCCCAGAACCGTACAAAGGTGTTGAGCCACACTTTTGCTATAAGGTTTAACTGTAAATAAATCATAAAATTTAACTGTTATGTAAATCATGAAATAAACTTACGACCTCTCAAATCAGCGACAGAGGACGACAAGAAGAAAACAACCAATTTCAGTCCTTAACTACTGCAAGACGTGGAGCATGCTTAAAAAGCTACCAACAAAACCAAACATTAAGATAGTGCCAAATAGGGCTCTAAAGAAAATGTCACGAAATGTCAAGTAAATTCCCCACGTTGACATCACGTGTAGTGTCCAGTTCCTTGCACGTGTCTTCAACAAAGGCGAATCTAAACAAATTTTTGGAGGGGTAAAGAAGTGGTTTTGCCGATAAAAAGAGCGTGTCTCACACTTTAAGGGTGTGGTCAAAAGATAAATACTCTTATATGGTGCTTTTATACATTTCTGTTTCAAAGTCCACACTTTATTGCCATACTGTAACCTATCTCCAGGATACAGCGAGTCTTGCCAGTGGCAGGACACAACAGAGAATACAACTTAAGGGAAAATGGTCGTAAAAAGGACCGTGTAAAAGATTATCGAAATAAAGTAACATCTAGCCTCGGCTGGTTCTTGCGAAAAAGGATTCTAAAGCGAGTGAAAGCTACCAATCTAAAGATAGACCCATCCATATGCAAAAGAAAAATAACAATTTTAATGTAACACAATCTACTCTACAACGAACTTTAGTATATACAACACAATAGTATTTATTAAATCCACAATGCTTTATTTGCTACAGTGTTGGATTTCAGTTATATTTTGGCCTAAATGTGGCCTTACTCTGGTGGTGGATTTGATGTTGCTCCAACGATTGCTGCCAGACTCAAGGTACCCTCTGTGGTATCTCTAGTTGTTTCAGCTATTAACGAAGGCTCGACTCCGAGGCCTTTCAGTAAATTAACAGCGAAATTCTTGCATTCACAAAAAACCTCTTCATATCCACCGTCTTTCAGAAATTGATCAAACATGTCTTGTGCGGTTTTGACGATACTGTATCCAGTAACAACCAATTTCATGTAGAATTTTAGTTGCAATACAAGGTTTGTGTCAATTTCCCTAGAGATGACAACAGCTTCTTGTCCAGTGCTGGTATCACGAATAACAACTTCGATTGACACGTAGGTTCTCTGGTCGTAGGAAAAAACGAATGAGAGTTGGTCAGTTACGTCCTTCTTCAACGTGTATATTCTATATTCTGCCTCCTGATACAAACTGGGAACCACTCCCATTGTGGCCAGGTGCTCCCACATGTCCAAAACAATAGAAATATCTCGCACACATCTTACCATTGGCCCCAAGTAACTCATCTTAAAACTGAAGTCTTTTAGCAAGTCTAGTCTCTTTAAAGTCATTCACTCACTCAATGACGATGGCCATCATGTTTGTGCTTTTGTCTTTTATTCCCACCTGTCAGGATTTATTTCTAAGAACTCAAAGCTCATAGGAAGTTCATATCAAAACAAGTTCGGGGGTCGTTCATTCAAATTATTATTCTTACCCGGAGATTTTCAAGACAGACAAGGATTTGAGGCAAGGAATTCACAAAATTATCGTTCATAAAGTTGCATGTTAAATTGCTTATTTTTTCGAATCCAGTTTTTTAAAGGATAAATAAGTGATAAGGGCAAAGAACTCGAAGTCTTTCATGACGAACGATCGAAGTGAGTGCAACGGGGCCGTTTTACTGAAAGTGGAATGGAGGACAAGAAAATAATAGTTAGACATAATACAGACGGAAATACAAGCAGAAAGTGAACAAAAGCACTATATTTTATTCAACACTGGGACACTGTATTTTTTCACGATTTTTTTTATCTTCAGGTAATAATTTTGATTGTTCTTTTTTTTCGTTGTTTAGAGTGGAGTGCTTAAGAATAATCTTAAGCACTCCACTCTCTGCAATATTGTTACAGTTTGTGGTAGCTATATGATCAAACAAAGTTGAACTGTCTAGCGTGACCCTAGTGGGCTCTTTAAGAATCTTCTTCATATCAAAAAGGTCGTACAGCTCACGTAACTGCATAATATGGCTCGGAGTATTGTCTCTATGACAGAAATCACAGTTAGTATCTCCTAGAATAATAATTTCTTTCCCCTCTCCATCAAGAAAGCTCAGGTTTTTATGAAGGCTGTCAAAGCAAGAATTAGGCTCACTGTGTGGTCTATACCAAGCTATGACAATGAACGGATTTGAATTCGGGGGCTCTACCTCTATGCAAATCAACTCAAGCGATTTATTAGGAAGATCTACCCGGGGTTTAAACCTGACTGTATTTCTGATATAGAGAGCAGCACCACCACCTTGCCTACTCCTATCATATCTACAAAGAGAAAAATCATCTAATGAGATAAGCCTGTCGTCAACTTTGTGATCGATTTTGGTTTCATTTATGGCCAAAATATCAATGTTTTCGTTTTTTACAAGCGACCGTATTCCATCAATCTTCATGATGAGGCTATTTACATTTAATGATGCCATGGTCACACCCTTTCTTCGCCTCAAAGGGCAAATAACAGGCCCTTGAACGGCATTTTCATCGACACTTCTAGAATTGTTCTTCGATATTACTGACCTATTGATTACGAAGAACTGTTTTTCTATTAACATATTACAGACAGAGATATTAAAGAATCCTGAGCCATTTTGATGCCTCAGAAATGACAAAATGTCAGGAGCTTCCGGGGGCTTCGCCCCCTGGACCCCGACCATGGAAGAAGAGGGTTGAGGTGGCTTCAGCCCCCCCGATCAATTATTCCCAAGATGTACATTCAAAAATAATCTTTCTCTGAACTTCTAGCATGTTCGGCCCCATCAAACTTTTTGGCCCTCGAAATCCAGAATATTCCTGCTGTATTTTCTTAGATTTTGCTAAAGCTTTTGACACTGTCAACCATGAGATTCTTTTGCATTGCATTGGAAATCATTTATCAGATAGCCTTTCTATATCATATGGTGTACCTCAAGGGAGTGTTTTAGGCCCCTTGCTTTTTTTGCTTTACATTAATGACTTGCCAAGTGCAACAAAAGTTTCGAGTCCACATCTTTTTGCTGACGACACAAGTCTCTTTAATTCTCACAGTAACATATCCATACTTAAAGAAAATATAAACACTGAGCTAGAGGTTAATTGCAAAGAAGCTGTCGCTTAACACAAGTAAATCAAACTACCTGATTTTTTCCCCAAAAAATAAGAAATCAAATAAGAAAATGAAAAGAGTGAACAGTTTTTTTGCGGTACAGAATTTGAAAATGGCTTTGAAAAAAGCAAACATTTTACAACATACTTAAAGCTTTTTCGTCTGACACTCCTCAGAGCATAAAACGTCAGAATAGGTTCCGAAAAACAAGTTTGAAAAATATATACCCAGTTGTGGATCGAAATAGGCCAATCAGAAAAACGCAAGCACAAGACCGGTATAGTTGACCAATCAGTGCCGCGAGCCTAAAGAAAATTACCAATGGAGTCCAAGAGAGAAAACGAACTCCTTTTGTCTACACAATGGCGGCTTTTTCGTTTTTATGTAGATTGACTCCAAAACTGCTCGATGGAAGGACGACCGGGCTCTGCCAATTATCCGAAACATGTCGTCATTATAGAGTTTTGCACAATCTGGGTTGTCTAAAAGATGTTGACCAATGGCAGAATCACTTGTTTTAACAGTGTTTCTCGACCTACAAGATCGAGGACGACCTACAAGATCGACCTACAAGAACAGTGTTCCTCGATCTTGTAGGTCGAGAAACACTGTTAAAACAAGTGATTCTGCCATTGGTCAACATCTTTTAGACAACCCAGATTGTGCAAAACTCTATAATGACGACATGTTTCGGATAATTGGCAGAGCCCGGTCGTCCTTCCATCTAGCAGTTTTGGAGTCAATCTATATAAAAACGAAAAAGCCGCCATTGTGTAGACAAAAGGAGTTCGTTTTCTCTCTTGGACTCCATTGGTAATTTTTCTTTAGGCTCGCGGCACTGATTGGTCAACTATACCGGTCTTGTGCTTGCGTTTTTCTGATTGGCCTATTTCGATCCACAACTGGGTATATACTTTTCAAACATGTTTTTCGGAACCTATTCTGACGTTTTATGCTCTGAGGAGTGTCAGACGAAAAAGCTTTAAGTATGTTGTAAAATGTTTGCTTTTTTCAAAGCCATTTTAAAATGAAAAGAAAAATCAACAATACTGAAATAGACGAAGCTCAAGTTGTGAATTACCTCGACGTGCTAATAAACAACGAACTTTCTTGGAAGGCACATGTGCAGCCAATTAATTTGAAAATCTCTAAAGGTATTGGCATCATTGCTCGGCTTAAGCATTATGTTCCTAGAAATATACTCATCAATTTTTACAATTCTTTTATACAACCACACATTAATTATGCTCTTATAAATTGGGGAGGTACCTTTAAAAGTACCCTAGACCCTCTTAAAAAAAGCCTTAACAATTGCTTTCAAACAAAAGACTGCCAACAGCGATCTTTTGTTTCGTCAACTAAATCTCCATAATTTAGAAGAAGGCTACAAAATAGAATCAGCAAAATTCATGTTTGATATCATTCAGAAATGAGCCAATACAACTCTTTCAGATCTTTTAACATCAGTTGCTTCTGTGCATAATATCCGCACAAGACAAGCAACATCTGGCAATCTATCACAGCCAGCCGTAAGAACAAATCTTAAAGCAATTTCCATAGTAAGTCAAGGAGTTAAATTCTGCAATATTATTCCCTTGGAAATAAAACAATCCAAAACAAAATATAACTTTGTGAAAGGTTTAAAAAAATTGATTTAGGGCTAATTTTGTCATCTTGAAACTGGTTTACTCATCAGAAAACTGCCAGTTCTCAATTTATGAGCATTTAGATTTGATATTGGGTTTTGGCATCTATTCTTTTCTTTATCGTTTATTTCGTTTAGTTTAGTTCTTCATTGTTGTCTTTTTATTTTGTATTTGTTAACCTTAACCTTTATCTAAATTTTTTTTCTAATTCAATGTAATTTTATGCATGCAGTGTAATAGGGCAAATAACTCGATAGCTCATCTTAGCTCTTTTTATTTGCCCTAAGTTTTATCAATTATAAGTTTGTTTAATCATGTAGCCTGTAATTAAAAGCTTGAATTTATAATAATTTGTTTCGCTGCAAATGCAATTCGAGGCTTATATAGATCCAATCGAGGTCAAAATAACATGGTCCATGAGCTCTGGGTGGCTCTGGAACCCTCGTGTGCCCTTCTAGCAGAGAAGCAGAGATCGTTGTTGTTAGATTATCAAAATCAGGGATATGTCAGCGTTTGAGGAAGAAGAGCCGCCGCAGAAAATTCCACGGTTGTTGAAAAGCAAGGAAAGTGGTAAAAGATTAATTGTTATTTTGGAACATGCTTCACTGGAAACAGTCAAGGTAAAGTTATATGTGCAAAATGCTTTAACGATGCTGCTCAATTGCTCTGTATTTATTACGCTATGCTATGAACAATCTGCAGTTGTGCTTTGAACAAACAATGTCACCCTAGTTCTTTTTCACACAAAGTGTGACTCTTCATTGTTGTTATTTCACACCAGTTCATCTTACGTTTAGCTAGTAGTTCAGTATTTAGTTGAGTTGAAACGGTGAATTTGAGTATAATGATAGGGAACATTTTACAAAACTTCTTTTTATTTATTCTATCAGTATGACCTCTGGGCCTCTGAGCAGCAATTTTTATGAGTATTGTTTATTGCTGTGTATTCCATACCAAGTCTATCATTGGTGATAAAACCACCAGCCTTAGAGCTGCAATTGAATACACCTACCTTGTTAAAACATTTGATTTCAATCTATGGCTCTAAAATAAAACACATATATAAATCATAAGATAATGAATTTAGCATCAAATTTGTTCTAATTCAATAAGCCCTGGTTAGGATTTTAGTAGATAAGCATTTTAAAATTGTATAATAACTATGAATGTGAGTAAATTGTGTCAGGAATAAATAATGGAACATTAAATCGCACGCAATCTAGTACATTTTAAAATTGTGTTTATCACATGCTGATTTTAACTTTGGAGCATAAGGAAAATTATTGAATTGTGTTCAAACATATTTATATGATCTGTCAAAATGCAATTGATGTGCCTTCCCTCATCGTCACCAATTTCTTTATGTTCTTAGACAAATTTAGAGAGCCCAGTTTAAATGGTTGAGGGGTAAGATCCTTCATCCTCCCTTGCATACACTGCTGCTTTAGGCAACGTTCAGAAAGATCATAGAAACTTTTTCCCCATTAATGCAGCTCATCCTGTACACTGAAGGCTGAGAGTGCTATTATAATTCATATTTTGCATTTTTTATATTTCCCTTTTAGAGATTCCACATTCTCTCATTCCCTGAGTCCTGTTGGCCTAGTTTATCCATTTTGCCTTGCGAGAGGATGCTTATTTGCTACTGAGGGTGAAACACCCGCTAAACTCTTTTCAAATAATAGCTCTTTATTTTTGTGAAAATGTCGATTTTCTTAGGGCAGGGATTTGATTTCTGGACCTAGCAGGCCAAATCTGGCATGATTGTGTGTTGATAGTTGTGCATACATGTCTCTGCTTTTCTACGCTAAAAGAATCTATTGAAAATTTATGTAAGTCAATTATAGGTTGTTTCTAGTATCTTTGATATACAACCATTTCATTTAGTATCATTTCTAGCTGAAACCGAATTGAGCAATATAGCTCATTCATTTGTAACAAAGCTAATGATAATTTTTGTTTCAAAATTTCACTTTGCTTGAAAAATATAGTGTTGTTCATGTTCTGTGAAAGTTTCACATTTAGGCCTACTTTCATTTTGGCCCAGCAAGTTGACGCTCCACTGTGTCATAATAAAATTCATGATAAGGACCAATTGTAGGAAATATTAGGAAGGTGTCACACCCCTTATGCACTACTGTTTTGTACCCAGGACAAAACGTAGTAGTAAACAATATTTTTTGTTTGTTTGTTTTGTTGACCTCTGTGTTCGTTTTGAATTGCTTAAAGCTTTAATTGCACTTGCTAAACTACATGATATCAATATGAACCTAGATCTCTGCATCCCTTCCACTTATCGAGAAACATATTTGCATTACTAATAACAACAAGAGTAATTATTGCCTAGTAACATAGATATAAGATTAAGAATATTTGCTAGGCAGAATACTTGGAGATTCTGCCAAAGTTGCATTCTAAACTAGGTGCATTGGCATTAACAACTGTTGATGCCTAAGCATTTTAGCAAACACAAAACAGCCTCCTAGTTTGGGTTGGAAGGGAAAGGAAAAGCACCAGCCTTCATCATCATCATCATCATTATCATCATCATCATCATTTATTTATTTACATTAGGCTTAAAACAAATACAGCTAATTTACAACTTATTAAGGCCTGCTATTTACATTTAGTTAAAATTTCCATTTAGTTAAAAATAAAACTTTGCAATTAATATTGTTATGTACAAGAAAAAAGCAAGTTCAGATCTATTCTGATAGAAACCCGTTTTTCGGAATGATAATTTGGCAAGCCTTTAGTTGCATTTTCTCTTTTTCAACATTTAATCCATTTCTGAAATTTCAAAGTTTATTTCTGCCATATTGTGTAATTTCAACTCCGGAAGACTTGGTTCACACTCTTTGGGGACTGTACACTCTTTTTTTATAAGAACAGTTTTATAAGAACACAAGCCACAAAATTGGTCAAAAGCTGAGGCTGCACTACTGTAAAATGGAATCTCCATCGACGTTTTATCTCAAAAGTGAAGATTTTGAGCCATGTGTGGATGGGTAAATATTCAAACTTGGTGACAAGTCAAGTTGAAGGCTGTCTCACTCACTTTGTTGGCAAATGAGGCCTGAACACCCTCTAGAGTGAAGAAGCTAGCAATCATACTGCTTACACTCTTTTAATTTAAGAGTAAATTAAGAACAATCCAGTCTCATATTTTTGATAAAGTTAAGAACAGTCAGCCAGAACTCAAATTTACTGGTTCTTATAAAAAATAGAGTGTATTTGAATGCACCGAGAAAAAGCCAAATAATTTGCGTAATCTTTGTATGTAATGTAAACGCCCCTTTGTTATTTACGCCCTTAGGGCAACATCCCTGCCCATAGACATGGTAAAATTTAATAAAGAGCAATAAGTGCAAGCTATTGCGCTTTTTTGGATATCCGAATGACCTGTGTTATCCTTGGTCTTATGATTATTTTTGCTGAACTTTATGTCATCAACAACATGCATCCTGTCGCACTTCTCTTTTGTGGATAGTTTTGTATAAACGTTCGGCGTTTCATGCACTAACTTCATTCATCGAACCAAGCATATACAATATTACGATTTTGTTTTGAATTTTAGGGGTCTTTTATTGTTTTCAAAGATCCAATTTGGCTTCAACATGTCCATGAATATTCTTTTGGAACATTGTGTTTGGAATGTTTTATGTGTTGAAATGACCTTTGCAGTTATTTCAAACACGCCTTTTCTGTATAATTGTCTATCTTTCTTAAATTTCCGTCCTCTCCACTCATCTATCGTCTTGCTTTTTTGGATGTTGCTCAAAGTATTCTGCTGCTGCGCTATACAACCATTCACTCTCAGATCGGAGCGCAGAAAGCGACGTTTTTCCACTGTTGATTTCTTTTATGGCTTGCTGAACACGACAAAGGTCTATTTTTGTGTTCTTACGTGCAGCAAGCAGGCCAGTGACACTGGTATGCCTGAGGATATCATCGTTCTGAACCTCTGAACCTAAACCTTTGCAGCCATCTCCATTGCTAGAATAGTAGACGCCCGCGAAATTCCCTAGTATTTTTGATGTGTTTGTGTCAGCTTCAGAAAAGTTACCGCGAATTGTTGTCTCACATGGGGCCAGATATGTGTAGAAGTCATAATCAGACATTTTGTATGATGTGGTTTTAGAGAAAAATGACGTTATAGCCTCTTCAGCTGTCATTTTGGGGGATTCTGCTTTATAGTTACACGAAAAAAGACAATTTCCAGCCCTGTCAACTGTGGGTAGCTGCGTCTCGTTGTCTACTTTCTGTTGCTCAAAATCAGTTGCAATTTCCCATTGGCACGAACCGGTGTTGTTTTTCTTTGCCATGACAAACTGGACAGGTGACTTGCAAATATTGTCGAGTTGATATGATGCAAAGAGAATACCGATGTTGAAATCGTTTATTGCTTTGCCTGTTATTGTAGTCGTCGATTTTGACCATAGCAGTACTGCCGATATCAGTAACACACAAAAAGGTACAAATCCCATTTTCAGTCAAAAAAGCGTAATGATATATATTTGAATTTGCTTGTGTTTGATTTCCTTGGGTTTGATTGAAGGATAATACAACTTGTTTGGCGTATAAGTGTCTAAAACGGGTCACTGCCCAAATTGCATTACCAGTTGTCTTAAGAACAAACACCGGCTATTTGCAATACAACGTATCTACAAGCAGGTTCAATCACTCAGACTTTTTAACTGCCATGCTATGATTCATTAAGAGTCATTCCTCAAATGTAATTGATAGTTTTCGATCAATCACGTTACACTGCGCCTAGCGTTAAACGACCTAAGTGGCTGCCAGTGGTCGCGGAGCACAGGGCGAGGGTTTCACCCAGGATTTTTAGTAGCTCTCCTTCAGCAACCAATTCACCTCAGCTTCCCTAATAATATTGGCATTTTGCAGATGTCTAGAGTTAATTGATAACGCCGATGAGTGCATTTGAGTAGAAGCATTTAACTAACATTTAACGAGAGTATTAATTTCTGAATGTTCCTTAATTTCTTTCGATGCTCTCAATAGACCTTCCCTTCAATGTTTTTCTGTCGGCCGTTTTGTACAACCTTGGTCAACACTTACGTAGAATATGAATATCGACACCTTGAATGCTTGTCTCTAGCGCCACTCCAGATGGTTGTGTCCTGCGGCAGAATCCGCAAAATGCCTGTATTATTAGGCAAGCCAGTATTAATAAACTGAGAGGGGCCGTTGTTCTTAAAACTTTAAAAAGAAGATGAACTATGACATCGTTAAACTTTTTTGCTTCAAAAGTAGATTGTTTCAATTGGTGCAGTGAGCCACTAATGTTATCTAGAGAATGATGTTTAACGATTTAACACAGCTACATCTCTCCTAGAATGGCAAACGCTTTGAGCTTTTAAACTGTGATGATCATAAGCACGTGCTCAAGAAGCAGGGCCGTGATTTGTCTTCAGCCCGTCCCGACATCACGCATCAGTGTTTGTTGATGTTGATGGACAGTCCTTTAAACAGAGCTGGCCTTCTTCAGGTGTATGTCCATACAGCAAGGAATTCTCTCATCGAAATCAACCCACAGACACGTATACCAAGGACGTTCACTCGCTTTTCTGGATTGATTGGTAAGCTCACAGCATCGTTTTAATTATGTTAAACATGCGATTCCATTGGTTTGTCTTTATAGTTGGGGGTGACATGTTTTCTGCTACGGACGTTTTATGCAAGTAACAGTTTTCTTGAAATTCTAGCAGTTCTTGATAAATGTCATTGATTTGAAGTTTGAAGTTTTTTTAAATGAGGGGTACGTTTGCCCTAGTAACTGTTTATAAGTCAATGACTTTTTGAAACATAATCAAGCTTGTCGTCGCACACTGTTCAAAGTACAAAACTTCTACACAATGGCAGTATTTACATTTAGACGGAACTGGCTCTACGCGTTTTTGGTCCAATCTGGTTTTTCCAGTGAGTGCTGCGTGATAGCAGAATAGCATGTTTTAGTTGCTGTTTTTGATCTGCAAGTCACAAGAGGTTGTAATGTAAATTGATTGTAACGTAATTCTTTTGAATGGATGGAAGTGCTATCCATGTACGGTAAACAAAACTATGCTTAGACTTTGAATCATAACAAATGACTCGTAGCAAAACTAAGCTTGTGTGGTGTGTTAAACCAGAAAGGGTTTGTTGAAAATATTTCGTCCTTTGCATTGTTACAGACATTGAGATACATTAATTGTATGTTTTGTCTTTTAGTTCAGTTGCTTCACAAACTTAGCATTCAAGCTTCGGATGGTAAACAAAAACTTCTCAAGGTATGTATAATGAATGTATTCATCTATAATTTGACAGCTGAAATTGGTATTTTTTTAGATACCCAGAAGTTAAATAGAGCTATGACAATAATGCGTCCATCCGAAATGAACACTGCTTTACTGGATAGCTTGCAATCTGATTAGTGAAGCTGTTAACATTTCTACTTGTTCTCTATTCTCGTGTATTTTCAAATTAAACTGTATATTTTACTCCTCAGAACATTTTCATACTGTTTTGGGCATGATGAATATCTTCGTGACGTAATCTATGTTTCACGTGCTTTTCATAGCCTTGCAGCGTTTGATTGCAGTTGCTTTTCCGCTGAAGGCGAAGATTACCATGGCTCCGCATCGATTCACTGTTAGTCTAGCATGTGTTGGGTTGTTTGCTGTTCATTATGGAATGCTTTCTCTCCTGCCACTTTCCTCTTCTTTTCTCTTAAGTGCAGTGGTGATATTCATTAATTGCACGTTTCTTCATATTGTACTGCGCGATCTTTTGCCAGGTGTATCGAAATGAGACCTCAAGGAATTCTGTACCGAATGGCCAACTCAACAGATGTCGATATGCTTTGATACACTCGATTTTTGTTACAGCAGCATTTATTTGTGGATACTTGCCATTTGCCTTTACAGTTGTACTGTTTCCCTCTCAGTCATTGGTCCCTCACATTTGTGATCTTTTATCCCGAGCAATCCGATTCATGATACTGTCAGTTACTTATACATTGCGGTATTCATTAAGAGAGAGAAAGAGACGAAGATTCTGGAAGTAAAAACATAATTTGCTAAGAATAATTGTGTCATACTGTTATTTTAGCAGTGCCACTATTTTTGTGATATGACAGTTTTTGTTCTTCAGCTATCACTAATACCAAGTTCTGGTGAATGGTACTGGTGGTACCATGGATGGTAGATTGTAGGGGCTGTACGATAGTGTAAAAGTAAAGGTTATTTTTAAGCAATGATTGCAAATATACAGGTCATCGAGCGAATGAAGATCGACTGGTTAAATTCCTCGTTACTGATGGCTAAATCCATCACAGAAACGACTAGCGTCCCTTTTCATAGGGGCTTCGACGGAGGCCTGTTCAATGAGTCTGTTGCGATATCTCATCAAGGTTTTAGAGACAAGATAACATCTCATACATGTGAAACCTCCCATCTTAAATCTCTGGCTTACTAATTTTTTTCGCCTCATACGCTGAAAGAAGCTGTTCTTACTCTCTCAAATGGCGTTTCCAGATGTTCCAAGGAAAGGGAGATCTTAAGAAATCATTTGCACACTCGTCCACAATATGGAAGTTTTTCAGAAGCAATCTTGTATCGAAAAAAGAGAGAGATTTGCTTGGATTGTTCAAAAACTATTGATCTCTTAAAAAATTGTCAATCGTTATTTGGTAAATCAATTTTCAGGCAATGGCTAAAATTGTGTCAATACCTTCAAAAGTGTTGCCAAAATACCTTCACAAATTTAGAACCTAAACAATGTATTGGTAACTACAAAACAAATAGCTCAACTTTAGATAGGCTATAACCATCCTGTCAGTGAGAGGAAGATTGTCAATTAAGACGGATGAAACAATCTTCTCAAGACTCGTAGCATTCTTGAAAGAAAGGAAATCTTCATCATTTAGTGCTGTTTTCTAAAACATTTTCACTTGATGCAGCTTCACCTATACTGCTACTGAATAATTTGGGTCTTTTATAGAGCTAGTTAATCAGCATAATTTCATAAACAACTATTAAAGGAACTAAGAAAAGATTTGTTCACTGTTATTGCAAATGTCAAAAGTTATGGAACTATGCATTATCTTCCATGGTTATCGAGCAAAGTTTTAAAACTTGATACATATAAAAGCTATGTAAACTAGTTACACAATTTCATTATCAATTCGAATACTGATTTGATCATGTTCATTGATGGCTGTCGTTCGAGTTTTGTATCACTGTATTAAAAATAGTTGTGTTTTAAAGCGCTGGTTACCCATTTGATGTATGCTTTAATTACACTGCTTAAATTCCTAACTGTTACAGTCATTTGAAATTTTGATCAAATAAAATAAACGTTTCAGTTAAGGTTACGGTAAACGTTTTCTGGATGAAAACATCATTTTTTCGATTTTTTCACATTCAAGTAGCCGAACTTTCAAGGCGCACAATGATACCAAATTTGAAACAAACAGAAATTTTGAAAGTGGAAAAAATCCCATGTAAACGAAGGTTTCCATAATTTCTTTATCAAAACTTTTAGTTGAGGCCTGAAAATCTCTTGACCTGTTAAGCCGATTATCGTTGCTTTGCGGTTGTGGTCGCATGTCTCATTTACAATATAGCATGGCACATCCATGTATCCCATGTACAGCCGTGTTTATTTAAACAGCCTTATTGATCTTAAATCTTCAAGTGACTTGACCCGGATTACACTGTGGTTTACGAGTGTATCTTGCAAGTGCGATCAGTAAAATCCCGTTTTCTCCGGACTCGAAATTCCTCTACATGCAGGTACGAGGAATTATGTACCCAAGGAACCAATCGAATGGCTCGAAAATTTGCACACGGCCAGGGCAGACGTTGGGCAAACAAAGTGTGTCTCTTTTTTTTTTTATTTTCTCTGGTCCGTCTCTTATACCCAAATACAGCTGCGGGAGGGTGGAAAAATTATTTGCCAATTTTTGACAGGGTATAGTTTCAAGAAGAGGAGGAATTTAAAAAATCTGCAAGGGTACATAATTGCTTTTGAAGATGGTACACTTTTTGACCAGTAAATTCGCATGGAAAATAACATTTAACATTATTTGCCAATAATTTTTATCTGGCTAGATACGCCATAATCTTGTGCATCGCATGATATATAGTTTATCCAGATTCCTTGAGCCGTTTGGCCTTTAGGAAGGAAAAACCAATTTTCGTGTTCAAAACGTTTACCGTAACCTTAAGCTTGACTCCTCAGGCAGTGTTGTGGTGAGAGTTAGCTCCAGCTAAAGGAAAACGTTAATGGTTAGATAAGTGGATTGCAGATTCGGGGATTTGTCTTGTGAGTGTTTTAATGATTAAGAAATGTCTTCTGTGGTGGCATACGAACGAAGCATGTACCCCCAGAAAATAAAGAATGATTTGACGATAAGAGCTTCCCTTGCATCCCTTCTCTTTATTCAATCAGTCTTCGTATAGATACGCTAATCGAAAGCTATCATAAGTTTGTCTTGCCTATATCGAATGCAGTGCTATCCACATCCGTCACAAAACCAGTGGCGTAACAGAGACACTCGGGGCCCTTAGGAATTTACTAAGATGGGGCCCTTATTTAGGGACTGCGAAGTGAAGTGAGCTCTACGGGGCAAAGGGGTTCGGGGTAATGGGAAAATGTTTAAAATTAGGTCCTTTAGAACCTCGAGAAATGCACGTGATGTGGTAAAGAAAATGTTTACATATGAGAAAACCAACAGTAAATTAGGTGTTCTTGCTCACAACGTGAGCTTTTCTACGTGCGTTAACGTTGGCGAAATCCTTTATAAGCTTTGTTTTGTCAATTTTCTCTGCTTCCTTGTTCTCAATTGACAAAGTTGCTAGGTCGTCCAGTCTCTCCTGTGAAATTGTAGATCTTAGATATGTCTTTATCAGTTTCAACTTTGAAAATGATCTTTCTACCAATGCAACAGTGTTAATAGATTGTACATTTGTGGAAAGGATGAACTAATACGGCTCTGGAGCATGAGGTTATTAACTTCTAGAACAGTTTTCTTGACTGCAATCTCCTTTCTGAATTCGGTTGCAAATTATCTCATCTCAGAATCTAATTCATCTGTAAAGTCATTTGGATATTTCTCACGAATTACTCGTACTGCATTTTCAAGCATGTCAGAACTCAGTGTTGCCGGGTTGTTGGGGTAGAGACAGCTGAATAATGACGTCACCATTGCTTGTCCTTGAACCTTTCTGTCAGTTGCATCAATGCTGTATCAACAGTCTTGTAGAAAACGTTTATCTTAAAACTTTGCTCAGGATCCATCAGTCTTCCATCTACAACAAGTTCATCTGATTCATTTCTTGCCTTCCGACCCCTCTTTTGTTGAAACTCTAGCGATCCATCCCAAGATTTTGCAAGTGCTGTGGCAGTCAGCATTATAGACTGCCATGATTCTCGAAGATATTGGAGCTCCGAGAGTGCAATATTAAGGTGTCTACAGGCAACAGACAAGTCAATCCTAGGGGACTGAAGCTCCTTTGATACTGCATTGACTGATCTTAGTATTCTCTCCCGGAATACAAGGAAAATAATAATTTCCAGTGTGTCAATTTTTTTCTTTAGACTCTTTGCGTTGTCACGCTCATTCTTATTGTTTGATGTTAAGATGAGTCTCGTCAGAAGCCTCATTATCTGGGGATACTTGTCACGCACAGCTCGCATTGTATCAATGCGAGAGCTCCAACGTGTCGTACATAACTTTTTTAGTGTCAGTGATCCTTTCCCAGCTTCGATTCCAAGATCTCTCCATCTATTCAAGGAAGAGCCAAAAAAACTGAAGATATCTCGAAGGGTAGCAAAAAAGTTTTTACTCATAACGTGTGATTGCCCACCTTATAACAACGGTTAATTGGTCGACTCTGGTAATATCACTGGTGGAATCCAAGATTATACTCCAGAATGGTGCGGAATTAATATTTTCTACTAAAGTCGAGGATACAGTATTTGCAAGCAAGTGAATCAGCTCATTTTGGATCTTAGCGCTAAGGTATTTTGTTGCTCTACCTGGAAGAGATATAACTTCTGCTAGAAATTCATCATATTCAGCCATAAGAGAGACCAATGCCAAGAAGTTCCCATCTTCACACAAATTATCATGAACCTGCTTTCTGTGCCTTCTGAATGCCAAGGTCAAAGTTGTCATTGTCAGTATAATTGAAATAAGCCATTGAAGAATTATAGCGAATAAACAAAACAAAACAGAATGAATGAATCCAGTGTTGTGTTAGCAACACTGTTTAGTAAGAACTTTTGGGATGGCTTTAGGAAACCTTATCAACATGGTAAAAAAGCACAAAATACGAAAAATTTGATGGGGGCCCTTTTCGGGCCCTTTTTGGTCGGGGGCCCTTAGTTCTCGAACTAAGGTCGCCTAAACTGCGTTACGCCACTGCACAAAACTCTTCGAATTTTTATTCTTCCGGATATTTGTCTTTTTATTCATGATTTCCAGAAAGTTATCATTTTATATCATCAGTATTTGTCTTATATGTAAAGAAAATTTTCGATTTTAACTAAGATGACACATACAGGGTTTGTCGATCGCCTTTTCTTGTTTACGTCGTCTTGACCCATTTCATGGATACAAAACAGAGCGTATGGTTTCTAGTTTATATCTGTTTTTATCTTCTTTTTTCCTCAGGTAATAAAAAACCCGATCACCGATCATCTTCCAGTTGGTTGCAAGAAAATAGGTAACGTCTTGTGCATTTTACTGTCATTAAAACGTCTTTATTGCATCAGGTAATGGTTCTCTTCTAGCGATATGATTGAAAAGGAAGAATTATTGGATCTCGTTCGAAGCTTAGCGCGCAAAGAAATGTTTTTCGTGGTTTTCTTCCTAGTAGTATTTTCAAGGCAATATTATTTGCGATTTTTGGTACTTGAGTTTTCTTTATCGATGTCCTTTAAGAAGATATGTCGCTATCAACAGATGGCTATTCATGGTGATAAGCAAAACATCCATGATGTTTAGAAAGTTATGCTGCAATGTAGTGTATGCAACTGATTGGTTTAGTCTTATTCTTGTCACGGTTGGACAGCTATTCATCCTTCAACGATCCATTATATTTGATTTAAGAATCGAAAAAGAAGCTTAAGTAATTTTGAAATCTAATTTTGTAGAAAATCTAACAAATAGATAAAGTACTCAGCTACAGTGTACCGGGCAAGATTGTCTAAAATTTTCTAAATTAGTAATCCAAATTGCTAAAGTATCTTATGCCAAATTTTTTATTATTATTCTTGTGTATATACAGAACCCTGGTCAATGTTTTCTATCAAGAAATGGAAAGTGTCTATTGATGAAACTTTGATCTAACTCTGATCTACTGATCAAACTATTATTTTTGTTGCTTCTGTCATGATCAAAACGTTTTCTGCAAGCTCTTTTGCAAACGATTGAACCGTTCTTCGTTGTTTATGTAGTTATGTCATACAACGCTGAAAAGTGCGCCCACCCAAGGGACTATGTTCCAGCAGATGACCCAGTTGTGTTTGTCATCGGAGCAATGGCCCATGGCTCGGTGAGTTCAGCAGTGTTTCAAGAACTAAACATGGCAGCAAAGAGGCTTTCATAGCTTCCCTACCATTAACAAGCATAGGTTTAGTTTCTTTTAAACCTCTGTTTTGATCCCTTTCACCCTCTGAAGCCTTATTTTCCAACAAAAATTTAGACTGCAAAAAGGTGCTTCTTTCAAAACCTGTAAGTTTTCCCTATTGTCAAAAAGAGAAGGTTAAATTTTTCAAAAACTGATCATGGTTTCCTAATGATAAAAGGTATGTCATTTGCCTCTTCTTTAACGTTTGAACCTTCTAGATCTTTATTGTTGGGGAAAATGTTTACTAAAAAACATATATTTGCTAAGCCTTAAAGATTGTTTTTTGTCAAAAAGCTAGGGTTAAATTTTTCAAAAACCAATTTTGATTTAATGGTATCAATCTGCTCAGACATATTATTTACATCTATTTCGAAGGTTTGGACATTCTAGAATTCAATTCATGAACGAAAATTTTACCTGATCATGGTTTTTTCATTAATGCTATAGGCGAGTGTTAGCTTTTTCGAAAAGGCTATGGTATCTTTATACCAACTGGAATTCTTCCAAGAATCTGAGGCACTCACAGGAATATCTGGCTAGTCGTAAATTATCTCCCAACCAGCCCCCCCCCTCCCCGCTCACTAAACCAATATTGCGGTGAGAGTGGTTGAGCCTTCATGTACCCCCACTAATTGTGTAAACATCTTAGCAAAAGCGATATAGGTGACTTTTGCGTATGACATAAAGTTAAGACATTTAATTGGATTTTTCGTCAAGAAATCTGAGCTATTTTTTGCAAAGATTCCTGCCCCTTATAGCAATTTGCCCAGCATGTCATGCTACTGTATTTAGTCTGAAAATCTTTTTCAAAAACTCTCATTTGACAAGATAAGGCCTAATCTACAAGAATACGTAAGGGGATAAGTTAAAAAAAGTTTTGTAAAGATTTTTATGTATTACTCGAGTGTGCTAAGAAAACAATTTGTTTTTTTATAGGTTCAAGTTGATTATGGTGAAGAAAATGTTGCTATTAGTCAATATCCGCTCTCTGCCGCTCTAACATGTACCAAAGTTTGTTCGGCCTTCGAAGAAGTCTGGGGCGTGAATTAATGGATCTGCGCAGACCAACCTGCTAGCAGTCCGTACCAATACAATGGCGGGCATATTAGCAGGATAAATCAATGAGGTTTTCAGATGGAAGTAATAAAAAAAGACAGCGGGAATATGCAAAAGGATACTAACATATGTATTGGATAATGTTAGCCATTTGCATTGACATTTGTGTTTTAAAACACACTATGTAAATTGCTTTTAAGAAACTATTTTATGTTGCAGTAGAAACACAAATAATGTCTTTGATATTGGATGTAGTTCTAAGAATTTTTTGTTGTTCTGTATTCACGTCTGTTTTGTAAATACTCTGTGAATTCATAAATATATCGGTGCCAGCTCTGTTGTCGCTCGGTCATTCTGCGTTTACAGAAACCTGTATTGAAGTTGCACACCGTGGAACAGATGAACCACTTGTTTGCTTCGTTGAATTGCCCCAACGATTGATTGTTTAGTGAAATTGAAATAAATAGTATTGCACCAATATCATCGTACAGTGTGTATATTATGTTTAAGCAAATATTTCACAAGCTGTCTCACTCTCCAAGTATATCAGACGTGTTCATTCCCACAGATTCGGTCAATGAGGCCCATTGAATTGTCAACAAATGCACATTGTAGATTGATTTAGGCCCATATCGCCTAGGAGTGCAGACATGTCAGGGAAAAAAGTGCCACAAAAAGCAGAGAGCAGTTTGACAAATAATTGTACAGTTATTATACATTATACAGTAAAATAGACCAACATTCTGAGCTAACTTTCTATACAGGAAATATTCAATAACTTTTATCATCCACTTAAAAACATATAATACATTTATTTATAAAAGAAGTATATTCAATAAATATATCAAGAACACAATTCAAGCAAAAACGAAATTACGAAAAGTAATCTTTCAAAAAAGAATAAAAACTTAAGCCATTTTAAATACAGTTGGTATGAGCAATGTTAACACAAAAATTGACATCAATATTTGGTATCTGAAATGTTGTTTTCCAAGAATAGAACATTGCTAGATTGCTACTTTTTCATTTGCTATTCAAATGGTTTTCCGATTTACTGGGCTGAGATGATTTCTGGTGCAGGCTTTGGCAAGCTGATTGTAAATGACCAAAGTTTTCTTGGAATTCACTAGATTAAAAGAAAAATCCATTAAAGATTTGCTTAAGGCTGAAACCTTGCTTCCATATACACTTAGGTTAGACAATTATTGCACCTCTTCGACGAACGAGTAATGGCGACGGAGTTGTAAACAATACGACATTCGAAATTCAAACCCCTTTTGTGAAGCCATTTGACGCTAGTTTTAAGTTTAAAACCAATCAAAACTCAAAACACTGGCAACATTTCTATGAAAACCTTCTTATGGAAACTTCCCATACAACAGCCCAATACGACAAACTTTAGTATGCAACGTAGTAGTAGACAAACAGATACAAACAATGCAATGGAAATAGGCGTGATTGATCCGTATTTGTAAAAGAAACCATTGCAAGCAACTTGTAGGACAGGTACAACAAAAATACCAGCTTAATACGGCATAAATGAAAGAATAAATAGATAAAACTTTATGGAAACCAAGCTTAGATTAATTAAATGGTACGCCGCAATTTATTCAAACATATGCAAAAAACTAGAATTCAAAGTAATTTCTAACACCGTTAGTGATTAAGACCGTCGTCATTAAGTGACAGAAGTGTTGTTACTTTTTCTTAACGCGTTAAGTTTCTGACCGATGTCAACAGAATTTCAACTCACCTTAACTTGCTTCGAGATCCCTGTAAGCATTCTTGTTGAGATGACATTTCTGTATGCAGTGTATCCATTTCGACACTAAAAAATTGCAAATTTTTCAGCATTCAAAAATCGATGTCAATTTGACTATGATTGTATAGACCATTAACCACCAAGCCAAAAATGATTTCGGGCATAAACATTCTTATCCCGTTGTCAGCAAATATAGGACGAAAATAGTTATAGTAGAGGCTGCATTGAATTGAGGCCAGCAGTATTCTCAAACGAAAGCAGACTTCTTAATACTGGTCAATCAAAACCTCGGTATTCGTGCTGAATGGCCCTTAGCTGATTGGACTAGAGCGTGAATTATCAGTTTCCAAGGAAAATAAGGCCTATTTTTGGTCGAATTCAAAGCAGTATTGGTTACATTTACTATAAATGTATAATTATAAGAATTGGTTTGATGCCAACGTTTTCATTAGGAATGAATCTGACAAAGGCTTCCAGTTGTTTGATCATTTCATCCAATTTCATCCGACACAAGGACAGATTTTGTAACATTCCTTAAAAATTAATATTTTTGTAGAAATAGGGTTAATCTCTACGTTTTCCTTCGAAATGAATCTTCAGAAAAGTTTCCGGTTTTTTGATGATTTCATTTGCCGTGAAACGCAAAGTTACAACTGTATTTTCTAGTGCTACCACTCCATTTTGCATAAAAACTGAGATATAATTATCATAAACTTGCATTGATCAATAGTAAATAAACTAACCTAAGTCATCATACTTTAAAGCCGTTTATACTAAGAATAAGATGAGGGTCAGCGAATATGAAGCTTTGCAATAAAAAACGTCGAAAAACTCACCGTAACGCCGACATGCACTTACGCAGTGTTGCAAGGGCAGAGCTGGAAAGCAATAGAAGGTTTCAATGAAAAGCCAATGAAAAGCCATAAGCTTTTCAAAAATTCGATCAGGAAAATCATTTACTGCTGTATGCTGCTAAGAAAATCTATACGATTGCATCATAAATACAATAATTTGTAAAGGTTTTCTTGGCATAGCAAGTCTTGGCATAGCAGGTCTTGACATAGCAAAATATGAACTCAAACTATAACGTGCCAAGAGTTTGAAGACGAACCGAAAACATTAAGTTGGTTTTTATAGAAAGGGGGGGCGGGGCGTTTGTGGGTCAAATTAACTGAACATACAACTGCACAAAATCTACTTAAAACTTAAATAGTTGGTATCGAAATATATATTTTGAAGGAGCCTGAGAGTATGCCAGTTTTGCATCTGCTAAGAGAATTTTTCCAATATTTATTTACTTAGAAAATGATGAACTGGATACTTGGAGATTAATCAAACAAATTACATAATGTCTAACTGAAATTTAGGGTGCTTAAATTAAAAGAAATATAACCTGGCTACATTGCAACATACCTTGGCTTGTGTTTAGCATCGTCTTCCAAAACGTCCAAATTTGGTAATTTTATGACTGCCTTTTTCACAATAAAATCGAGCATTTCTCGAGTGGCAGTACTTTTGCATCCACTCATATCTTCTTTCAACCTAATCAGGTCTTCGTTTCTCTTTAAAATATCTTTCTGAAGTCTTTCAGAGTCATTTGCCTGACGTCGTAAGCGTTCCCTTGCTTCTATAAGTAAACCGTTGCATTTTTGCTTTTCCTTCCGTGTCTCAGATACTTCAGTTCGCAGACATTTAAGCTCTGTTTTCGCTACATCTAATAATGAGTTAATGTTTCTTAACTCCGAATCATGGTGTGACTTCAAGACATCTAGCTCGTTTTTCTTCACTTGCACCTCCGCAGAGGCTTGCTTCTGCTGCCACTTCAAGCTGCCAATTTGATCCTGCAGTACACGCGTTTGACTGCGCTCAATTCCCAACTGGTTTTCAAGACTAAAAATTACGCCTTGCAGCTCTTCATATGCTGAAGTAATCTTACTATTTTTTGCCACAGCTTCATTTTTAGCAGACAATATTTCACAATATGATTTTTCAATTTCAGATAATTTTCTTCCCTGTTCGATTTTCTCAGTTGTCGTTTCCTCTAGGTCTTTTTCACGTTGTTCAAGCTTTGCCAACATCAAACGATTTTCATCCTTTAGCATTTTTACTTGAGCAGCCAGCTCATTTTTCTCTTTGTCTGCTGCTGTGAATCTTTCTTCTGCACTCTTTTTGTATTGCCCAAACTTCAAAACTCCCAAATCTTTATCCTTCTTCAGCACTAAAATTTGCTTCTTTGCGCCTTTAAGCTCGTCCTGCTTTGTCTCAACATCTCTTTCAAGGTTTGCAACCCTTTCTTGTTCAAGCTGTAATTTCTTCTCCATAAGCGCCGTTCGATTCCCACTTTTCACTAATTCTAACTTGAGATTATTTACAACTTCCATCAAATTATCATTACTTTGAGAACTCTCTTTCAGCTGCAAACCCATTCGATCAACTGCACTTGCAACAAAAGAAAATATTTTAGGAATAGAAGATTTGAGCCGTAATAACTCTCTGCTAACGATGTCTCTTTCCTGCTTTAACAGCCCAACATGATGAGCAAATCCTCTCAATTTTTCTGCCAACAGCTTATAATTTCGCTCCTTTTCATCAATCAATTTTTTCTGTTCAGAGCAAGTTGCAACCAAATGCTGAGCTTTGATGCTTTCTTCCTTCAGTCTTTCTACCAAAGACATTATGCTAGACTCGTAATTTTCTTCCTTTTTCAGCCATTCATTTTGCTTCTCCTTTAATTTTGTGGTCAATTTATTTTCTTTGGCTCTTAGGTTAGCTATTTCACACTGGCTTTCCTTTCTATGGCGTTGAAAGTCTTCCGTCATGGTTTTTAACTCATTTCTCAGTTCTATCATGCATTTTTCGGTCTCAGAACTTCTTGAAGTTATTGCTTCACATTCCGTTGTCAAATCATCAATCTTAATTTCAAATTCCTCCTTCTGTTTTCTCCATGCGCTACAAAATTAATACATCATTCATGAAACGAGCTTATTTACTTTAGATATAAAGCTATGCTGGGCTGGATAGGAAATAATTTACTGTCAGCTTCCTTGACCGCATACTATGATAAAACAACAAATAAAATCCTATCTCTTCCAAATCTATATAAAAATGGCTAGAAACCTTTGCAGTGCTTCGGAATCTCTTTCCAGACCCTCTTTTGCTCTGACTGCATTGTCTAAATCTTCTTGCATTGTCTTGTATTTCGTCTTCAATTGTTCTACCTCAACAGTAAGAGCTTCCTTTCCTTCAGTCAGAAATCGGACTGTCTCGATCTTATTTTTTAAAGCATCCCTGAAAGATAACAAACTGCAATTAGAAAAGTCCACTTTGTAAATATTTTAACAGAATAACAGAACGGCCACAACGAGTACTTAAGGACCCATGGAGGGCACGGGTCGTTTTCGTTTTTTCTTCGTTTTTCAACCGCGAGGGTTTAATACTGAACACCATTGTGTGCAAGCCTTGATTGAGTCGTACACACCCGAAACGTCTTCCAAGTTAAGGGAAGTAGCATTTCAGAGGCACAGAGTAATTCATTTACGCCGCTGCCTGATGACTGCTCTAAGAGTGAACCACGGAGCTGCAACCTAAACCGTCCTTTTCAAGACACAAAATTGCATAAAGCTAAAAGGTATCAAGCCCTTAAAAACAGACCAGTAGCAAAAGGATACGAACATCAAGTCAATTTAGGCCTAAAAAAGGATTTCTAAAACGCTCAGCTGTAAGATTACTAGCAAAGAAGATGCATCAAGGATTGCAAAATTGACCACAAACCTGAGCTCATTTTGCACTCGACCTTGCTCACTCATGTATTCCTGCAGATCCTTCATTTCATTGATTAACTCCATTTTCTTCGCATCAATGGTCTGCAGTAGCGAAGACTTTGAAGCCAAGTCCTTCTTCATTATATGAAAAATCATATTCACCTTCTGCATGTCGTTTTTCAATGCCAGAGCTGCACTTTCAAATTCAGCCTTTTCTTCGTTAGCTGCTTCAAGGTTCTTCTTCAAGCCCTCTTTTTCTGAAATAAGCAAAGACATTCTTTCTTCTTTCATGTCAACTTCCCCTTGCAAATTTAGCATCTTTTGTTCCAGTTCTCTTATCCTGCTTTTTTCAATAGTATTTTCTTCTTCTAGTTCTTTTACCAATCTTTCATACTCCTCTATTTTTGCTTTTGTATTTTCCATGTCATTCTTCATATCCTCAACAGTATTTTCTCTTTTCGAAAGTTCTGTTGTCAACTTTTCAATTTTGCCCTCCGCTGCTGCGACAATTTCAATTAACTCTTTAATTTTTGCCTCATTTGTCTCGATTATCTTGTTTCTTTCATTTATTAACAAACTAAAAGTTTTATTTTCTTTCTCAAGGCGTGCATAGAGGAGATCATACTCTTTTATTTCATTTTCGACTATTTCCATTTGTTTTACAATTTCTGATTTTTCACTGGCACTGGCATAGTTCAATTCAGCAAGTTTTGTTGAAAGCTTTTTGTTTTCTGCTTGGAGCTCTGATAATGCAATTGCTTTGTTGTTTCTTTCTGTCTTTGCCTCTTCAAACTGCAACTGCATTTTAGCTCTTGAGTCACTCAGAGTTTTTAACTGAAACTCTAACCAGTCTTTACTTTGTTTCAATTTTTGAAAAGCTTCCGAAAGCATTTTCAGCTGCGATTCACATTTCTCTTTACTTTCATTTGATGTTTTTGCCTCTGATATGCAACCCTTGAGTTCGGTTTTCGTTTTTTCTAATTCGCCATTCTGTCGCTTAAATTTTTCCTCCGTGTCAAATATTTTACTTTTCAATTCATCGTAAGCCTGATTCATCCTTTGAAGCTTCTCCACTGTTTCCCTCAAAGACTCATCCTGCCTTTCATTTTCAGTCTCGAAGTTCCTCAATCTCTCCTCCAGTTCCAAAACGACAGCTTCTATCTGAGATTTCTGTTCATGAATATCAATTTTTTCCTCATTTTTAATTTCAAGTAGCTTTCTCTCAGCAGCAAGATCCTCCTCTAGACTCCATATGATTTTCTTTAATTTCATCTTCTCCTTCATCAAGATGGAGTAATCAGATGATAATGCTTGAATGTGCGAATCCAGCTTGCTATCGACAGCAGATGACGACACCAACTCACTTTTTGGCGCCTTTTTATCAATAGTATTAAGCCTCTGCTCCAGCTCTGCCAGAAAATTGTCGTCATCACAGAAATTACTGGGGCCGGTCTTAATATACGTTCTGCCTTGGCTCTCAGCATGTTCCCTGTCTGTTATGACCGCTGAAGTCTCGATTTCTAAAAACAACATACAATACTCAGCTCAAAATAAGTACAATTCTTACTTCAAATCACAGATTTCGATTTAAAGGCAGTGTGTACCGCCGTCTATTGGTTTACACAAACAAAGGAAGAAAATATATTTCAGTGAGTTTTCAAAACATAACAAAGGTAGTCTCTTATTGGTCAGTTATACTAATTTGTCAAGCTTATCTAATTTTGAGGACCCTCGAAATTCAACAAACAAAAGCCGATGAACATCGTTTTCTTTACGACCGATTTCCATTTTGTATTTTCTGTGCGCGCGGGCGTAGCGCCCAAATCTGAGCATGCATAGTTAAGTGCTGCTGTCAAGTAGCCGAGCGCACAAAAAAGTTGAGACCCTGTCAACCTTCTGGCGCTCACAGCGGACGCAAAATCGAGACCATTTGATTTTAACTACGCATGCTCAGATTTGGGCGCAACGCCCGCGCGCACAAAAAATGTTAAATGGAGATCGACCTTTAAGGAAGCCCCGTACGGCCGGGCGAATTATTATCAATATGATGATTTTTTCTAGTCTTCTTCTACTGCTTTGCAGCGCTCTTGCTAGTTTTGTGTTCGTCCTCCGTCTTCAGACATTCTACAGATAACCTTAGTTAGCAGGCTGCTTTTCAACTATACATCGCAAAAAAGCATAAAAACATGGACAGGACAAATCAATGGTAACCTAGCTGTTAGTTTAACTTACGTTCAAACATGAATCTATATTACACCATATCCAGCCGTGTTTGCAGATTGTTAATATTTATTGAAAATATAGTATGCAAAAACTGTGTATATATTTATTTATATATATGCATATAAAAATATGCTATGGGCATCGCATCAATTAAGTTTGCTAGTTGTGGTTTATATGCTAATTAGATCAGTGCCTTCATGGTCCAGCCCAAACTCTTGTTGAAGGTTTAGGTTGGCGTGAAAAAACCGAATTTTTGTTAACAGGTGTGAAATTAATGTTACTCTAAAAAAAATTGGAAAAAAGTATTTGTCACTGATGCAGTGAAAGCTCAAAGCATGTTTTAGAACAGGACATTTTAGAATAACATACCTGTAGGTTCAATTGCAGCATCGCTTTCTTCCTGCAGATGGCTTAAAACTATGATTGATCCTATTCCTGAATCATGTGTCGAAGACCCTAGATCAAATGACGATTGCGATGACTCTGGTTCATCTATACCCAGCTCAATGTCTGTTTCTTGCTTAAGTACAACATCAGTTTCTTCCGCTATCACAGTCAATGGATGGGTTTTGATTAATATGTCATCCTCTAGCAGTTCAGAAGGCTTACTAACAGGTGAAATTTGATCCATAGCTTCACCCATTGCTAACCCTTTGCTGTGTACATCTAGATAAGCACATTTAGGAAGATCACCCAAAAGGGACACATTGCCAAATAGGTCTTTAGGTGGATCAGAAGACATTTTAGATATCCAGTCTGTAAAACTGGTAAGCAGCTGGGCTGTTTGTCCATCTCCAAGCTCATCCAAATTACTTTGATATGTTTCGAAGCCAGTCTTGTGGGAAGAAAAATCTCCAATTCCTTTATCTAGCTGTGTGCCTTCTGCACCTAGAGCAACTGGTTCACATTTCACAGCATCATTTTCATTGCTAACAAACTTTGAAACCTCTTGTTTAATCTCACATTTGTCCTGGCTATAATCCTTATCATCGTCAAGCTTGTTTTTAGCAAGTTCCAGACATGTATCATTATTGTCACTTGATGTGATATCCATTGAAAATGGAATTGCATTAGAATTTTCTTTTTTCTCTTTATAGTTGCTATCATTTTCAGATTTGATAGTATCTAGACTTTCAGACTGCTGATTAATATGAATGATCCCTTTGTTTGCATTCTTAAAACTATCTACAGGAGTTTTAATTTTACAGGCAATGTTCTCTTTGTGTCCATTCTTAATCAGGACCTTCCCGTGTACAACACTTTCTTCGATCTGATTAACATGTGAAGGAGGGTTGACTGGATATTTGGCATTACTTTCACTCACATGCAAAGAAATTGAACTGTCAGAGTACAAATCTATTATGATATTACGCAGTTCCTCATCAAATTCTGATGCATCTTTTGGTATGTCTGTTGGAATAATATTTAGAAGATCCCACAGTGAAAATTTGTTATCCTCTCTTGCAGAAGCAAGAATACTTGCCTGCCAGTCATAAAGATCATCCATGCTTTATGGCACACTTTTTGCATCATTCCCACTAGGTCACATGATTGCTGAAGAGCACATTCCGAGATTCAAGAGCACAAATTTTAAACTTGATCTATGATAAAATGAAATAAGGGTTTCAGTAACATATAATGATGATGTGACCATATATACAGTATCATTATCTTATATTTTATCAATAATGGAACATTCCCTTAAGCCTCTACACACCCTGACCCTTTTAAAAGCAAAGTCTGTAAGTGGAAAAAAAACCTTTGTATGATGTAATTTGGTAATACATAAGCTGAGCTGAAAGTCGCCTGTAACATTATCATGTTTGATCATAGTCAATAGAATAGTGACTGGTCTGGAAGCCTATTGTTATACGCTTTTGTTTGCGCGTGGATGTTGATTCACTCTGAGATTGGTGGTCACGTGCCAAAGAGAGTGCAAACAATTTCGAACATGGCGGACGCAAACACCCCGGTTGCTAGCAATAATTTACACTTCGAAGAAACACTAGAGCTTGCTCTCGACATTTTGATAGATGACGAAGATTTTGGATCTGTATATGATGAAGAAGTGCTTTCGGTGGTAAAAGAGGTGAGTGAAAGTTGTAAGGACACGTTTTTATTTTCCATGTTTGTTTTATTAGAATACTTCAATGACCAACTCGGCAAGATTTTGTTGTAATGAAAACTTTCATTTTAGAAGCATAAAATGTGTGTTTAAAGTTTTAAAACAGTGTTGTTTCTTTAGATTTCGCATGACGGCTCACTAGCTTGTGAAAATTGCAGCAAGAAATACAAGACCGAAGCGGGCCTAAGAAGGCACATAAAATCGAAACACGTATCCCACAAGCAGACCAGACAATTCAGTGGTGAAGACATCGTTAAGTTGGTCAATGAAGCCAAGAATGAACTTGCAACTGATAAATGCTATCCAGTTGAACTTTGCAATGCTATTAAAATGTTTGTGTTTGACAAAGAAAGTGAAAACCTAAGAACGGAATTGTTGAAACATTGCAGCAGACTTTGGAAAAATTCAGATGCTGAGAAATTTTATTCTGAGTATTATGGTTCAGTTGTGATGAATGCTGAAAAGTTTTTCCCAAATTTACCCTTTCCTGGGTGCACACTGGTTGCAACTAAACTAGCAGACAAGATTGTCTCCCATTTCAAGACACCAGCAAAGCAAATAGCAGTCCCAAAGAAAATCACTGAACAGGAGATGTTCAGTTTACAATATCTGGCAGGATATGTTGTGCATTCTGTTGTTAAGAAACTGCACCAAGTCTCAAACGGCCAAAAATCAAAAAGCTCTATAGCTATGTTAACATTTTTGAATTCATTGAGACTGGAAGATATTTCAGCTCAACAGCAAATACAATGCCAATCAAGAGGAGGTTTATGGGGAGTGAACAATGATTGTGTTAGGTTTTTCAGCTATGTAGAAGAAGAGTTCCGCAAGGCAACAGAATCTGGACACATCACCAAGATCAACTGCAACAAGCTGACAGAAATCTTAGTTGAGAGAGTTGATGTGGTCAGTTCTTTCAGTGCCATGGAGGAAGGATCCCTGTGTGAAATGGACAAAGAGACAAAGAAGAATCTCCTTGAAAAACTTATTCAGCTGTACTTGCGAGTTAGGGCATTTTCATTTGCAAAAACCAACACACAACTTCATTGCAAAAAATCCAAAGCATTACGTAAATCTTTGAAATTACAGGGGTTGTAATAACTTCTAATCCAATATAATTTAATAACTTTTAATGCACTCCACTTTACATACATTCAATTAGAAAAAAATAGATCTCCAAAGGGCAATCATCAAATTATGATTTTTGTCAAAACATGTGATCCCTTGCACAGTTTTAAAGCACCAAAACATAATTGCAATGGCAGCCTTTGTCACTTGTGCAGTTTAAATACTTGGCGAAAGAGAATTTTAGTTACCTAATATGCCAAAAACTATTCAGTTGAAATAAGCCTAAATGTAGCTCCTTGAAGGAAATTTGCCAATGCTGTTACTGCAAAGTGTTTTGCAGGAAAATATATTGGTGTATCAAGATGCTTAAATGTTCAATGTTTTATATGTTACTTAGAATATTAATGTTATCTTATAATTCTCTTGGAGCCAAGTTTCATGTTGCAATGATAGGGGCAGGTCAAAGCAGAGAGAATTTTGAAATTATATCATTTTAAAATCAAATTGTTTCAGAAAATCTGATGATATGTGGTTTTTCAGAGCAATTCCCAACAAAATCTTTTAACAGTAAAAACTACATTATCTATTACTGGTGTATGTTAAACAAGACTAGTTGCATTTAACTGTGGTTTTGTTTTTTTGTTAATTTAAGTGTCATCATCTAGCTGGACTTACGTTTTCTTTTAGCTAATTTTGTTTCATCTACAATTGACCATGAGACTTGTCTTTTTTGGATATGTCCTCCTCTTGTGTTTCCTTTAACAGGTACAATTGACCTTTGTATTCTGATGGTGTTATCATTGTACCCCAACATTCGCATATCAGGATTGTCACTACGACGACCCAGAGAGCGTTGTCTACTGAAATATTCTTCAACAACATCTTGGTTAAAGCGGCTGCTGAGAACAAAATTCATTCCACTGGTTAAAAGGAACCTAGTGGCTTCAATGACTGAATACACAGTGATCTGCAAGCCTTCATATGTTTGCCAAGACAGAAACATTTTGTCCCTTGCGCTTCCACTGAAATTGCCATCTCTGGACATGGTGCTTGCTTTCCAATCTGACAAGTATTTCAAAAATACATTTTCAAGCCAGTGAAACCGCTCATCATTTAAACTGGTGTAAGGCTGTAGGAACTCCTTCCGCTTAAATTGACCTTCCTTAGTGCTTCGGACATTGAGTGCATCAAAGAACATGTCCATCATTTTGCAAAATTCTGCCGTCCCATGTGTGTCACTGTCATAAAATTGTTTAAGTGTGTTTGCTGTAGTTGCACTCAAAACTTGTGCAGCTAATGACACATTCATTACCCCAAAGGAGGTTAGCTGTGTGTGTGAACTTGACAACTTTGGACAAAGCTTCAAACCTTTGTCCATATCATCATTTACCAACTGGCATATGTGTTGCCAAAGAAGGTACTTTCCATTGTTCCACATGTAACGTGTAGATTTTCCTGTGCCAGAATGATACAGGCAGTTACGGGCGGTCTTGAGGAGGTGTGGGGCATCAGCAAAAAACCATAGAAATCGTTTGGGTGCAAAAATATTGATGGATCGATAAACCACTGGTTTCCCAGGGGTTTGGTCCATAGTGGCATGCATGCGGAAAAATTTTCTGTTTGGAGAAGCTCCATCTGATACTGAGGCAATTACTGGTAGCTTGCAGGCTAATTCCAAAACAGAAACAGCTTTCCAGAAAATAGGCATGAGCTGGTATGAGACTACACCACTTGTAGCAAAATATGCCAGGTTGTATTTGAGGTCAGATGCAAGGCCTCTGACATAAAATACCAAGGCATGAGTAGCTAGGTTATCTTGCTTCTCATCTGTGGCAAAATTGATCTCTGGATCACCAAGGTCCACATAACCAATCAGTTTTCCAGTATGTTTATCAAATACTAACTTTGACTGCACTTTCATTTCGTCAAAACCCAGAACCACATACCTTTGAACCCCTTCAAGATTACGTGTTATTCTGGTAAGCTCGTCTATCACACTAGGATTGAATCCTGCTGTAGGAGTAATTGCATTCCTATAGTCTCGCAAAGTCCTCCTACTTGGCAAGGTCAGCACATTTGAATCCCTCAATTCATCATAGGCTGATGCTGATTTTGCTGCCAAGGACAGACAAAATCTTATTATCATTGGGTGATAGCGAATAGCATTGCTCTTACACTTGAAAGCTTCTTGTTGCTGCTCCCAAAAAAGCTTCATAAATGGTGAAAGCTTTGTCCCAGCATCTGACATAATAAGCTTCACATCTTGGTCCAATTCAGAATCAATTGACAAACTGCTTGATTCTATTGACAGCCTCATTTCATCAATTTGTTTTTGCAATTGACTGCATTTAAGTCTATGTTGCTGAAGGGTTAATTTGAGTCGGCTTGGGTGAGTGATGGATACCGGAGCTTTAGCCTTTGCAGGGATACACAACTTAGTTGTTTTTTTGTCCAATACTTTGGTAAGCTTCCTTTCAACTGTTGAACATATCTTGCATTGGTCTGAAGATTCATTCAGAATGAAGCAATCTTTTGGCCTGTTGTATATGACTGTGTTCACTGGAATGTTGAATTTTTCTTGCAAACTGACTTTGTAAGGAATAGCATGAACCTGTAACTCGCTTGAAGGTTTTGCAATGCCTCCACATATCTTATGCTGCTCAATCTTTCGAATCAGCTCTGAGACAGTAATATTTTTTAGATTTTGGTCAGATTCAGTGTAAATTGGATGACTTTGTGGCAGCAGCCAACCATAGATGAATAATGTGTATGTCAAATTGTTGCCAATTACCAATTCAAATTTTGGAATCATACATTCTTCTTCAAAGAGCTTTAGTCTCAGCTGGTTACTCACTGACTCTTGTTGCCAAGCTGGAATCTTAAGTTTAGCAGCCCTTTTTACTACTTCTTCCAAACTCTGGTACAAATCAGTTTTTGCCTGTTCCACCACTCGGTCTTGAACTACACTCGTGTGTTTTCTTTCTTTGATGGGCTTTGATGGGTGGGACTTCTCTGGCAAGTTCTCTGTGGGTATAGCACCAAACCGGAGCACTTTCCTGCCAGTGTCTAATGGATTAAAAAGAATTTAACTTATTTTTTAGCCTACAAATAATGTGTTTTCTGTTTACATGAATTAAATACAGCAGAATCTAGCAAGTCTTTAGGAGATCAAATCCCACAATATAAGAGAATTACAAATGGTCATAAAAACCATCAAAATCTTCTTAAAAACCTTTTTGGGAAACAGAAAGACTTTCTCTTGAAAAAATTAAATAACTAAGCTTATCGTTACGTCGTATATATGGATAACTTACAAATTTTTTCAGTGGAAAATGATTTGAAAAATTAAATTGCTACGAGCTAGTTTGGCCTTAGCAAAGCAGACGGGTTGTGCGTTGGTTTTTTGTCTAAGTAGAAGCGCCACACCAGACTTATTCTTAGTCACACCAGACTTACTTGTGAACTCAATATCCTCCAGTTTGTAGTGCCTCTCGCATGTCCATACATTTCCTGATGCCATCAACTGTTTGAAGTTGGAATCTTCTTCGCGGTACTTGGTTAATACATCAAACACAGCCTTCCTCCACAAAACATATCGCTCACTTGATCGCGTGCTGACTTGAAAAATCCCTAAACCACTATACTTTGCTGTCCTGCTGGCACCACATTGTGGAAAAGCACAATTCGCTCCCGGCATATCTTCGATTTTATGAAATATTAATTCATCACTCCCTTCTCGTCTCGATCAATTTCAAAAATGTGTACGCTGTTTCACTACGCGTTGCTATGTGCCCTGTGCGTTGCCTTGCACCCACATCGGCACGTGACCTGTGCGTTTTTGAACAATAAGATAATACAATAGGCTTCCAGACCAGTCACTATTCTATTGACTATGGTTTGATATATTCCAGTTATGCTTGAGTGGATTACCTGCACTTTGTGAAAAGATTTTAAAACCAGAAGTTTACGGTCCAAAAATTCAATTCACCTGAATTCAAAGAATGCTTAACAATACCTTCAGATCTCAAAGAATATATTCATACAAAAAGAAAGGATGAAATATTTTCTTTATTGTATTTTCCACTCAACTCTACAAAACTTTCTTTGTTGAATAGAATCAAAGAAACAATGGAAAAAATGTGTAATTTTCAAGACCCAAGAAAAGCAGGTTTATTGTTTAATATTTTATGACCTCTAAAATGACAGCAAGAAATTTCATTACCATTGGAAATTTGTATGAAAATTCAGAATTTCAAGAATGAAGAAACAGTTCCTGGCAGCTGCACCATTCATCTGATAAGATTGGCATTACAAGATTCGAACTCTCTGCATTATAAGCAAAGGACATTTAAATTTGTGACATTTTTGAAAACATTTTATTGTGCCAAATTTTGGTCTTTTCATTCAATGAGAAGACAAAATGTTGCTTCAAGTAATTTGGAACCTTATAGTTTCCATTACCAAAATCGAAATTGGTTAGCAAAAATGGACTTGAAGGTTGTGACATATTTTATTGATTGAATTCTGTTGCAATATAATCATGAAGCGACCACTGAAATTAGGCTTACTGCAGCTCCAAATAATTATGACTGCAACGTTTAGCATATTCTCCAACAACAGTGAGGAAAATGAGTAGTCCTTAACACCCAAGCATAAAGTAACTATGTCCCTGATTCATTTTAATTAGATATTGCAAATTGATGCAAAGATAAACTTTTTTATCATAAAAGTTTCACAGGTACTTTAAAGATGCTTTAATATCATATACTTTAATCATCGTGGCTCAATTTGCATACTTGCTATAGCTATTTGAATTTTGGTTAGCTAAAAAATTTTGCTGCAGTTCTGCCATTTCTGTCTCAGCCTGTGTAATATTGCTGGTCACTAAGTGTGTACCCAGTTGTGGATTGAAATAAGCATATAGCATATCAGTAACCTGTGGGCGTGGCTGTTGAGGTTGCCTAAATCACTACCATTTGCTAATTGAGAAACTTTTACCAATGGTGTCCTAAGTTGAAAACGAACTCCTTTTGTCTACACAACAGCAATATTTCATGTTTATGTAGATAGATTAAAAAACTGCTAGATGGAACGACACTGGGAAGCTATTCTTATCCAGCAGTGTCCTGGTCCTTCCTCTCAATGGGATGGGAGATGTTTCTTCTTTAAACAATATCTAGTCTAAATACAAAATATGTGAAATTTTCTTTAGCTTTTTTAGATTTCTCATACTGATTTTTCTGGATTTTTATGTTACAGGAGGTTGATTGCAGGGTTCAAGTTTTCAAGTTACTTGGCAAGGCAGAAGTCTGTGCCTAAGTACGGATCTGAGTTGTATTGCCAAACAGTTCTTTTTTGTCAAAACAGATTTTATTCAAATTTGTATTTCTTCCTCAGCACACAAGACTTCACAAAAACGAGTTCGAAAGACCTTAGCGCATATACCGGTTTATGCAGGCAGGCTTTCGTCTGATTTCCTTGACAACCCGCTGACCGCTAACTCAACTAAATACGTATGCTACAAGTCTCGATTACTCTTTCTTGATTAGGTCTTTCGATAGGCTAAATACTTCAAACCAAAAGCTACATATAGTATGAATAAAGCTAAATGTTTGTTTCTACAAACAATACGAATACGAGTGGCTCTTCCTAGATTGAGTCAATGTTGTCATGTTGCAGGCCTCTTGAGAAAACAAACTCACGGAGATGGAACAATCAAAATGTGTAATCAGCCTTTAGAAAGGTAAGATAAAGTATGTTTAATCAAATGATATTGTTTATAATGGAATACATACGATAAATGGCAGGATTACACGCACTCTAACACCCAGATCTACTTGACTTTCAGAGCTCACATTCTGAGAATGTTCGTTGATCCATTGATCATCCCTGTTTGAAAACGAGAACAAAACCTGGTTATCCTCATTTTGAAGCCGTTTGAGACACCGGGGGCGGGGGTTTACTTAATTCACTTACAACACAGGCATGTGCCTGCCAAAAATGTATCATTTTCGGCTAAGAATTCCAGAACAGGATAGGACTGTGACTTTTTTCTCTTTTTTTTCCGTCGCAGGTATCAGTAGTGGAAGTTCAGGCTTTCTTTCGAGGGGAGGCAAAAGCCCACGATTTTCCGACAAGATAACCAGGGCCAGGAAAACATTACGGCCCCACGGCCACTGGCCGGGGGAAGGGTTGTAGAAACAAAAAGAAAGTGAGGAGGGTGGCCAACAATTTGGAAACTTGAGGAAGTTGAAGAAATTGTGTCATTGCCTTTCGGTTCATGTCTCATTCAATGACTTATATCTCTCTGAACTACATCGTTTATCTAGGACAAATTTTGCCCGCTCTCATTTTCTTTCATATTTCTTCATTCTCTCATTCTCTTTAAGTCTCAATGCTGATAAAATTAGTAAATTTCACGAGGGACGTCGATAATTTGATTTCCTAGAAATTGAATTAGAGTTTTTGACTTGCTTCGTATTATTCAAATTGGGGTGTTAAGGCTCATTCTTTCATTCTTGTATTAAGCTTCTGTTTCCTCTTTTTGAAGCCCTTGGGATAATAGAGAAGGAAGAGTTCTGCAGTTTGGTTTTTTTGCACGAAAGTTTGTCTCTTAACTCAAACGAGTGAGTGTATCTAGATGCTTTGGGTATATCTTATCCTTTGACTTTGGGATGCCCTTTCACGCTGTTCTCTTCTCCCGTTCCCCCCGTCCCTTCCTTCCTTGTGGTATAAATCAATGTGTTTTTTAGAGTCCCCTGTAAACATCATGGGTCTTTTAGAGGTTATAACTTATTTAAATACGAGAGTCACTCAAACAAAAACAGAAAATTATTCTCACTCTTTACTGTTAGGAAGCTCAACCCTTCAACTCTTCTTAGCCCCACAATACATAATATTCTCCTTTTTCCCCTTAGTAAAATGTAGCTTTTATATGAACTTTACACCAATAAAGCATATTAATGGGGTTGAACTTTGAATAGATTTTAACATAATCTTCCTTGGTTCCTCTTTTAGAATCTTTTCTTTATGTTACTGAAATCCTTAAAAAGGGACCCTAATTTTAGCGTCTAGTAAAATTGCAGAAAATCGATGCCATAGAAAGATTTTCCTACGAACTTATGAAGAAAATTCATAAATTTCGTCTGAAAATGTGGTCATCTTTATTGATAAAAGAAAGGCCATTTTAATTATCAAATATCAATCAAGATTTGTCTGACACAAGAAAGGAATATTTCCTGATGAAAAGTTATGCTCGACACGTCGTACCAAATATTCATTTCATGTACAAAGTCGTTATTTTATTGCATCAAATTTTATTCATTTTCGACGTACAATACGCACAACCTCATTGATTATAACTCTTTTAGCAATCATGTAAGTGGTATGACGCTTAACTAAAGAAACTCACGTTTCAACTAAAGTTGTTTTTCACTTTTCCAAGACAGATACCGTAAGAGCAGTATCTCAAATAGCAAATAAAATAATAAAATTAATACACCATTTGTATAATATAATATAATAGTTTTTCATCGATATTGCTCTTGCTTCAAATTAACCTCTGACAAAACAAAAACAAACAAAGTAACAAACAAAAAGCAAAATCTTTAAATTAATAGATTTGAACAATGATCTCAACAACATAAAATTACACAAATTTAATGAAAGCTTTAATTACTATCAGGAAGATATTATAATGACATTTTCAAAGCTACGCCAGCTTAGCAGCTTGTCAATGAATTAGTTATTTCTAATATCCAGTTCTTGACAAGAGCCTTGTTCATATCTGCAAAATCTTGAAACCCGTACTTAAAGGGGTGTATAAAAGTTATGCTTGTGTTGTATACACCCCAGAACTCTCTGCCGTTAGCGGGGTCAACGAGCCAAAGATCAGGGAGGAAAATCCCTTTAACTACTTCAAAATTTTCTGCAAAGTCCAAGCTATGAAGTACGTTAATGACAGAGATTTCCAAGAACAACTTATGCTTCTCATAAGTATCGAGAAGCTTTCGACAGGTGTCTGCCAAATGGCCGGGAACATAGAAAAAATCAGACCAGCCTTTTCCACATCTTGGCTTTCCTTTGCCATTTTTTATGTAAATATCCAAAGCTCGATTTAAAGATTCGTCTTCCTTTGCAGCCAAGGAAAGAGCTTGGTACGACTCCCGACACGCTGCGAGACCAACTGGATATTCCCACCACATCCATTCTTTGTTCTTGATTTCTTCATACGCACCTTGTTCAAAGTTAATAATTTCTGGACCTTGCCAGACCTTTTTTCTATCAAAGTCTAATAGCCGCCACCAATTCACAACCATGTCGTCATTTACATAAAGATATCCTGTAAAAAAGATTCAAAAATACAGTATCAGGATGGTTGATTCAAGAGAATCGTTTCATTCTATCATCTTCTAGTGGCTTGAAAAGAGCAATATTTTGAAATACACTTAAAAACTCACGTTGTAGAACAGATAAATACTAACAAATTGAAAGACCTTTCTTTCCGATTAACAAGTAAGTCGAGGTCCCCGTTTGCCAAATCGACAAGCTGGCAGAAAGTGTCAAACTGTCAACCAACGGCAACTCTCAAAATACCCCCCAAATGATACTTTTATTGCTCTAAATTGGGCCAGTTGGTAAGACCCTCAAACCGACCTGGCCCTACGTCAGGCCAAAATGAGAGTACCCCCAGGGGGCTAGAGCTACTTTAAATAAGGATGCTAATGCAGGATTTGGCCTTGCCTAATGAGGTTTGATCAGAATCCAGCAAAAGTTATTTAGCAAGCATTTTGAAGCGCATTTGCTAAAATGCTGTACTGGTACGAAATGACTTTTGTAAAACCACATCCCTTTGCTCCAATCTTTTTGCAACCTTATCTTAAATTCTTAAATTACAAACTAAAAAAATTTCTATATCTTATCAAATAATTTTAACTTCTAAGTAGGCAGAAAATTAAGGTGGCAGGAAATTTTAATATTTTTAAACAAAGGTTTTGGACAATGTGAACTGATTTTATCCACTCTTAATATGATGAACTTTTTTAATTGCAATGTTTTTAGTAAATCGATAGAATTAGTTAAATAGAGGACCGTCATGAAAAGCACCCTCGAGTGACTGAGGCCATCCTCTGTAAATATTTGTATTATTATTATTATTATTATTTTTATTATTTCAAATCTGTCATATTTGTAAATCTCTCCATCAGCTCTCTTGGCATCTTCAGCGAATCATGCGGCTCATTCCTTGAAATGTCTGACTCTCTTTCCATCGATGATCAACACAAACGATATCTCATTTCTAAGCTTTCTACGATATCCATTCGTACCACCTATTACATTTTTTGCTGTAGGAACAAAACATGGACTAACCCAGAGCTACTCCCTTTTTAACGTTTTTTTCCTTTTCTCTTTACTACGATTGTAATAGTCTTCTTTTGTAAAAACAGGCTAGCCAGTTACAAATTACCTTGTAATAGTGAGATTTGTAATTGTAGTTTTAACTGGAATTCAAAATGAAAAGTTTCCATTATTATTATTATTAGTAGTAGTAGTAGTAGTTAAAATACGAAGGACAATAGGCCCGATAACCATCATGTTGGTTCTTGCGGTGTCATCGGTAACTTTTCATTTGTATTTTACCCTATTTGTATGTGAAACTTGAATTCTAATGTTGTTGTAAAGACTCATTGCTAACAATGAGCCAGTCTGAAATCAATTATGGTTAATCCGTAGAAGTTTACTGCCATTGTTTGGATTGTCGCCTGGATAATTTGCCACCCTCGCAAAGGCTCATTGTTAGCAATGAGTCTTTAATGTTTGCAAACTGTTCTCAGGTGACTACAGTGGAAGCTTAGTCAATCTTGTCAAAAAAATATCGCTCTAGCAACACCAACCTTTGTAACCACGATATTTTTCCATTGCACGTGCCATGCACACATATCCACAATGGCCACCACATACGTCAGTTACTATGTCTGGAGAATATTTATCTGCCTTGGTTGCTTCACCACCACAGTGCACAACTTTTCCAAAAACCTTATTGTATAATTTGTTTATGACTTCAATATTTTCATAATAAGGACTGTTGTATGTCACAACAATGAGGGTATCATTGAATACCCCTTTGAAGCAAGGGAACACATTGTCTTTCCGATGGGAATTCTTTGGAACAACATGTGTATAATACTCTGGGTGCAATTCAGTGACACCTAGAAAAAATTAGAAATCCATTACTATTCACATACATGATTTACCATGGACAAAAGAGGAGGGGAGCAACGGTATTAATAATTTGTTGTTTTTTTACTTAAAGTTTGACTGAAAAAGTTTATTGCTGCTAGGTGTTCGCAAAATCGATTGAACTTTCAATTTTTGAGGTACATTGCTCCAGTTTAAAGTCCAGTAGAAATAATCTAAGTGCATCAAGTGCGTTTTACTTCCGAGTCCCATTCTCTTCTTTTTATTTTTCTTTTGTTCTCATCTACTAGATCTTTATGTTAATTTATGATAAGGATACCTAGATTTTTAAGCAGAGCACATTTTTGTACAATTATTTGAATTTACTGAATGTATTTACTGAATGTAATCAAAATTAAATAAAATTAAATTCACTCTAAAAACAAATATCACATTATTGAGAATGAACTTTGAATAGATTTTAAAACAATCGTCCTTTGCTTCCTTCAGTGGCGTAGATAGAGAGAGGTCGGAGTGGGCAAAAAAAACACCTGTAAAGCTAAACTGTTATTTTGACAGAAAATATGACATGGTTGTCCATCTTTCATCTAAATGTTACATTTTGAAAGTAGAGACTTTGAAGCCGAATATAGCGATTTCTTCAGTTGTTTTGAGTCAGATGAGTAATCTCTTTTAATAAGGTATGGCACTTAAAAAGGTATAGTGTCTTTTTAGAGAAGAAGACCATAAAAATCTTCAAGTAGTATAATCTCGGGGGGGGGATGTGGTAACTAAGTCTAATTATGGGGGAACGGGGACGTGCCATTTTGGTTAAAAATGTGACCCATAATACCGCAAACATGATAACAACTACACACATAATTCCGCAAAGCAAATAACATTTTTTAAGCAAAACAAAATCTTCAAACAAATTTTGCATACACGCCCTTGGACATGTCCTCTGCTCCAAAATCCCAATATTACACTTATTTCATGCTTTCATTTTTAACTGGACATTCATTTTTTTCATGCTAAATCTCCCTTATAATAATTTTGCAATATTTTCCCAAAATGGTACCCATATTTCTGCATGTTTCTTCAAATGGTACCCATAGTTCTGCACTTATTTCAAAAACTGATACCGCACTTTTCAGGAATGAGGTACCCCTAAATAATGGCATGTCCCCATACCTTTAAATAAATTAAAGGTAATACGCCGGAAAACGCCTCTTTTAGAAAATACTTACTTCTTTCCACTTATAAACAGTCCGATTCAGAGAGGATATAAATTACCATAAAAATAGATTTGACAAGATAAAACACCAAGAAAATGGGTTCCCAGTCAAGACGAACTGCTACTTCTTGTTATCCGTTCGAGTAAACTTTTCACAGTTGCGTTAGAGTAAATTTTCCAAAAAAAATGTCTAACCTATTATTGCAAAAAAAAGGGGAAGGGGTCTATAGCCCCTGCTAGCCCAATGACTGGGCGGTGCCTGGCCTAAGTGTGATGTTTTGACCTTTAGGTTTGTTGCACATTGAATCTTGCAGGTTTCTCCTAGATGTATTGAACTAGTTCACAGTATTAGATGTCTCTGTGTGCGAGTTGAAGAACACCTAGGAAACTATGACTACGATGCTCCAGCCGAAGTTTTTTTAAAAGAGTGAAAATAAAAAGTGCAGTTCTGTTAATTTTGAGATAAATAATGTGGTGCTACTACATTAAAGTGCCTCTTGGAAGCAATTCTGTCTTAGCAATGGAAAGTCAGGTTAATTTTCCAAATTTCTGCTCTGTTCTAGATCTGACCTAAATAACCTTTAGTTCTTGGATATCCTGGGGTCATCTCAGGACGATGCAAGTATTGCAAACTATTTCTCATCAGGAACCAAAATGCTTCTCTCCTATCAGCTGAGGATTTCGCTTATTTTGCAAAAATGTTCCCTACCCTTACAGAAATGTTTAAGAACTTCATTGTTTATTAGTATTTCTTTTAATTTCAAGGTTATTAGCCAGGATGGCCCTTAACTTACAACTAAACCAATCGAAACAATATACTAAAAATGCATTAAAAAAGCTCTTATCACAAAAAGCTAGCAAAAATTTAAATGTAACTAATATAATTATTGATGAGCTATGAACTTTTAAGACATAAAAGTAAGGATAGCAATTGTTTATTCTTTTTCAATTCAAACTATCAATAAAAGATATGTACAGCACAAAGTAGAAATAGAGAGGAGCCAAAAGTGATAAGGGGTTATTATTGAAAGAGATATTCTCATAGATTATGACATGAATAAAAAGGGTTTATTCTTTGATCACGTGTACACAATCCAAAGAATTAAGTTCAACTACTATACCAAACGTGTTGCCCAAAACAACAGACCCCCCTTAGACTGGCTGGGAGGGGTGCTCTATTTGAAGTAAAACCACAAGAGGTATATTGATAGTTGAAGAACAAAAGCATCACATTTATATCCTGGAGTAAAAAGCAAATCTCAGGTAGAGCAAATTCATAGTAGAAATAAGATCCTTATGAAAAACAGGAATGTTGTTTATTATGTAAGAAATATGAGATCCTGCTTTTCTACAACTTGTAATGATAGAGATATCTGGTTATAGGCAATAAAGACAAATGAATCATTGCAATACATTTCTTGGTATCCTCAATATAACAGATTACTGGTATCAGAGTTATCATTACTTCGTGCAGCAAGAACCTGCTTATGTTGCCCAACTAGTCAGAATTTATCAACTGTCGCTGTCAAGTCCCTTCAGCTTTGAGCTGGTACACTATCAGGAAATAAAGGCTCTCTTCAGCTATTTTTTCAGAGGCAAAGACATTCTAAAGCATCTGCATATAAGGCAAAGGGTGCAGGCATATCTTTGACTGAAATCAATGAAGCTGATGGTTGGGTACATACATACAGATACCTTTGGACTGTTTTTTAATGATAAAATTTGTGTAGACTGTAACATTAATAAACCAGCACTTTTGAAACATTTCATCCAGTAACCTTGTTTATTATTCGGCAGAAAACTTGGTTCTTTAACAGGGGCATCTTGGGTAGTGACTCTGAGAGGGTGACAAAGCTTTCAAATTTTGCAACAATGTGTTCACAATAAAAAATGATTTCTTCATGGGCATGCCCAGTTTTTTTCAGAGCTGGATAACAAGGAAAACAGTATGTAACACCCAACATTTATTACCATTGGGGAGTTTAACCTGTGCAAGGATGGCTCAGTTGAAGGGTCTAGGGTTCGAGTCGCTGACAAAACCAAACTTTCACCCAGACAGGGGAGTCACCAGCTCTCTGTAATTCCAGGCACTGCTCAATAAGCATAGCTTCTCAGTGTCCTAAAAACTACCTTCGGATGCTGGGTAGCAACAATTACAATTACATTTACCATTTCAATTACAGTTTAACTTCTCTTGGCCCATTGTTGATTGTAGCCTACATTTTGTATATTTGTGCCCTGAAGAATTGACCTCACATATTGAAAGCTAATTTGCAAGGTGTAAAGTTTGGTTAGTCAGACTGTGAATTAAATTGCTGCAAGTTTGATTGTTCTTAGAAATTTTTCATATGTACATCTTTCTTAGCAATCTTCTTCTCGTCCTGATTTTTAGTTCATTTGAGCTTTCATAGTTATTTATGAGCAGTCAGTATTCTTTAGCCAAACAGGTACAGAATTTAAAAAAAAATTCTGAATGGTTGAGTCAATGCCCTGGCTTTGTTATCAACCTTTCAAACAACCTGCATATGCAATGAATACAAACGTGTGGACAATATGCAAAACCAATTACGTTTATACACACCTCTTTTGAAAAGAAATGCAATAATTTTTGCCCAGCCTCGATATTCTTAAAAATTTACGTTTTGAGCCTAAATATACATTCTTAAAATATTCGTACTTTTTTCCAATCTGAAAACGGTTTCAGGGGAACATCGCCTGCCCTCAAATAGAAACCACGCTTTTTGAAAAGACGAGATGTGTCAGTAATGAGATCCTCTGTTTTGAGCATCGCGAAAAGGCAACTGTAGAAAATATGACACAAAGATGTGATCTGAAGCCGAGCAATATTCTTAAAATATTCTTAAAAATTGGATGATTCTGAGCCTGAATGTTCTTATAAACAATATTCTTATAAAAAAGAGTGTAAGTTGTAAGACTGTTGGTAATTTAAGATTTTATGAAACATTTTTCAACCTTCTCCAAATGGCTTTGTAAATATGGCCGACAAGATGCCGAATAGCGGATTTGAAAAAAAGGCCCCACGCAGTCAAAGAGATTCAAAGAGAGAGAAAATTAAAGGCGAAATATATGGCCCAAATGGCTTACAAGAACAAAAAAAAGGTGACAGGAATTTGATACAAGATCGCGCATAAGCTCCCGGAAGTGGGTTTTCGTGACTGGCCTAGCGCCAACAAGTTAATCGGAAAGAAGCCCATGCAATGCTCTTACCTTGCTGACATCTATACTTGGCCTTTAAAAATCCATATCTACTTTTAATACGTCGCCAAGCCAATGGTATGTCAACAGAAACAAGAAGTAATGTCCATAAAATGAAAACTATAAGGATTACTACGTTTTGCATCATTCTCGGCATCACCATTTTGCAGTTGCTTGGAGGGTGGGAGGGTGTACTAGTCAGGGCCGTCGCAAGGCAAGCCTCGTTGGGGGGGGGGGGGGTGTGGACTACAAATTTACCTGATTAAAAAATTATTCCTGCATATCTTTCATAACAGCACTCATTGCAAGATTCACAGAATCCTGCGGTTCTTCCTTCTCACACATAAAAAATTATTGCCTGAAATTTTTTAGCTGCTGTCACAAACCTCTGCAATACATTTTGTCAATCAAATCTCTATATCTGGACGGGCAAAGGATATCGTTATTACATGAGGCGGCACCATGGTTGCCGCGGAAGGAGGAGGAAATTTTCGAATTGTGATGCTTCTAGTTCCCTGGAAAATGCACTCTTTTAAGCAAAAATTTCACTAAAGGAATCCTCCTAATCCTATTGAAAATTATTGTTTTTTTTGCAAAAAAAATTTACAGCAGATAAAAACAACAATTTCGCCGTGGTCTTGGAAAATACCAGGTTGTCACTTACTTCTAAATTTAGATCCCTCTCCCCATCTTAGCATGCCTTTTGAATGTTAAGAAAAATCTGGAGCTCATAGAGTGAATTGCAGCTGACGCTTCTAGTGAGAAACTTTAGGAGAAATGGACACAAGGCACAATTTTACCTGAAAAGGGTCTGGATTTTTAGATTGATTGCCAACAAGCAATCTTCAAATCTTCAAATCATTAGTTTGTTTACCTTCATTCATATCAAGGAAAATCATATTCAACCAACGGAGAAACTGCCTTTGCTCGATCCTTTATTGATTTTTTGACATGAAGGTCTCTGAAATACCTAAAGCGTTTCTTCCACCGAGCGGATCTTACCTGAAATTTCCTATTGAGATACTATTGGGGGGGTGTGACACCAACACACCCGCCCGGTCGCGACGCCCCTGGTACTAGTCATTAGTCAGGCCAAAAGGGGCGCCGTTATAGTCACCTAGTCATCCCTTCTACATCCTCCGCTTGGGAAACAAAGTGACGAATTCATAATCAGGGGGCAGATCACTCCAAATTTTTTGAAAATTTAAAGATTATTCTTTTCTTTTTCAATTCTGTCGAAACATATAGAGTGAGAAATTGTCATTGACAGGTAACCTGGCTTGATAACAATGCTAGGAAGAAATTTTAAAAAACAAACCTTGGGACCAGTCATTATTAATGGTGGGGGTGGGGCGGAAATTTTTTTTTAGAAGAATGCGGTTATTTTCTTGGCCTCTCCTCAATTTCATATAGCTACAATGTTGTGCCCCCTTAATCCAAGGATATATTTTCATTGCTCCCCCCCCACAAAATGCACCCAGCATGTAACTTCTTTAAAAAAGGCACCCAGCATTGCCAAAAGCAATGACTTTGCCCTATCACCCGTAAGTACGGCCTGGAGAAAAATGATGGTGAAACCGAAAACCATTTGGTGAAACCGAGAGGATGATGAGATGATTATGGGATGATAACATTAAAGAGAACGTGTTTCTCTAGTCCACTTTGGGGCATCAGACTGAATTTCGGCATTGTATTATTTGCCAACTAAAGACCAATTGCTTGAATTTAGTATGTTGTGATTCATAATTTATTTTTGGCTTCTTCTTTATCCTCCTTACCGAATTCGGTTACATTAAAATGAAGTGGTCGTCTTTTCACCTGGGTTTTCCCCCAGCCCCCCTCTCCGCTTCCGACGGCCCTGTATAATTTACAGTTTCCTTACCAATGGCTGATGGTTTTCATAAAAAGGATGCACTTTTATAGACACGACTAGGCATCTTGCGGTCCGCGGGGCACACCCAGCCCTTTGGGCGTTCATATTGGGTCGATCAGAACATAAATGAAAAAGTGATAGTTAGGTTTTTATTTCTTCGACTTTCATCAATTGGAGCAATAATAAAATACATTTTAACTTGCTACTGAATCAATTACTAAATAAATATTAAGTGAAATGAAAAGGAGCAGCAAAAATGTTGCTGATTTGCGTGAAAAAGAAATAACGTCACATGCAGGATTAACTAGAATCCAGTCCCACCGTGACCGAAGCAAAGTTGTGACAACAGCAACAGCTTTTACTTCCGAAGCACTATTGTTTTGATGGAAGTTGACGTAACGAAGGTGGATGAAGTTTGTTGTGTTCCGTGTCCAGGAAATTGCTTGCGTTAAGGACGAAAAATACTCGTCAAAATTACCAGATATAATCATATACGGGTGTACAAAAGTATTATTTTTCAGCTACAGCATTTTTTTTGTAGAAAACCACACAGGGGATCGGACCAGGACTTTGAAAAGTGATGTCCTGGGAAACATCGCCATTTTTGAAATTGTACGGTCTTGGCCAAGTCAGTGTCGTGCTTAAAGCTCCTGCGAATCTCATCTGAATTTTTTCTGGAAAAATATTGAAAAGCTGTGGGATAAATGTGGAATATTGGTCAGAAACTTATTTTTTTCTTTTAATAAAGGACAAATAGTTACAACCAACTTTCAGCCTCCTCCTGTTGACTCTCGTTGAAGGAAAATGCCAATACCATGCGCAGATTGTACAACAAACATTGGCCTGTTTAAAAGAAAGGTTTGTACGGTTACTCTCAGAATCAGAGCCTTATTAAAATGGTGGCGACAGGCTTTTCAAAAACTATAAAAATTTTGTGGAAATTTCAAATCACCCACTATTTTTTGTCAAAAGGTCCATTATAATAAAGCTCATGCCAAAAATATTTGGGGCTAAGTACATTACATTTTTCCCAGATATGCTGTTATGTTTCTCCAGATTATATCTCATACCCTGCCTAGTACCAGCCTGCACTCAAACATTCCCCTAAAAGGCTTTTTAATGAATTTATTTCATTATCTTTGGTAGCATGCATAAATGACTCCATCTACAATGCCTGCCAAAAGTACTTGGGACACCCAGCAATTTACACTGCATTTGATATCTTTCATTCCTTTCATGAAGAAAAAATTACTACTTCCTCCCCCTTCCCCCTGAAACAATGTTGATAATTTAGAGAAACATCATAAAAAAGGGCAAAAGAAAGAGCATCCTAAAATCCTAACCGGTTTGATAGTAAACCAACATTGTTCTGTAGGGGAGAGGGGGATGATTGGTTTTGACCTTGGAAATTGACATCAGTGTTCCAAGACTTTTGACAGGCATTGTACCTATTACTAATGTTATCAGTCTGCTGAGTTCTGAATCCCTAAGACCATGGGTAAAGTGTTTATGAATGAATAAACATCTTTAGAAAGAATGTTACAAAACACTTACTATCTCTGTAGAAGCCTTTGTTATAATTGATATAACTTTGGAAAAAATAGCAGACTAGACTTTGATCTACATTGGTTTTTTCTGTGACGATCTGTGTTTATATTCTTCCAAAAATGCTCAAGTTTTAGGTCCCAGAATAAGAAACTTTTAATTACTAAAAGGCCAAAATTTGGATGCCAAATCAAAATTTTTTATAAAATAAAAAACATGTTATCAAGTAGCACAGAAAAGTATAACATGGGTGTGCCCAATTTGGTTTTACATTAGTAATGCGAAATGCCCAACCATGATAAAACATTTGTCAAGATGAAAAAAGCACATAGTCACCATAATTTTAAAAATTAAAGAATAGACATGAGAAGAAACAAAAAGAAGCTTTTGTAATCTGATGATGAAAAAGCTGCTTGTTTAATATTAATCCTTTCAAATCTATAATGACATTTTCTTTCAATTGAATTGTTCATTTCAGTTCACTTGTGGAAAATGCAATGGGGTATTTTGTGGAAACTGTTTTACAAAGACATCAAAGTTGAAAGTACAAAATAGTTTGTCACCAAAACAATGTCTTAGATGCAACATATTTGGTCTTTCCATATACAGACGTGAAGATCTCTTACTGCTGAGTACCAAAGATCTTCGTTGTTTTCTTACATCAAAACAAATTTCTACCAAAAACTGCACAGAGAAATTTCATCTTGTCGACCTGGTTATGAACTTTGCTGAAGCAACTGGTCAAAAATCCTTAACCGACCTAAGGCGTGAACAAAATCAAAGGGCCCATGTTGAATATCTGCGCCTTGAGGCTCAGAGACTTGAAGAGGAGGATGCCAGGAGAACAAATTTTGATTTTAGAGAAACAATCAGTGAAGCAAACCTGGTAATTTTCTAAGCATAGTAATATTTCTTCCTTGTTTGTTTTCTTACATATGATAAGCTTCATATAATTTTTACTTCACTTCACTTTTCTCAGAAATTTAATTCTCACATTTTAACCTTTAGTAGACAGCTTGTGGCCAAATCATTGGAGCTTTGTTTGACATGTTGACATAGAGAATCTAATTATTTATCAAAAAGGTCGCTTTTCCAATAATGTTACACGAACATAGAATCTAAGCTTGTAGTCACTATGTTTTACAACATGTGACAAGAGGAAAGGCTTATCTTTCAAAATTTTGTTTTTTACAGCCTGGCACTGCATCAGAAGTGCCAAAAGAAAGTGCAAAAGATAATGCAAGAAAATGGAAATCAATTGAAGATGTTGTCTCTCTGGATGAAATTGATCATTTGTGTGTGAAAGATTTAAAGAAAATATTGACAGTGAATTTTGTAGATTACAAAGGCTGTTTTGAAAAACGGGAGTTGATAGAAAGAGTCAAAAGATTATGGTCGTCACAAAATTCAGGAGGTAGTCTATCTCTGTTTATTTTTGGGATACAAAATGGTTGTGCTTTACCATTTCAGACACAAGCTTTTTCCTTTGCTTTGTGTATATACTGAAAATGTAGACGTTATCCTGAAGAAATTTCTACAAGTAGCAGATTGCCCGATTCTTAACCTTACAAGAATGATCAATCAGTAGTGGACACCTTGGGTTGAGGGGGAAGGGTGACCCCGCATACTTTGGAAGACAATGATCTTTTGTTCTAGAACAATATTTTAACACATAGGCTTGCCCCTCCCCCAATATTTGACCAAGTGTTTGCCCCTATGATCAAGCTTCTAAGTAGATAAAGTAAATGAACCTAGCCATTAAGGTCAACCAAAAGAACATATAAGTTTAAGTCTACCCTGGCCCTTACTCATTGAGTTTAGTTTCAATTTCAGTTAACTTTCCAAGTTCAAAGTAACCCATATTTAAACAAAATGGCTTGGACAAGCCAAAAACAAAAATCTCTGGAAAATGGCACCAGAAATGCTTAAATTTTCTCTCGAAAAGTCAGTGTTTCATATCCTTCTGTTTATCAAATTTTCATATATTTCAAATTTTGTTTTTTACAGAAAGAACCAAAGGAGTTAGCAAAGATTCTAAAGGTGATGACCCTTACGAGGAAGACCTTTGCAAACTTTGCATGGATTCAAAGATTGACTGTGTTTTGTTGGACTGTGGACATCTTGTAACTTGCACTAAATGTGGGAGAAGGTTAGCAGAGTGTCCAATATGTCGTCAACTTGTTGTTCGTGTGGTGCATGTTTTCAGGGCATAAGGGGGATGCATGTTTTAAATCTAACCTTGCTGGAATTGGTTGAACTGACTAAAAAAACATTAAACTGGCACAAACTAGCAGAATGAGCTAAGAACAACCTGGTTTTGAATAAAATAAGAAAAGAATATTGATAACACCCAGAGCAAGCATGTCTTGATCCTGGAAAAGGGCTGGAGCTGCCTTGATAGGAACCATATGAATAGGAAAAGATAAAGAATATTAAGCATTAGTAGTTTAATATCAGACACTTATCAGACATTGTCTTTATGACCTTCGTGATGTACATAAAGTTTATAAACAAAGCACATTTTCTTGGAGTTTAGTTTTTCTTGGAGTACATTACAGATCATCGTAGCAATCCTTTTTCATTTGATGTCACCTCAAACAAAAGTGTACCTTTAATCAGGATCAATTTGTTTATTATCAGAGTGATCGCTCATGCATGAGAAATCTCGCAAGGGATGGGCCACTTCCGTAGGCTATTTCTCACGAAAAGGCCTGGGTAATAGAAAAAATTGTTGATATCTTCCGATATTCCCATACTTTATTTACATTTTTACCCACAAAATGTGACTGCAAATTAGTTGCTGCACCTAAACAACAACTGGGTTACCTTCTGTGTCATTATTTTCTTGTTCAGCTCCTTAACAGATCCCCCTTGATCTGGTCTCTGTTCTGGTTGATTGTGCTAGTTCAGTGCTTCTTGCAAGAAAGTACCAAATTTAAAAGACAGGGTTGTTAAGTTATTATACATTGTTTTCAATTTGTTTGGAGTTCATGGTATTTTACTATTAACATTTTTAGTCTTCTACCAAGACAATTTCTACCAATCACAGTCACACACAAACTTGCATTTGTCTTAATCATAACTAAAAAGGAGTCAACATGTAAATCCATAATTCATACAGTGTTAAAATAAACTACTGGTTGTCATTTAAGCATATATATTAAGTAATGATATATTTGTAATTCAGAAAATGTATTTGGGAAGCATGGTGTAAAATACTTTGTTGTGTATCTCATAATTAAATAATCAGTTTATCATGATTAGACAAATTGCAAAACAGGTTTTTATGCAAATCCATGTTTATTATAATATGCAACTTTTTTGCCAAGGCATACATCAAATGCCTTTGTCAAAGAAACACAGGCCATAATTGCCAGCAGTACATGTATTAATGATGCATAAACATAAGTTATTATATGCTAATGATAAAAAAATATTCAGGAATTGTTGTCTCTAATTACACTAAACTGAGTTTGCCTCATAATGAAATTTCATTTAAGATAGGACACCTCTTTCTTCTCAAATATCAAAAGCTATGCAGGGTCCAGTGAAAAAGGGCAAAGCGGCAACAGAGGAGACGATACCTCAATCAATCAAAATCATTCAATCAAAGATTTTCTAGGTTGCACATGAAACACAACTAGTAAAGAAATGTTTCGATTGGATCTACCAAATTTACAACTGTCTTGCTACATTTTATAGTCTGCTAAATGCAAAAATGCTACATACATGATGCAGAAAGTCTTGGTGCAATACATAATATTTCTAGAGAAGCATCCCTTTCAAACAATGTTTTATTATACTTAAAGACATATAAGAATACTCGAACCTTGCAATCCATAAATTATGATCGAACAAGGACAATATCATTCTTTGTTATTGAATAAAACTCAAGGTCACGAAGATTGTCATCCATCTTCACCTCTTTATGTGTCTGCAAGTAAAGAAATGATATGATTATAAGAAAATTAGGATCATATTACTTATGCAAGAAATATACAGACGATGAGCATGATTATTGCATTATTTTGTAAGACAGTTAATCAAATCTCAGCAACACTGTTTTCAGTCTCTTAACAATGTTTGGTGCTAGCTTTAGATCTCACTGGACCAAAATGGATCATATTGGCCCAAGAAGGATCATACCCCTTACATAGTTGCCAAGTTTCGGAGAATAAAATGCTGGAGATTAGATCGCTACACAGCAGCACTGTGTAGCTATGAAGGGGCTTAATCTGTTGTTCCTGAACTTTCAAATATTTTCATGGCGACATGATACAGAAAAGCAGCAGGGGACAAAGAGAGATTAGAACTGCAGGTTGCAAGCCCCCGGGACATCTAAATATAGGAAGGACAACTCTTTTGGTTGCATGAAAAAACCACTGACAATACTCAAAATGTTGAATGTTTGAAATTCATAGAATACTGGAGATTTTTCTAGGTTTTGCTGTTGCAGAGCTCGGCTGGAAACAAGCTTGAAATTCTGGAGTTTCCAGCAGGATGCAGGAGACTTGGCAACCATGGTTTTAACTGTATATAAATATTTAAATTGGGAAAATTTTAATGTACTTGATATCTTGAAGAGTTTTTATAAGGTTATTGCGTTTATACAATAATTTAGACATCAGTTTTGTATTTTCCATTGAGTAATGTCATTTCCAAAATAGCAAAATCACCAGGCTTAGGATCATTTCATTCAATTGTGTAGAACAAGGACAGCAAGGCATATTACATATTGAGGGGGCAAAACATGCCAAAAACCGAGAGCAGGGCGATTTTTTGTATGGCTGTGTAATTGGTTTATTTCGGGGCTAAAGCCCCCATAGCCCCTTTGCTTCCACAGTCCTTGGTGAAGAGCATGCTTAGCACCTAGTAAACTCCAACAATTATTAATTCTAAATAATAAATAATAATAAAAAGGTGACTTTTAGCAATTTTTTGAAATTGACTGCTTGTCAACTAACGCCAACTAAGCCTCTGTAAAGCAATTTTATAGAAATTGTTTACTTCATTGTTACCAATGTAGTTTCAATTAATGATTGTAAAAATGGGGTAATAACTTTGAAGGGTCAGCAAAGCCAAGTTATAGTCAGAATTTTCTTTGATCAATATAGCTATAAAATTTGTGCAAATGAGCTTTCTGCATAATTTGTATAGCTTCTTAAATTTCAAATTTTAACCCCCCCCCCCCCCCCACTTAAAGATTTGCTCCACCAGCTCTGCTTGGTACTCGATGTAGAAGGGACTTTTAAGAGATACTGCCAAGAGAGGTTTTAAAGCAGAGACAGATTAACATAAAAACCTTGGAATCCAGATATGAAACTTGCTGTTTAGAGGCTTGTATTTTGAACAGTCTCTGCAGCAAGCTCTTTAACTGTTGCAATGTCATTGTAACTACAAGAAAAACAAAACCATACTGTCAAATTGAAATAAACTAATACTTTCTTTGATTCATACAAAACTAAATTCCAAATAATGTAGTATAGAGAAATGACTGAGAAAACAGAATTATTTTCATTTTAAAAAAGTTATTTTCAATTCTACTTGGGCACAAACTTATAAATATTTCACCCGATTTTTTAACATAAGCCTGACCTCCACGCACTGGCTAATAAAAAGTTATAACTTACAAGATTGAAATGCATTACAAGCTTCGAACAGAATAGCTTAGTGCAAATTCATGGAAAATATTGTAAAGTGAGAGTGAATTCATCACATTTTTTTCATCCACATTTAGGTGAAATCAGCTTTTGAACACTAACATGAAGACACCTAATTAGGTAACAGAAATTTGATAAGGTCAAGATAAGGTCTTAAATTTTGAAGATCAGGACGTAAGTACATGTGATAAATATTTGTGAGATATCAAAAGATGCAAGATTGAGATGGCACTAACATGCTTAGTCAAACTCACATAAGCTGGATCTCTTCAGAACAAATAAAATATCCTAACATATGCAAATTGTGATCAACTGACATGAAGCATCACAGCGTAAAAACTTAAATTTCGACATTGAACAATCCTATGAAACACCACAGAATAAAAAAGTAATGAAATCTGAAGTATAGAGATGACTTACGACATGTGAACAAAATAAAACATGTCATGAATGCCTGTACAGTATCTAAGAACGGTCATGTGTTTTTAGTTCAAGACAGCCTTGTTATTTTGCTAATTTCCATTTTATGTCATGCTTTTTCGCAAAAAGATCCAACTTAAGTGAATACAAGGCCAACAAAATCCAACATATGCAATGGCAGCATTTATACTCTGTTGACTGGAACCATGCAAATTTATCTGAGTTGTGAAATAGTTAATTTAGTTAAACCGGAGTTAAATGCAAGTTTAACAATATTTTGACTTAGTCATGAGAAAAAGACGAAACAGGATGGAATCGACCAAAAAAGATGCTGAAGGTAGACCGAAAATCCTCAGGTAGTCCGACCACAAGATTGCAGGTATGTTATTCAATTGGAGAGGTTACGATTAAATTACAACAAAACATTTTTCAGGCCTTAAGTTCTGTGCTGATCTCAAAATTACCATAGACACTAATCATTAAGAAATCTCAACTTCTAATCTTGGCAAAGATAATCAATAAAAAAATAAACTTAATTTTGAAAAATATGAAAACTATGTGCTGTATAAACACCAATTTGGATGCCCACTGTTTATTTTTGTTTTGAACTAATCAACATTTTTAGTTAAACGAGAAACATATGTGTGTCTAGACATTGAGTAAATTGCTAACTGATCATTCTTTGCAATGTTTTTGTGCGTTATTTCCAGAAACAAATGTTTAGTAAAACTAAAATTTGAAAGCAAAATAGATATCAAGAACAGATGGGATCGTAAATACGAGCTTTCTTAGAAAATATTCGCCTTTCTTATAATAAACACCGCTGACGTGGGCAGAACTTTGCCTTGTAATTTTGCGTGATCTTTTTCTGGCTCGAAACTTAAATAATTACGAATGACAGTCAATTATTTCACTTACAAAGAAATGTACTTACTTGGCACTTTTTTCTCAATGATTTTGTTTTCATCCAAATCTGGACACTTGAATTGCAATACTAGTAAAAAGTCAAGGAGCAACACAACATATTTAACAATACTTTAATTAGTCATCTTTAAGGGTTTCTGTATCTTGAAAATTACTTAACAACAAGAAAGTGGGTATTTGCAAACTACTCATTGTATTTGAACAAAAAACACCGTTAAAGGCTCTAAAAGGCAGGCTTTGGGTTTCAACTTACAAGGAAAATAATTGGGCTAGCATTGGTAGAACAGAGAAAACATGTTCCAATTTCTACGTGAGTTTTCAATGATCTATGATGGTTCGAATAATAAATGTTATTGTACCCATACAATCCATTGACACAGCCATGGGTCATATTTATAAGTCTCAAAGCAGTCTGGGTCATATTTAAAAACGAAAGATTCGCAATTATGCAAATTAATATGCATAATTATGCATCAATATGAAATGATTCCTGAAGTCATCAAAGATCATTTCGAAAATAGACTGTCTCATTCACGGGATAGATACTCCTTTAATTTACGTACAATTCTCAAAAAAGTCGCACGTACATCAGTGATAGTTAGAGGAACACTTCTGTTAAACACTAAGTTTCGAGACAAGGAACACGTGTAGCCTACAACAGTTCAAGGAGAAAATACAAAGACATCAGAAATTTGTTACATTGCTATGTTTTGAAAAGAAGCTTCCTTCTATTTTTGAGACACGGAAATTATACATCGAAAGCAAAGCTGTATTATCAATTTGTATATTCAATCTTTCTCTATACCTTTTATTTGCTTTAACAATTAACTAAACTAAGCAAACTCTATTAATTTTTGGAAATTTTGAGCAAGTTATACATTTCATATTACTATGGACATAGTAGGAGATCCACATCAGCTTCAGCTGACACGTAAGATTTAACCTGGTTGATCAAATATATAATGTAATTAAATTAAATGAAAATGGTAAAATAGGGGTAAAGTATTAAACTATCCAAAGAAACCGTTGCATTTTGTCAAATCAATAATATCATTCTTATCATTTGCTTATTGCTTGATAAAAATGTCAATAAACATTTAAATATACGTCACTGGTAACAAAAGGCCTAATAAAGCTTCACATTAATGACATGTCAGTGACCTTAAGATCTGGTTGAAAAGCATCTATATGCGAAATGGGAAAACCCCCAGATAATAGGCACGAAAAGCATACTGATCAGTTTGTCCTTGAGGGTTTTTCCTTTTTGAACCGACAAAACAGGAGGACCGTGGCCTGTTAATAGAGACAAAGAAAACTGTCAATAAATATTAGCGCTATGAACTGAAGAAATGCGATGATCATTTTTATTGTGTAAATTAAAAACAATACAAAAGACAAACAAACAATTTTTAATAAAGTCAGGTATAATTTCAAAAAAAATATTTTCTATTATGGCTTCAAATCTACCAACTTTTAAAACGATGCTGGGAATGCAGAAGATTATATGTTTAAATAGTACTGATCCCAAGGAAGTCGCTCAAACATTTTATATATGGGCGAGAGGTCCATCCGCAATTAGCAAAATTCATTGAAAAGTATCGAAAACAGTTTTTCCAGACCCAAAATAATCAGCTAAAATATCTTGTTGTTAAGCACAAGAGATACTACTAGTCACAAAAAATTAGCTTGTTGCCTATAATACTCAGTTTAAACACATTTGTTCTATGAAATTCTTGTTTTTGATAGTTTCGTGTTAGTTGGAGCCATAAGCATCAAAAAGGTATCATAAAGCAAAACAAACGAACGACTTTCAATGTTCGTAGCAAAGATAATAATCAAATGAGATACAGCTTGTGGACTAAAACTGCAATCATACAAATCTTTAAAATAATGGAAACGAGCTTTGAGTTGATTTTTTTATAAGTGGTACTGAAAAAACTTTCAAGCATCCCCACTGATGAAGACCTTAATAATTTTACGTCATTGATCATTGGTTTAGAGAAGGATTCCATTAAACCGTTTATAACGAATCTCACTACGGGAAGACACAGTTAAAGCAAATCCATGCTTTAAAAATTTAGCGATTCGCTAGGAGATGTTTTGGCTTTCTAAAGCCCCAGCCAAACGTTATTAACATTTTTGCTGAACCACGCTCAACATTGCTTGGCCAAACGGTTCCAACATTTCACTGAACATTCTACACATTATAAAAAAAACTTCCCAACCGATGAACAAATTATATATCTCCTCATTACTCCGTCGTTTTCCTTTTTGGATGAAAATTTATTTGTATCACTGAAGAAAGATTTATTCTTATTTTAAGGCCCAACCTTCACGGTTTCTACTGTACCAATGCCCCGTTTCCTCTCCCATTTGACTGATTCAAGAGCTTGCCGCGGTGTGGTGTCAATGAAGGGCAAGAAAGACTAAAATTATCCCTATTCCCAACTCGAGACTGCAAGTCGTTTCCTCGTGTGCAAAAACTTCTTTAGCAAGCATACCTGCACTGAACATTGCCGAACAAGGTGGCATAACGGTCGCCACATGGTTGAGTCGAGCTAATGTTCAGTGAATATTTTTGAACATCAAAATTTGCTGAACAACTTTCAACAAATGTCCAGTGCCTGAACAAGGCGGCCAAACGGTCTCAGCATTTACTGAACACGAATGTTCGAAAACGTTCAGTGAAGTATTGAGAGCGTTGGGCTGGGGCTTAAGAAAATCATCAGAGGCAAAAAAATGAACAAGCCACCAGAAATTTGTAGCTTTATTTACTGCCATCAACGGGTCTGACAAAACCACATATAGTGTACTTTAATTGGACTTTATTGATTTTAGGTCCTTCAAATAAGAGGTTTATGAAACGACTGTGCTTTAATCTAACAAAGTTTAGCAACAACGCTGGACCCTGGTTTTGCAGTCGGGCAAATTAATAGAAGCTCAATAGCAAATCATTGTAACTGGGCGCTTATTATTAGATGAAAACCACTTACAGCGAATCAGTTCCAGGAACCTGGGATGCAGCTCTTGGAATTGCTGAGAAAGCTTTTCACCATTCAAATCGTTATCGATTCCACCACATTCAAGCCAAAGCTGGCAATATTTTTTCATGTAAAGTAATTCACATTCATTGCGTTCTCTTGTTGTCACCTGTTTCGAAAATCAAAGAAAATGTAGGTTGAATATAAAAAGTATCCAACTTTAATAGGTGAAGACAAAAAGGATTTTTTCTGAATGCTCCTTAATGTTAAAATATTTTATGGGCAAAAATTATGAATCCAAACATATGAAATTTTCAGAGAATGTTATAAACTTTGTTGTATTCTAATACACTAAAAAAATACTAAACTTCTTCTGCAAATTATAAACAGAAAGGCTCTTAAGACATCAGTAAATTGCCTTCTCTTGCCATTTTTGCTGCGGTAGGTAGCACTGACTTGCATTCAGAATAGATAAGAGCTCAAAGTGCAATAATGCTTTGAAATGCATCAGATACCTCGCCACCGTTCACAACAACCACACGCCCTAGTCGTGCGATCAACTCTTGTCTAAGATCAAAGGTCGTTTTTCCTGCAAAAGAAATCGAATAGTTGCTTATTCAAAAGCTTTTGCATAAAACACAAAAAGGTAATCATCGTTCTATAGAAAACTGTTCGTGAATTAAACAATAGAACTAATTTCGTGCATGGTGCACCAGGCTTGTTGCACCTACTATGACAGCATTATATATGGTGACAATCACCTTACAACTATGATTATCCAAAGCACCACATAGATCATTATGAATAATCAAGGGCGTGGGAGAGCTGTAAAACCTCAATCTAGTGGTTATTATAGATCCTGTAATAGTTTGAAATGATAGATTATACCCATCAGTTTAAATAAGTAAAAGGAGAAAATAATCCAAACATGAAAAAATAAACTCCTGACATACCTTTACAAAGTGGATTCAATTTGAACTTCACTTTAGACAAAGTGGGCAGAAGGGCAAGCTTGTTGACTGACGTCCACTAAAGAAAATACATCAAATATTCACCTTTACAGAGAAGCACGTAAATCCAAACCATGTTTGCATAATGAGCCCTCACTGGGTATCAGCGTGGGATTTATGAGGAGACATAAAAAATGTAAACCTCAAACCTAAATAAAACACTTTAAAGATTCCTAGGAATCGTATGAAACAAACATGACTGATTTTCTTTGTTTTGACTAACTACACAGCCCGTGTCTTCCTTCCTCTTATGAGATTGGGATGTCATTGAGGAAATTGATTTCTTTTTGCATTGTATTCAGGAAAAGAACAGGGCCTCCGACGAAGGGGGGCCGGGGGGGGGCCTTGGCCCCCCCACTTTTTTGCAAAACAACAGAGTTTTTTTCAAAATATTTTGTTATGGGTGTTAAATTTTCCCTTGGCCCCCCCCCCACTTTTCGACCTTTGTCGGAGCCCATGAAGAAAACAAATTATTGAAAGCTGCTTTCTGTGTAAGGCAAAATATTATTCGTAAAAATTCAAATATATGATATACAATACCCTATTTTTTCAAATTAATTTCAATTACTGAAAATTTTCATAGAGATCCAATAATACCACAGCAATGAAAAAATAGCCTATCATCAATTCTACATAAAAGTAAATTTGTTTGCTTTAAAAGAACCTAATAAAACCTACCTCAGACACTTCATTACCACTTATAGAAATCGAAGCAAGAGCCTTAAAACCCATGTTTTCATCTAATTTGAAAAAGAATCACACATCATTTCAATAAACGAAGTTGATAAGACATCAGCATCAATCATAAAATATCAGAAATCAGACATCAGACATCAAAAACAAAAAATACTGTAAATTCAGACAAACATGACAATAAAGGGAGAATAACTCAGAAAATTAAAAAGACAAATTTTCACCTAAACTTACCTTGTGTGGAGAGATAAATTTTGGATATTCTATTATTGTTCAAAATAAGAGTTTCCAAGCTGAAACAAAACAGACTTGAAATTACACTAGATGACAACTGACAATGAAATCAAAACTTACTCAAGCAAAATACTTGTTATATGTCAGAATGAGAACAGACTTTTTAAGACCAAAACATCCTAAAGATCAGAATATACTGGGAGTATGCTCAGAGTTATAACTTAAACCATCTTGCTCTGAAAGGTGTCAAACACCAATTTTGATGACTGGCATTGCAAACAAGACTGCTTGTCTCTTGGCAACTAAAGTTAAACAAAACAAATATCTTATGAAGTTGTTTTAAGTAATTTTCAGATATCAAAATCTTTGTGGTATACAAGCTCTGCAAATTGAAACCTCTTCAATGATGAAAGCTTCATAACTTCATTCCATTCCAGTTTATTGCCTTCAAGGTTCAGGAGTCGTAGGGAATGAAGCTGAGCAGTCTGCCTGAAAGAGAAAACATCACAAAATATAATATACAACCCAATTGGCTGCTTCTGCATATCAATATTAAAGTATGATGCAAGTGGAGAACATACCTGTTTGTTATACTTTGAATTCCATTGAAGCAGGCATGGAGTTCTGATAAATTTGGAACAAAATCAAGTAGATCAACTATCTGTAAAAAAAGAGATCTACCATGAAATAACTAGAATTTCAGGTGAAAATGTCAGTAAATCAAAATGATTAAAGATTCCTCTTTTAACTATGCCTGCAGTCTCTATTTCTTCAAAACGACAGAAAAAGAGATAATTTGCATAAGCTTTTGTGAAATAGAAAACCAACCTGATCACTAGTTATGTTTATTCTATTGGCGAATAAAACCTTCAAGGTGAGAGATCTGGGATGAGCATCCTCAAGAAATGCATCTACTGATATTTTGTTTTCACTAAAAGAAAAAAATAAGTTGTGATAATGATATGAAATAGAATTAGCTTTCAGGTGATTTACATTTCTAGTTAAATTTTTCTTATAAATCTTATCAGATTCATTACAGACTTTAATGAAACTGCATAGCTAACACTGTTGCAATTGTTCAATGCATTTGGTAGATTTTTTGAACAGGAAAAGCAGGAATATCATTAGCAAAAGATATATGCTTATGACATACAAATATGTACCAATGTAAAAGTCTACAGTTGTTTTTGGGTAGCATGCACAAGTCTTAAAAAACATGATAATGGAAGAGATCCTCGCACAGCTTTATAAAGAAGCAAACTGCAGCATAAACAGTTATTTTCACAAATAATTTCCACACAGGTCTCATCTCCATGTCATGAGACTTACAATTTACAATATATACATCACACCCACCTTAAAATGGAAGCAAAATATAACACACTTTCCAGAACCTCAAAAATTTTTCTGTCACAATGATTGCCCGTATAAAGCAAAAAAGTCTCGTTTAAAGCAGAATTTTAGCAGAACATTACCTTATATTCAATTCTACCAAATTTTTCATTTTCTGTATTATATCAACAACCTGAGACCAACTATTAAACAAATTCCCTGCAATATCCAACTCTTGGACATCTGAAAATTCAAAAAGAAAATTAAAAAGATACTGCCATTATGAAAAAGAACCGGTTTAGAAAGACAGTAATTAAAAACTTGTTTTTTTCTTGTAAGTGAGTTGCTATAAAGAGATATATTACTACATGCTTTCTGACATGATGGAAATGGTCCAAGCCTGTGCACTGCCTCCTCCCCCCCTCCTCCCCCCCCAAACGTAGCAACTTTTGCTGAAAGAAGTAAAACCTTTGTGTTGTTTCAAAAAAATTGCTAATTATCCAGTAAACAACAGAAACAAAAATGTTTCACAACCTTCTTGAACTGATTGTTCCAAGTAACAAACATTTTTCTTACTTGGTGCAATTTTATGCAACTTGCTATCAATTTCAGCATCATCCTCTTTAATAGACATTCCAACCAAAGAGACTTTTTTTAATTTTGCAACTTGTCTGCAACAGAAAAAAATTTTAAATGGTGTAGCATGTGGGTTGTGTTTTAAGGGAAATAGCATATAGTGATAAAAATAGTTATTGACACTTACCATTATTCTTAATGCTGAGACAAAACAAATTCAACAAAATCTATTTAGTATCCAAAGATTATTGTATGATACAAGGCCAGTGAGCATTCAACTATTGCACCAGAACATGTTTTTATCTGTGAATTAGACTGCCTACAGCCTAATGACCTAGGGCAAGGATATTTTCTGGACACTGTAAATAGCTAAATATTATTTTATGATACAACTGCTTTTGTAACACAGGGATATGGGTAATTTTTCACATGCATTTTCAAAATTGAAGAGACAGCTATGTAGGCACAATCTGAAAACACTGCTCCCAAAGTTACTCTGAAAACATAAAACTGGCCAACCTGCTTGCAGTATACCCTAAGCCCTTATGACAGTGCCACTTATACCAGGTTGTGGCAAAACAATTGTTTTTTGTGCAAATTAGCTTAAATATCAAATATATAGGGTTGATCACACACCTCAATTTTTCATGTACTTTATCAAAGCCTATGACTTCAACTAAGGTCTTTTGTGTTCCACTGCCGAAAACATACATATCATCTTGAGTTACTTCCTCTGGATGATCAGCGTATCGTCTTTTAATTGCTTCCTTCAAAGTGATTCCAAAGTTTATCTTATTTGGCCTTAAAAACGATCCGTGCCCATCTCTATTGAAATAAAGCAAATACATGTGATGCATGGTATGATTATTCTTACAAAGAAAATAAACAAAAGCAAAAGAAATTGTTTGAAAATCATGAATTTATGAAGCTCTTACTTGCATTTAAAATAATGCTTATTTTCATGAGTTCCATTGTGTTTCCCCCTCTTTTCATCCCATTCAACTCCAAACCAGTCACCTTAAACAAAAAACAGAGCAAATGCTTTTCAATGTAAAAGCCTGAGAGAATTGGCTAAGCTCAAATAATAATGTTTTACAGAGTATCAGGAAACTTTTTTGAAATTTGCAGCCTAAGACACAGTTTTCAGAGAGGGGAGGGGACAAATGTTTCATCCAAAACAACATTGACATGTTTAGAGATGATACTCTTGCAGACCAAAATCTAACTGAATAGCAATATCTAACTGGATAAAATTGGGGGATATGATCACAAGGAAACGTCTGTGAGACCGCACCCTCACAATGTGCAGAGATTATTTCTTTTTACAGATCACTTGGCAATGCATTCGAGACATTTTTATTCAAATAATCTATTCATATTCAAATGATATTCATATAGCTTGTGCATAATTTTAGATACAAGAGCCATCCAAAACTGATTTTCATAATAAAGAGACACCTCAAAGTACAGTTGCATCCTGTTAAGCTGCACTCGAAATAACCTGGCCTGACTGAATCCATATGACATTCAACTGACATTTTATCCTGAAGTTTTAAGTTGGTTTTTGTAACAATTTTCATCCTTCATTCTACCTGCTCATTATGAAGAATCTGCTGTAGTATTCATTCATAATATTTGTTTATCTGGTCAGTTTCTCCCCCATGATATTCCAAAATCTAAACTTCTCCTCAATATTTGGCAAAATTACAAGAATAAAATAAATAATACAAGATCACTTGGAAAGCCTTGCCTAAAAATCCCATACAGGATCCACACAACTCAAGAAACCTTCGCTTTCTATATCTCCAAATTTGGACTTAATTGTTCTGGCATTTTCCGCACAATAAAATACTTTACAGTCTTGAAAGTTTGCAAATTTGTTGTAAATTTCATAAACAATTGCAACGTTAGCAAGTTTTCAAAAGCTAGTGTACATGGCTTTTCGGCTGGAAGCAGGAACATCGCCAAAGGGGGTATACGGGGGGTGCAGTACTCCCCCAATAATTTCTCCGTCGGCACATTGAGGATTTTTGCCAGGCAAAAGAAGCTATTTTTGTGCTCACCCTGGGACCTTTTTGCAACAATTGGCAAGGTTTTAACTTTTCTGTCGTAGCTGAACTTTCAAAGTATGGCACTAAAGTATGAACTTTGAAACAAAATCGCATAAAAGCAGCATATAAGAGTATTTATCTTTTGACCACACCCTTGAAAAGTGAGACACGTCCCTCTTTGTCGGCAAAAAGCACTCCTTTACCCCTCCAAAAAGTTTTCTTGACTTCACTCCTTGCTGGAAGTTACCTGTCTAGGAGGATGATCTTGGCTGCGCAAACATAAAAACATAAAAACGCGGGGGCATTTGATTCTGTATGTGAACATCCCTAGACATTATTGCAGATATATGTCTCAATTTGAATTCAAGAACACCTCTTGCATCAATAAGCAAAATTCACCTGAAGTTGATGCAACTTCGCCGAAATATCTAATTGTTCCATAGTGGCCCGAAAACTCACATCTCTTGCCAATATGAAACGCCATTACTGTTTTTGAACCTCGTTTTCAATGTCATGCAATGGCTCCAAAGCGATGACGCCACAAAAATCTATTTTTAGAATTTTCTAATTTGGATCCCATAACCTAAAAGAGCATCATGAAATATCCCATATGTGCAAAATCAGGCAAGTGTATTACAAAATGGCAGAGATATGGCCACTCGTTTATTGGTTCTCTCCCTATCAAACCTCTGTATTTTTACTATCCCCGTATCAAACCTCATAACTTTATGAACAGAGCCAAAATAACAGTGTTATTGTTGTTTAGTAATATTGTGTATTGATTTATAATTACTTCAGGCAAAATTCAGGTAAGTTGGCACATAGCTCGAAAGCCCCTATGGGTTATTTCCATGTGTCATTCAGCTATAACTTTATAGATACAAATAATTATTTTAAATATCTTAACCTTGTATGTATTGAAGTATAACTGGAATTGTATCTTGATAAATTGTTTGACTAGATCAGTATATTGTAATTAAGCTGAGAATACACATGAAATTGAAATTGAATTGAAATTGATAGTGATTCGTTAGAAAATATTAAATCTTTCATTAGCCATATCTCAACCGATTTTAGACATATTTGGCCAATTTTGCGTATTTGAAAGTATTTCATGGTGATCTTTTACGCTTTGTGGTTAAAATTCAACCAATTGCAGTGATTCCCCTTTGCACTGGCGGTCGCGCGAACGCTTTTGGGAGTTGAATAGATTTTAACTTTTCTGCGACCAGATTATTAAGAACCAATTAGATGCTTTGTTTTCTTATCTGGTTTACGTAAAATGCCTCATTCTCCTGTCTTGGTTTCTTTGGCGGTTGTCCAAAAAATCAACTCCACGCTCTGCTACCCTGAGAAAAAGACGATGGAAAAATAACAGTTGATCCAGAAGTCATGTAGCTTTTATGCCAGTTTCAGCAAAGTCAACTCCCTACAGTACAGTCAAATTATCTTGCGTTTGAAAATGTCTAAAAGTTTCATCTCATCTCTTTCATCTCTGACAATACTCTCCCTTTTCACATCTCTCTGCACATATTTTCCTTACCCAGCATCTTCCTTTCTTATGAGTCTGTAGTGCCTTTCTTTTTAATCAACGTCTCAACAAAATGAGAATCAATATTTATCGCCTTGAAATCGCCATATTGTTTACGCGCCTAATTCTTCTGGGGCACTGGCAGCAATCGCGCGACCAAATCTCAAGAGTGGAAATCAATACTGCGATTGCAGTTGAGCAATCGCAAGGGTCGCGCGACCTGATTCGCCAAAGTCGAGCGCGACCTGATTTTGCCTCGGCGCTTTTATATCATTGAATGGCTCGCCTTGTGCCTTGCGCCACGGTTGCGTCAAAATTTACCTAGCGGTCAAAGTTCTAGCAAAGATTGGATTCCCTTTGGTAAATCCTGAACTTGATCTAACTTGTTTTACCGCAAATAGCTTTCATGAGTGAAGCATTTTGGTCTAAAAAGTACTAGAGCCTCAAGAAACCCGGGATACCGTATGATACGACATGATACGGTATAATAGACAGATAACTATATTTCTGGAACTTAAATCTTTAGACTCTGGCACCCAGTGTAAAAAATTACATGAAACTGGTAAGCAGTGGTTTTCCTTTTTCACCAAAACTGGTTGACATCAAGCAGTTATCTTAATTATTTTTAGAGAATAGTTGGGATAAAATGTAGACAGTGATTGAAACTCTTCCATTTCATTAAGAGGGGAAGCCCTGAGGATTTTCGAATTCTATCCTGGAGCAGCATTCGACCTTCACTTCAGATTTTCGAGTTTCTCTGCTATTCCCAAAACAAAATGTTCGATTGTCGAAGTAAGTTTTTCGATTATTTTAAATAAGGAGGCAGGTACCCATCCCCTCAATAGTTCAGTCACTAAATGCAGTTATTATTATTTCCATGAGTTCCAGAATCTTTTTTCAATCCCAGTTTTTAGATGGGTAGTAAAGATTTTCATTCATATAGCGTCACAGGAAGGGGGAACGGCAAACAAAAAAGGCATTTTGAACACACCCTTTGTGCCAAAAGAGTCGGCTCATGTTCAATATACCTTGTAGATAAATGTGTATATTTAAAAGGTAGGATCTTTTGGAAAGCTCTAAGTTTCAAAAAAGGTATTTCTCGCACCTGTGTGGCCTATCAATCCTTCAAAATCTCGAATAGATCAAGCTGTCTCTCTACATTCATAGAAATATTTAAGGGTAGAAGGTTATTGAATTTCGTCTCTGTAATTCGGATACGTTCTTCCGAAGGAGAATTGAAGGAAGGGGGAGGGGATAAAAATGAATGCGTTCTTCGGGTAAATCAAACTGAAAATATGCATGAGATGATATCTAGCCATGTGATGCTGGTTACTACTGGACAAAAACTTTGATTGCGCCAAATAAAAGTTTGAATTATTCGTCTAGCAGATGTAAGTTTCGCATGCTTTTAATGTTCATTTTATTGTTCCTTTACATTTAATTCCTGAAGATATCTAATGATAACAGGGTTTGTTATGGGAAAGAACCAACCTAGTTTCTACAATAGTAATATATAGTATTCATGTTAAGTTTGAGTTTTGTCGCTGTGTGTTTAAAAGCTGGTTTCCATGTTTTTCAACATGTGTTGTTCTTTGTTGCATTATCCAAAGGACGGACGTTTGTAAAAAGTTCTAAATGAAAAACTGCGACACCTTGGTTATATTTCATTTCTTATCAACTGAAAAGGTCTTCAAAAATCCTATATAACTATCAGCAATGTATAAGACAAACGATATCCTTTCGATTATTGTTGTGTCTTCAAATGTTGTCACAGCTCACGTTTCGTAAGAGAAGGAGAAATTGAAAAGCTATGAAAAAAGTTAACAAACGTCGAGAGCCGGCACTAAAATCAATAAACAATGTCATGTTACCAATGTTCTACAAATGAAAACGCTTAAGTTAGCTTGAATAAATTTTTTTCTCGATAATATGAAGGCAGATCGAGAATAGTGGACACATGCTAGAACAAACAATCTGCAGATGTTTTGCTTGCCTAGAGGAAGCGGGACGAGCCGCTGTGAGTTGCACGTTTTTGAAGATACCACCTATCAAATAAAAATTGCTAATGCCAACGAAAAAAACCAATTCCGAAGAAAATCATTTTGTGTGTGATCAGCTGAAAGACTCATAACCAATTATAATGGAAAGAAAAGGATGTTTAAAACAAACAAATGACCTGATTTGCAAAATCACTTTGATACAAAAAATTATAAATGCAGTTGAGTATGGCCAGTTCTTCAACAAAGCTGAAGAAAACGAAAGGATGAAGACGGCGTGGATAATAGTGCTTTTGAGTGGCACGGTTTTATTCAAATCGGAGGGCTTTACGCTAAGCTCTGATGATGATTTCAAAGATCACACCGTGGATTGGATGAGAGTTGAAGATGAAGGACATAATGAGGTAGTCGGCCCTCCATTGCAACCTGGGACAAAACCAGGAAGAAGCATTGCAACTTTTGAAGCAAACCGCCGTTTGAATTTGAAGGATGCCAGGAGCCACATAAAAAGAAGATTGGACAATATGCGGAGGCTAGGATTGCGGCTCCTATCAAGAGACAATGCCAGACCTCCAAGACCAGGACGGTTTCTGTCAAGAGACGATGCAAGGCCACCAAAACCTGGGTGACATTCCACGAACAGTTTTAAACTTAGCTTTTTATTCAAATTTGTGTGAGTTGTTGTGTTAGAAATTAGTTCTGGAAATCGTTAACAGATGTTGTTGGGAGAGTGTTTGTTTATTTCAATCACAAGATTTTCCTTGATTTGCAAAACCAGCTTCTTTGTTTTTCATCCATTTTCTTAGTATTTTATTTTGCGAAATATTTCAAGCATTGGATAACGAATCTTTTAATAACTGCTTATTCTAGCGTTAATGAAAATTCGTTATATAAAGCTCACTCAGCCACAAGAGTCTATTTTGATGACAAAGAAAACAGCTCTTTATTTGGATCTACTGTTTAAAGAAAAAAAAATCAGTAATATCTTTTGCATTTAAGAAATTTTTTCTGAAGCTCGCACGAAAAGAAGCTACCTTTTTTCGAAGAATTGACGTAAAAACATACATACTTTTATTTATAAGAGACCGTCCACAAAAAACAAGCCCTAAGATAGCGGTGAAATTTAGAAGTCATATGACTGATGTTATCTCGAAAAGATTCTATGAAAGACGGGATCGGAATTATTTCTAAATACAATTAGGTATTTATTTCTTGGTATCTCCATGTAGATGAAAGGAAGAAAAGCTCTTACTTCTTTCTAATTTATGTCAAGTGACTTGTTTTCTAAGAAAAACTCTGGGCACTTGAAAAGAAAAGAAAACAATGTTCTTATCCGGAGCTAATTATCTTATAAAAATGCATGTAATCGAGCCATCACTTGCAACCATTCTGTGATGGTTGCGCCTAAAAATTAATTTGGGCCTTCTTGACTTGAATTTTTATGATTGTAATAAATAAAACACAGGACATACAATTATCTAGGAAACTTGTAGAAAACTATTGTTTATGAGAACACACAAGTCCAGTTTGAATCCTAGAGCTTTATCTATGGTGATACAAAATTAGTTCAAAATATGACATGCCGTCGGCTGCTTCCGGGTTTAATGTACTATTCGATTACATAATGCTGGATAAACTTGCTTTTTTAATTGTAACATAGAATAAGTTTTAGGGTTATTCGCAAGGCTTTTATTAGTTTAAAGTTTGTAGCAGGGCCTTTTTCAAGGAATGCAACCTAGTTGTTTGTTTTACCATTTCAAAATAGTCAGACACTATGTCGATCAAATGATTGTCACGTGTTTCAGATAAGATGCACAAAACAGCACGATTTAGACCCTTCTTACTTGTCAAGGTTACTGTATGATATATCAATTTCAAGAACAGTGCAATAGATTGAAACCAAAAGAACCTTTTATCCTTTACGTATAAGCAGATCTGATCTTTGAATTTCATATTGGCATAGAAGCGTAGAAAAAACACACC